TAACTCTAATAGATTCATATATTTAAACACCTGATCTCAAAGGAATACAGCCGATCTTCTATTTCATTTCGTGATCTGAGCTTCTTTTTCATCTCTTGCCACCAGATATAGCGATCTGTCTCTTTAGTAAGTACTATGAGCGAAAATCTAGAACCATTTGAACTAATACCATATGTTATGACCTGTAAGGTGATAAACGACTTATGGGGAAGTTTCATATATCTATCTTGATTTCAGGGAGAAACATTTTATTTAAAAATAATATATTTTAAGAATAATATTGGTCGTTTAATTTACACCTTTTGTGCAGAGTTTTCATCATCTTGAAAATAAGACTTCGTGAAGCATTTGATTTTTTTTGACTAATTCGCTGTTAGGAAATCCCAATCAATTTTTCTTATTCTTCAACTAGTTTAATTGTTGTATTGAAGGTTCGATAAATGACAATTGATAAAGATATGAACGATAAATTTTATGTTTCAACATGTAATTCGCTTATAGAACTTTTCAATGTAATTAATAATGGTTTTATCATGTGTTTGTAGCGTATTATTAGGTCGTTTTAGCTGAAAATTGATAAAGCACAACATGGTTTTATTATGAAGATTTCTTTATCATATGATAAACTATTCGTTTCAAATGTGACTAGTTTGCTCGGCACTAGCGAATAACGTTTAACTATTGGTAGCTAAAAATGTTACAGTTTTATGGCTTATAATCGTGAAAGGATGTAGAAATATAAAATAGTTTAGATTATCATCTTTGTCCATATAAAAGATAACAGATTATTAATACAATCGATATCTTAAATTATAAGAAGACAAATTGAAAACTAAACGAAATGATTTAAGAATAAAACTAACTAATACAGCATGATCAATTAGATACGATTTTGTATAAATAAATTATTGTAATAGATATATGACTAAACTATATATAAATACAATTGTATTTAAGGAAGCTCTTTTCTCAGTTGAAACATGAATATCAATCTTGATTATTATTGAAATATCTCAATCGAACATCTTTATGACTGTAAATTTGACATGTTTCTTGTGCGATTTATTATTCTAAATCTACTTGACTTACTAGTTTCAGTGGACATACATATTTTTGCTACGTTTTAAGAATAATAGATGAAGTTCATTTAATGTAATTTAAAAGTAGATTAGGTTCTATACTATTAGTCGGTGTCAACACGATGCAGCATATCCTTCATGGTGAAACATGTTTCATATGTAAATAGTAAATAATTAAAGAAACATTCAGTTTTATGATACTATCAGGGCTATCAACAAATCAACAAGATTAGAAATCAGGCAAAGATTTAGTGAGATGATTAGATAATTTCAGTTAAAATTTAAACTTTTTGAGAAACAGTTTGAAGTTTTCTGTTGAGAATTACTGAGCAAAAGAAAAAAGTGCAAGTAGGAAAAAGGCAAAATTTTGTCAAAACTGACTCGTTTCCTGTGCCGGACATTCTGAGTTTTCCTATAATTACAACTGATCGAAGTTTTTGAAAACTTATATGAGTACTTTCTATATAAATACAGAATACTGAAGAATAAATTCATTTAATGATATGAGTAGAAACTGCCGACGAGACAGGTTTGCTAATCAAAAACAGGAGATAAATAAAAATATAAGTTAAATCTGTTTCTCAGTTTACAAAACATGCCTGCCTAAAGACACAGAAAAAGTGATGTTTTGTTAATTTTAATTTCGAAAAATGCAGCAAGATTAAGACCTCGTGCATAGTCTTATGAAACATGAGTCAATAGTATTTGCAGTTAAAAACAACCCTGAGAATGTTCTATTAATTTGTATGTAAAGAATTGAGTACAAGAGAGTGACATTTGTTGTTTTCTGTCGAAATACATACTATTCCATGAAAATTTCTGTATACTTCTCATACTATAAATAAATTTAATATGATTCGCATCAAAAACAACAGCTGCCTTCTCGCGAAAATCCATTTTTTTTAGAATTAATTCTCTAATACCATGCTATACAGTAAATATCTTTTGTAAGAAATTCAAGCCTTTGACTGAAACTTATCAACTTACAAGTAATATAAATTAATCACTTAAATATAATAAAATAAAGACCATGATGACGAAAGAACTACATAAAGAGCCTAGATCAAACAACTTTTCTATTGGCATCTAACGACACATAATCATTTGATGACGAATAAGACCGAATACTACTCTTTGATAGAAATGAATTAGTTTTGACTTATTAGTATACAAAAAATATATATTTTCAATGAGACATTCACTTCTATTTTTATCTTCATTTGTAATTATTATTGAAAAATAATTTAAATTGACAAAGAAACATTATAATCATAATGAATACCTTGTGAATTATATAGGAAGCTTTCGAATGAATAGCATTAATCTTCACAGTAATTCATCACACAACATGATATCTTTAAAATTAGCACATCAAAATAATTTTCCATGTTCAACACTGAAATTAGCAACATTGATAACGTGTTTATTCCTATATTAACGTATGTGATCTTCTAGTATACTTCTTCGTTTCTAATTGTGCGAAGAAAAAAAAGGAAAATATCATTTAAGGTCAAAAAAAATCTATTCTTAGTTTAAAATGGAAAAGCCGGGAATCATGCATCTAGCTAATGTAATCTATCACAGATAAATAGCATGAAAACTGAACTTAAGCTTCTGTTTTGAGATTATGATACTCATTAAACATGCATTTTAGTCTGCTTTACGATTGAATACAATAAATTAATTCAGCAGGTAGACGACGCACATTAAATTATTTCATAGAAACAGTAAAATATTTTCAAATATGTAAGTAAAAACAATATTACCATTCGAATCTTATCTAGAATAGTGTTGTTTTTCTTTTCAGAATATTGTTTTGCTTGTAGTTTTTTCGTATAAAAATCCATTCAAAATCATGTCTAAATCTGTTGAAAAAAACTATCGGACTTCCACAAGACAATCTGTGTTGACCTCTTCAGTTATGTGTGAATATATGTGTAGAACATTAAGATAAACATCCTGCCCTGCAAGATGGTATCATCAATATTCTTTGTTTCGACTCAGTTGTTAGCCTATTTGAAAAATTATCAGATATTTGCCTTATTACAAATATTTAATTCATAAATAAATAATCAAACAAATAGCGAGAGGTCAAGGTTATACATTTTTCTTTCTGAGATTAAAAAATTATTAACAAATGAGACGAAGGATGTGTAGATTTCTAGAACTAAATAAGATATTTAAAAAAATTGTTATTCTAATGAAGATGAATGCCAGTCATACAGGCAGAATAAAACCGAATGCCACCACTAGACATCAATCTTTCCATACTAATAATTCGGCGAGGAAAACATAATGGAAAGCAATAATCTCTTATGATATTCTCTATTCTTTTCATAGAAACTAATTTTAGTATGTTGCTTCGTCGACTATTCTCAAGTTTAATGATATTTTAAGTGAAAACGATACATGAAACTCATTCTCCAAACGCAAGCATACGGTAAATGATGTTGAAATTGACTCATTCCCTATTTTCTGCTAAACAATGACAACTACATTGCAGAAAAAAGTATGTCTAGAACCATTTTCGCATGGTCTAATCAACAAAATAATAAGAAAAACATTTAATATTTTCACAAAAACGATGACTTCTCTTAATAATTAAAAGTAAGTTCTTATATAGCAGGTATTTAAGATGATCTTCATAGACGAAATACTCTTTTCTTGTTTTAAAATTATATTTTTGACTCAATGGATTTTACAGTGGGTCGCAAAGTTATAGGACATACCTCCTATTTTGAACTGTAAGACTGTACTTTATTTAGGAGGAGTTATATTATTGAGTTATGATTCTTATGTTAATATAGAGATATACATCGAGGATCTTTTCTATTAATCAATACCTTTGCTAGAACCTTCCAGATACTTCTTCAGAGATTAATGGACCACCTGCTCAAAAACACATTTTCTGCTATTAAAAGAGTTTCTATTCTTATTCATGAAACCTACCCATGTTTAAGCCAGATTATCGCTTTCATCGCCAAACTCCTAAAGTTANTGCAAAAAAGCTGAAATTTATACAGATGATAGGCGTTGATACGCTCTACAAGGGTCATTAGCAGCTCATATTTTAACTTTAGGAGTTTGGCGATGAAAGCGATAATCTGGCTTAAACATGGGTAGGTTTCATGAATAAGAATAGAAACTCTTTTAATAGCAGAAAATGTTTTTTTGAGCAGGTGGTCCATTAATCCCTGAAGAAGTATCTGGAAGGTTCTAGCAAAGGTATTGATTAATAGAAAAGATCCTCGATGTATATCTCTATATTAACATAAGAATCATAACTCAATAGTTTAACTCCTCCTAAATAAAATACAGTCTTACAGTTCAAAATAGGAGGGGTGTCCTATAATTTGGGACAGCAATTGTTTTTGATTTTTATCAGATTTCTCACTAATATACTTCAGAATAAATCTAGTGAATACCAGAAGTAGATACTAGATAACTATCCATACATAAACACCAGAACAACATACCAACATGTAACATCTGGAAAATAAAACAAAGACTTGAATTCAAAAATGGGGGGGATGTCCTATAACTTTGGGACCCCTATAATTAGGAAAGCAAGTTTTCCTTTGAAGTTTTAGTCCTACAAAATAGAAGTCTTTTCACTCGAAGACAAAGATTATTTTTAAACAATACTCTGGTCTCATATTTTTTCCAATCGGAAACTAATGATGTAATTAGATCTTTTGAATCTAGTATGGAATGCACATGAATTGCTCACAAATTATATCTATAGAAATTAAATTATTCAAATTTAAATTCATAAAAATATACAGAATGTAAATTTCATGCATTGTAAATAGTTGACTTTTTTTTTGAAGAACTGAGAAAAGCAAAATTTCATTGTCGTAAGGCAAGCAAAGAAAAACATGCATATCTAATAAAATAACTATTTGATTTTAATGCGAACAGTTACAGTTTATGTAAATGAATTGCATCAACGGTTGATATAACTAATATATTTGTGCTTAGCATTGTAGCACAAGATGGTGATGTATTATATTTACATTTTGATTTTAATTTTCCATCATTTGATATATGATGAAGATTTGATGTATTCCAATCAATAACAAGCCATTCATCACTATTAAATAAACAACAACGAGCCGCTCGACAATCGTAAGCTATGCCAAGATTAAGTGACCATAGACAATCGAATGTTGTTGCCGTTTTTAATTCGATTAATGTACTTTTTGTTAAACGATTATAGATCATTAAAGCTATTCGTTCTTTATTATACATAATATTGTTTATTGTTTCATTTTGTTTACATGTCTGTGGTGGTTGCCAACGTTTTACAAGTTGAATGGATGGCCATAAAGTAAATTGACATATATTTGAACCCCAATCTTTTGTTGTTAGATATAGGCATGTATCTGAATATGTGCATGACCACCACGATAATTTTGGAACTTTTTGTATACGTACAATTGACATTGTATTTTCATCGACAAGATATAAATAATTACGTGTTAAAACAATAAACCGTGCTAATGTTAATGACCAACATATATCCAAAATACAGCCATGCGTCCAAAATGTTTCTCTAATCATATTTAATTCTTTATCTAATAAACATAAATTTGAATCATGATGTACTAATAAAAAACGTTCATTAGCACATAAAATTTTTGAACTTTCATCTATATAATTTATTGTTCTATAAGATGGTGGTATAACAGAAGTATTACATGTATCGTTTGTTGTTTGAAATTCAATTAAATTTTCGTTTATTTCTAATAAATGTATATTAATTTGAAGATATTTTTCTCTTGTTTTATCGATATCTTGTTCAAGTTGACCAGTAATTGTGGTTATGTAATCAATATCTTTAGGTAAAATATCTTGCTTATGAATATGTGTAGCTGTATTTGATCTTATTCGATTGATTTCTTTGCGTTGTCTATCAATAATTTCAGCAACATGTCGATCGAATTCTCGACATTTTTGTTCATAAAAACGATCGATTAAATGATAACAATCCGAACGCCATTTGTCAAGTTTTTGTCGAGATTCACTGATCATATTTTCAATATTGGATGTTGCTAAGCGATCATTGAGTGAATTGATGCGATCAGCTAGATCATCTAATGCATTCTCATGCTTATCATAATTTTCATCGGATAGATCACATTTTTCTTCGTATTTGCATGTCGTCATGATGGTGCAAAATTGAGGCATAAAAATCTCGACAACTGACTAGAAAACACAATGTAGCTGCTGCTCACATGAGTTGTCAGCAAAAGGCTAGAGAAAAAAGAAATAAATAATGAGATGAAAAAAGTTGTTTAGTATTTTTTTGCAACGATCTTTATAATGTGAAGACAAGAAAAAAGTATTTTTCTTTTCTTTTCCTTTCTTTTCATGTAGATCGGGGGAACGTCAATGACATATATGTCATGTGCTGATAACTCATTAGAAAAGCGCTAGCTAGAGGGCCCATAGGACATACACCTGTCAAAGATAATTTCATAATTAAAAGAATATTTATTTATGTTAATAAGTTGATAGATTAGCAGAAATTTTATCTAGTTTTTGGCTGGTATATGGTTAAAGAAATAGGACTCTATCAGATACATACGCATAGATATTTCTTTTTATATATTTCTTTTTAAGATTCAACATTTTCTTATGGAATATTGAACTTCTGAAAGCAAAAAAGCCCTTTTAAATGTAGGAAATCAGTCGTTGTTTATTTCCTAGAGAAAATATTTTTTACGGTTCAACTGGAAACTATCGTACAATTCAAATAGATGAAAAGCAAACTTGTTCTATTGATATATAAAAAAATAGAACTAGCCATCTGGTAAATTAATGTTTTCTTTTTATCAATACTTATGATGCATGAACTTTTCTATTTGTTGATAGTCTATTGTGTTATGTCATTATGAAACATTGTTTTATTCATTTTTTAATGCATATATTTATGTTGTCTTGTTTTTCTACAAATTTTTCTCAATTAATTTTAAATTAAGTGGCTTGATGAGTTTTTGATTATGAGTAATATTATTAAGTCGATAGTCTGTGAACTCATTGTAATGCTGCTTTTTTTTCTTTCTCTAATTATTTCCTTGTTATAAATCTTTTCGTAACCATACGAATTTTTACAGCATGATGTTCACATGTATCTTGAAGCATTTGAATGATATTTGCAGCTGACAACATGTATTCTATCTTTGTTTAAAAGAGTACTAGTAGATTATGTAGAGATGGCTCTCAGCTGTATTGCTTTAACAACAAAAGTTGTTTTTTTCTTGATAAAAAAATGAGCTTGATATTATTTTTTTTATTATTTAAAGAAGACAGCAAAAATTGAAAAAGTGATATTTTAACAAGACTATCAATTAATACTTCAAGCAAATAAGCATATTTCTAGTAATTATTATTCAATATAAGTTTTAAGATGTGATGTAATTGGGGGTCAATATAAACCAATATCTAAAAATGTAGCAATCTATATCTAATTTTAAAATAAATTTATATCTAATGCACGATGAATTTATATCTAATTAAGAAAATAATGTATCTAATTTTAAAATTTATTTATATCTAATTTATTAAGTAACACTACCTAACAACACAAAGTTATATCCAATTAATTATTAAAGTAATAGAAAAAACTCTTGAGGGTGCGGGGTGTGGACAGTGACGGCGAAGCCATTGGGACAGGTGAGGCTTGAGCCTCACCTAGTTTTCAGTAGATGAGGCTCAGCCTCACCTAGATTTCACAATATGAGACTCAGCCTCATTTGCTTTTGTACTGAATATTGCTATTATCTTGTTCTTGCATCAGAGTAGAAGCAAAGAAAACTAGTTTTCGGTATTTTCCAATCTTCTTTTTTTATACTGACCATTTTTATTTTTACTGAAGTTCAATAAAAAGAAGACTTATTTACTACTTGATGTTTCTTAAAATTCCACGGTAGCAAAAAAATATGATGAGCCTCACCTAGCTTAATGACGCTCCGCCGCCCCTGGGTGTGGATATGGGTGTTCTTATCTCTCTTCACACCCACACCTACATTTGTATCTCCTAGTGAAAAAGTATAAAATATGATGCATCTACTGTTACTGTCGCCATAAGAATTCGTATTATTCTATGTACACATTTTTGAATACACTGTTCATTATTATTCCACTTGATTTGCTAAATAAAGATTCAATAATGAACTAGTTTATAAATAGCAACCAGATATCATTAATACACGACTTCTGATAACATATCAACTACATCTGTTCGGTGTTGCAATGAACCATCGTTAATACGTCTGTTACATCTATGATAGATCATTGCTAACATGTCTATTAGTGTACTGTGGACTTTCCAAGTTTCTATATTTAGAATTCAAAATTGTTTTTGATTTTTCATTTCACAAAACATCTAATCATTTTTTCATATTAAGTTATAAAAATGCACAATAGATGGCAAAGCGAAACATATTTTATTGATCCTCAAACGGCAAAGAAATATTACTTGAATTTTACTCATGTATTCGACTAACTATGTATACGTCGATTTTCTATGAAATTATAGCCATGATCAAATTTTTCACAACGCAGAAACAAATAGAACAATCAAACACAAAATCGTTTATTTGAATCTTTATTCGAAACTCGATTGACAATTCTAGTCAATTGATTGAAGCATTTTTATTAGTATTTTATTAGGTAGGAGAAGAAAGAATGTGTATATGATAAGAGAGATATTTTTTTAATCCTTATATGAAATATTTATTTGATTATTGTTGATGAAATACTGAATATATTAATGGAGAGATATTTTATTCTGCCATACTAATTAATATGACTAACGACAAGTTGACTGTGCTTTTTTTCAGAAAGAAAATTATTCTATACCAATAATGATAAATGCAATATTTTTATCTAAATAATTTTGTGCACGGTTGACTAACTATAGCAATATTAAAAGTTCACTCGAATGAAAATTAAAAATTATTTATCATATTGGCATCCCTCAACGTGCATTATTATATTTATATATGGTTTGAAATAATTATTAGTTTTATTCAAAATTAATCATCGATTTTTCTGACACTATTCAATCGTGAAAGTATATTGGTACTTTGTCGAGAACCTGTAGCCCATAAAAAAACAGATGCATTTATTATGTATCTAGATATTTATTTACTTTTTTGTCAAAAAACCAATTATCAAGCTTTAGTATCTGTTTCGTTATTTTAGGATTAAATGTCTTTTAGTGTAAATGTGTCATTTAAAACAAACTCTCCATACATAACACATACTTTTCACTAGAAATTGATCTCTCATTGGTGATTATATTCCTCTTCTGGCTTTGAACAGTGTTGTAACTGTATTAATTACTATCTCTTGCAAAATCAACATATTCATCTTATTTCTAATTGTTTCAATGAAATTGATGTTCATTATTGATCATAGTTGTGTGTGTATGATATATATATATATATATATATATCTATGTAACTACAACATTTCATTATAAATGAAATGGATTCCACAAAATAATGATAAAAGCGGAGATGGCCCTTCACTAAAACATGATTGAGTTTAAAATTAAATATACTTTTTTTTTCTGTAGAAAACATGAATACTTCAATGGTCATCAAACTAATTAAACTTGAAATATGAAATGAATATCAAAAATTTTAATATAATTAGACTTGATGTATGCCTATGTCTATAGATTTTATTGCAACGTTTTCTTAATTGACATACATTGAAATCAAAGTGACACAACAGAACTTGATGAAACAAAGCAAATATGTTGAACTCAAAAGAAAGTTCCAGCATGGGAAAAAATTATTTTCAGTATTTTCAAAACTAGTAATGAAGTTGATATTCTTAAACTCTTCTTCCACGTCTTAGTAAAATATATGACATATCTCATTAGTCAACACGTTATTAAAATAAAGTTTATGACTTTTAAGTAAACAAAATATTACTATATATAGCACTAACGTACTATTTCCAACAATATGAAAAGATAATTTCATAATTTATTTCATAAAATAACTAATTTTAATTCGACAAGGAAAAGGATATCACACAACAAGTTTGCTTTTCATACGTATGCATATATATATGTACAATTAATTATTCATTTAATAAAAACAAAGCTAAAGTATTAAAAATGACTATCATCACTTTCCATAGTTTCTAAATGTGAAAATTTTTCTATATCAGATGTAACTTGTTTAACTGGTCTATATGTATCATTAATAAAAATATTGATTTCACCGTATGATTGTGTTTGATGAACTGTTAGTCGCCCTTCGCCACAAAGAACTAAATTTGAAAAATCAAGCATAAAAAAAGAGCCCAGAACCCAAGAAAATTATATTTACCCAGTAATACACTGAATAGACGAGCTGCGTGAACTCGAGTTGCATCTGATCGTTTCAAAAATTGATTAAATGAACCGCCACCTAGATTATCAGCCACACTAAAACAAAAGATTGGATGAAAATTTTCAATCATTACGGTACGCACTTGAGAATATCATCAATAGCTTTTTGTTTTTGTTTTTCTTGCCAAGTTGGTGATGGTTCCACAGGTGTTATTATGGTTGTTCTTTCTCGTCGTTTTGTTTGTAATGGTGAAAATGGCTGCGGAATACTAACTAAAGGTTCAGATGGTGGTAATACTAATTGAAGATCATCAAAACTGCTAGGTAGTGGTGGAAGAAAATCGCCATCATTTGCTCTTGGTGGCAATTCTGATACACGCTAAACAAACAAAAAATAAATCCTGATTAAATTAATAAGAAAGAAATAATCTCGCCTCTTGAGCTGTTGGCACTATTGATGATGGCGATCGTGTACCTGGTTTAGGTAAAAGACCACCTTAAACAAGAATTTTCTTAATTATAGTATAATTTCAATATTGATTGAGCTTACTTGATTGACCTCGACGAATAGCCATCTCTTGACCTGTACGCCGTATTTGTACAAGATCATCATGCTCGCCTATAAATACAATTTATAATTTGAAGATATAAAAGCAAAAGAAAACATATCTAATCGATTTCACACGTTCAAAACAAATAGAAACAATAGTATTTCGTTAAAAGTGCAAATAATTCATATGATACTTACAAGAAATATGACAAGTTTCTTATGAAATCATTATTCTTTATCCTGGTCATCGCTGAATCGTGCAACTTCTATAGATATTTTTGTTTGGTAAAATATTTTATAGAAACAATAATTTTTCACAGTTAATAGACAAGAATTTTATATTTTTTATAATTCTCTTCTTCGAACTGTGTCATAATACTGAATGGTTCGGATGGAGTCTTAATAATATTCAGAGAGTATGATGGCGAGAGACTCTTATAGATCAATTCAATTTCATCCAAACCTTCTGTAACCTAGTCGAAGGAATGCCATAACAATTTAATAAAAGTTTTGAGTAAGTCGTCACCTATTTGTTTTAAAAACAGAAATAACTTTCACTTCTTCATTGATACAACTAATATAGTTTTAAGATTTATAAATATATATTTATATATATATATATATTTCATCTAAGCTATACTTAATAAAACTTGATTAAGTGTACAGTAAAATTACAAAAAAAATCTCAAATTGATTTTTTTGAACTATCGAAGAAATAAATATTTTTATAACTTTTTCAATTAGAATTTTCGAATATTTGGTACATTCTTTACCTGGATTAGTTAATATTTTTGCTACATTCATAATATCATCAATAATAACGCTAAGATTAGTACTAGTCAACACGGTTTTAGCATTATCTAATAATTTATTCATTCGTTTTGTTCCATTCTTGAATGAAAAGAAATCAGTAATATTATAAAATAATGAAGAATAAAACTTACTCGCCCAACTAACGTGAACCATGGTTTTTGTTCTTGTTTATTTTTTTCGAACACTTCATCCTCTTCTTCTACAACTGATTCCAGTTTATCATATTCAAATTCAATAATTTGTTCATAAATTGATGAATCTTTCCGTTTTTTATTTAATGCATTTGGTGTATTACGTTTCTTTTTTGAAACATGAAAAGCTTTTTTTTCATCTGGTGCCACCGTTACAACATCAGGTACTTGAGCATCAGCAACCATAGGCATCGGTGCTTCATTTGGTAATTGCTAAAACAATTGAGATGGTTTTTTTTTCATTAATTTATAAGAAAACTCATTAAGCACATACTTGATCTAATGGAGGTAATGTATCCATTGGTATTATCATTTCGTCTGTACCAATTACAGTTGGTTCTTGAACAAAAATTAGAGGAACACTACTACTCGGAATGCAATCCGCACCAAGTAAAACAGTTTTTATTGGCATTGAACTAGGAAAAAAAACTATATTGCATTTCTATCAAAAATAATGATACAAACTCATAGATTGGATATGTATCAATCGCACTCGTAATAAAAGCAAGTGCATCAATAGAAAATTGATCACGCTTGTCAATTTTTGAATGCTCAGGTTCAGCGGATGTTGTATCCATCAGTGGCATAGATATTGGTGGTAAAGCAGATTGAATCGAACGTGGTGGATGATGTTCATCAATAGTTCGATCTTCACTTGGATGTAAATAACGATCGGTTGCATGTATCTGTCGATCGACATGTGGTGCTATTCAATGAAATTTTTTATAATGATTATACATAGAAAAACAAAAATATAACCTCGAAGTAGTTCTTTACTTCGATCTTCGGATGCAGTACGAAAAAATGTTCGATCACATCGTTCATCGATATCCATTGTTGTTGTCGATGGAACTGGTAAAGGTTCACCAAAACGATCATCAATTATATCGAATTTAGGCATTGGTTCCTATAAAAAAAAATAGCATCGCATATGATTGTATCAGTGTTTCTTTTTTCATATTAAAATAAATCTTACTTCGATATCAGGCAATAACGTTATACGTTTTCCATGAGTTGGCTTAGAAACTTCCCACGGCAATAGTAATAAATTGTCCTTAGAAATTAAAGACAAATATTTTAGTTGAATAGTAAATTTTAGAATAGTACAAACAGGCGACTGAACAAGCTGTGGTGGTGGTGTTAGTTGACGTGGAATTTCAATAGAAAAATCTCTTTCTAACAACATTCTTTCATCGGGTAATAAATTTTCATCAATATCAATTTGCCATTGCGTATCAGTTAAAACTGTATCCTTTTTACGTGTTAATTTTAACTTGGCTGAATCTTCAAATTCAAAAAATCTAATAAAAATAGATTTCATTATATATATGAAAAGTAAATTATTTACCGATGTACAACAGCATCTTTATATAGTTTTTCAACATCTTCTTTAAAAATGAGAAATAAAAACAATTTTAAAAAAATCAGAGAAGAAAAAGGAAATAACTGACGATGACATAATATTACAGTTTTCGAATACACATAAACAAGGCCAATCATAAGATGACTATCGAGAATAAGAGCTAATGGTGAACGACGACGGGTTTTTGAATTAACATATTGAAGAACATCTTTACTATAAATATATTTTCAAAAGGAAATACAACGAAAACTAAATAAAATAAAATCTTACTAAATATTTTTAAAACTAGCTGAATTTATTAAAGCTTTAGTTATTAAACGTCGTTGACCAGCACATTTCCTAAGAAGAATAGAAATTGAAAGACAAAAATTTATATGCTAGCTTTGTTTTTACCAAAGTATTTGTAATGATGGACTATGAGCAAAGATATTTTGTGATTTCTTTGTTGAAGCCATTGGATCGACGAGGTAGTATTCTTTTCACTCACTTGGCTCACTAATAGCTAAATGAGATGATATACGATGATTTAAGATAGAATCATTTTCTTCTTCAATCGTCGGACGTATATCCGTCTGTTACTGCGAGAGAACAAAACAAAATTCGTATTGAAAATATATCTATATGGTAGTAGCTAATGTATTTTTACAGCTATGTATACTAACTTTTGTTAGACCACTGAATAAAACTTTATACATCAATTGCTATATAATTTTGACTGTAAAAAAATGAGCTTATGAAATATTTTTATTATAAAGAAAGCAAGTGCTTAAGCTGTCTTTGAAACATTTTTGGTATTGTAACCTTTTAGAAAGAAACAATAATGAAAAATAAAATATTTTATTAATTTCAAAATAAAATTCATGTAGATTTTATTTAATCTTCATTGTTGATATATAGACACATTAATTTTACTACATGTTTGGCTTTTTTTTCTATAAACTAATGAAAGCAATTATTTGCTATAAGAACATTTAAGAAGGAATTTAAAACTGAAGAAGTTTTCAACAATTGATGATTACTTCTTATGATCCAGTAAAAATATTAAAATTATTCTCTTTACTACGTAATATTTATGCATTCATAATTAGGAAACTTTCTCGCAAGATTAGATTTCATATGTATGTTTTTTTTAAAAAATATTTATCTATGACTTTATAAAAATCGAACTACTACTGATCAGGTATTTTTAAAAAAATCATCAATAATCTAAGTAATACCAAAAACTTGGCGTTGACGTGTAATTTCCCTCTTTTTTTTGTGAAAAATTCTTTAATTTAAATCTAGTTTATAAATAATATCCATCAAAATAATCCTGTCTAAGATATTATAAAACTGGCACAGACTATACGATGTTAAACAATCTGTTAATATATTACCCGAATAATATATATCTTGAATATTTCGACGTATGGAATTTCTTTTTTATTCTATTATTATTCTATGTGCAGAAATACATGCAGAAGTTTGTTCGTTTTGACGATCGATTATTCTTAAAATCAGACTTTCACATGTCAGAACTATGCGTCTGAACATAGTTTATATTATTTCAATAAAGATAAAAAATCCATGCGATTAGTATGCTTTAGACCTACCGAGGCTGCAGTAGAATAGATTTTATTTATTATTTTTTCAGTCACAGAAAGTAAACAAAGAAAATAACCCAATTTTTCAGTTCGTATTTTGAAGTAACATAATTTAGGCGCCCCAAAAAAATAAATCTGATTCAATTTCTAGTATTCAACAATAGTAAGAAAAAGAATCATAATTTCATTGTTTAATAACGTCAGATATTTATATTGTTGCAACAAATATATTGTACAAAAAAAAACTATTCAATGCTTTGCACAACTCGAAGAAATTCATCAGCAGTTGGTTTCAGACATGAACGTTCATCAAATGGCGATGAATCAAGACAGTTTCGAATAGCAGCACTTGTCGTCTTACCCAGACTAATTAACTAAATAGAAGAGTTTTCATTTTAAGCAATCAAAGGATTTCGTTTAACATAACATACTACAGTTTTATTATTTGTTAGATCAAAACCAATTCGTTGACTAGCTCTGAATACACTATCGAATCCACTCGGACTGAAGAAACCAACAGCATTAGGTCTCTAAATAATACGTTTAGGAAACTTCAATAAAATAAATATTTAATTGTACTCCATGATCTTTTAGGTATTCATTTAAATCATGTTCTAGACTGTCTGACGGTGTCGTTTCATATACCAATATTTCATCCAAATGAATTGCTACAAGTAGAAGTAATACTATAAAACTTAATTTTGATTCAAAACGATTTGAATCACCTTGTGCACTCGAAAGTCGTCTTGGTAATATATCTAACCGAGCTTGAGCACATGGGAATAAAAGATTGACAGTACCCTCTGTACCTTCCACATCTGATAAGTCAAAACAAAACAAAATGAATTTTATTCATTCTTGAATTTTGTTTTTTTATTACCTTTGATTATAAATTTAGCTAAACACTCACTTCCACCAGATTCAGCACCAAGAATTTTAGCTGTTGACTCAAATATTTCTTGGACTAAAATGTATAGCACAATATTTGTTCTGTATTGGAAATAAAAATAAATATACCCAGTGCGCCTGTAGCTGGTCCTTCGACATAGATTCGTTGTAAACGTTGGCGATCATTATCTATGAAGACAAAAACAAACGAGCAGTATTTGAAACTGATTGAGAGAGCTTGCAAGAGAAACAAAACATACTTTTGTTTTCTTTTTTTTCTTTATCAATGAATTTATGTACCTGTAAGAACTCGTTGAACAGCTTCAACAGCTCGTTTACTTGTAAATATAAGACCATGATAATCATTCGACTATACATTAATTAATACAGAAAATATTACAATAAAATTTGAAATAATACACACCTGCAGTTTTGTAGATAATAAATCCATGTTTATAAAACGAAATTGTATAGGTGAAATTGTTTTGACATGATAGCCGTGATCACTTAACAACTATAATAAAGAAAAGTTGATTTCAAAGGTTTAATTTAATAAAATTTAACTTTTTCGTAAACATCATCACTCGATGCATCATCTGGTTTGGATCGAAACAATAGTATCGTTTTTACGGACATTTCAGTAGGGCTGCATATATCAATAATTGGAATATTTTACAAGTATAAGACTTTTTACATAATGCAAAAAAATTGTTTTATGTTGATGAAGTGATTGAATACGGCAATGAATGAATTCACATCAAGAAAAATTTAGAGTATTCCTAAGAAAACCAATAAAAATAAAAATATTATTGCAATACTGATAATCTGTATGTGGCGCCTGCACGGTATTAACAGCAACGATGAATAGTGACCTCTTTTGGTCTAGGCTTCAGACAGAAAACTCTGTGCAATTTATTTTTGAGTAGAAGTTATTTTATTTTTATTTGATGATATCTACTTGTGATACATTCACAATCTCATTATCATGCAATACAATAATGAACCACAAACTACTTCCTCAGAAGAGATGATATGTTTTTAAGGATATGAACTCGCATTTTAATCGATTTGACCTCATATGTTTTCAGCTACTTTATCAAACATGTAACGACTACTTGATAATATGAAGTTTAGTGCTGAAAACCCAACCAATCTATTTTAATAAAGGTATATCTCTGTCTCTCAGTTGAGTTATTAGCGTAGCAAGCGTTTTTGCGTCTATTGTTTATATTTAAGAGAGTAATAATAGATTTCTGGGAGATTTGTAATAAAAAATGAAAAAGGAATCGGTTCGCTAGAGGTCTCGATTTTGATTTGAAACTAAAATGAAAATTAGAATAAAACTTTGTTATAATGATATTCAGTACTTTAAACATTTCTACTTTGTTATTGAATAGAATGTGACTGAAAGAAATTTCATACCTCAACAGACATCTTTTGTTTAATGAATAATAATAATAATAAATATATACACATTTAACTATCTGTTATCCAATATTATCCGGAACACAAATATCCACATATTCGTTGTTATTTAGAACTAGGATAGATAATAATAGTTAATTTGTTTGAATGTTACTTATCTTTTCAACTAAATATAAAATTTAGTTGATACTTCCTATTTCTAATTCAACTTGTGATCTGTTCATAGAATACTGTATTGGAGAAAATCATGATACACATGGTCAGTAGATTTAAGGTTATTTTCTGTTTTAATGCACTCAATACAAACTGTAATCATTGATTAGGTAGCAATGATCCTAGTAAGGTTCAATTATAGGTACTTAGCTGATACTGTTAAAAACGATACATAAATTAATATTCTATAATTTACAATACGTTGCAAAAATATGCATGATTGTTTATTGATGGATAAAGAAATTTCTTTAATAAAATAGTGATAAATTTCTTTTTGAATAGCTTCTACTTCACCATCATTTACCAGAGACAATAAAGAGTCAAGTTTCCTATACAAATACTGACTGCCCGCTAATATAGAACAAATAATATATGATTTTCCTTCGCTTTTGATCAATTGATTCATATGCATTGATTGATTTAATCGTTTATTCAAATTTGTCATTATTTTATTACGAGAAATGATGTGTTACAAGCTGATTAAGTTGTTAATAATATTAATTGACGAAGAAACAAAGCTCTAGCATAAAGTCACTACACACATACAAATAAGAATACAAATAATATTAATCATCTGAGTCACTTGAATTGGACGAAATCAATTCAGGAATATTTGGTTTGGTCGTTTTTTGTTTACTAGTAGTACTAGTTGATGTTCCATGTTTTGATGAATGTTCATGCGTCGGACTCGAGCTATGAAGACCTCCTCGTGCTGATTGCGGCTTACGATAATCATCATTTTCGACTGATCCACCACGATAAGGACGAGTATCCGCTGGTAAACTATGACGTGAACCTAATTCTTCATCACGACGATGATCTGGTAATACACTCATAGACCCTGAATGTTGACCACTGAGAGCACCTCCTGTTGTTCGTTTCGGATTGTTAAGTGCCGTCTCACTGACACTTCGTTGAGATGGATGAAGACGATGAAATGGTGCAGCCGTTCGAAATTCCTTTAAACAATTAAATTATTAATCGAAACAAAATATGCTTAAAACAAAACTCATATTTACCTCTAAATCACGAGCAATATCAATATTTAATAATTGTTGATGTGCATATGTATACATTTCCATAGCACGAGCATGAAAAGCCAAATTAATTAATGTAAAATCTGTTAAATACTTTTTAATATCAGTCAATTTCATTTGTTCAAATTTATCAATTTCATCTTGAACAACATTATCTGCGCGTGATGATTCTGTTTGTGCATATTCAGCATTAACTTGCATAGCAACAATAGCATCACGGTTGCCCGGATTACGACTTGTTGCTTGTTGTAGTTTACGCTGTCGCTGAGCACCTTTATCTCGTGCATTAATAGCCTTTTGTACGGCTTGCTACAAAAATTAAAGAAAACAAAGTCACTTTTGTTTCAAAAAACAAACAAGAATTATTTTATTCATACTCGTTTAAGTTTTAATACTTCGCCATATTTAGCAAGTGGTTCAAGTATTTGATTTTCGATTCTTGTAATCTATCAATAAGAAATGTATTTGTTTCAAGTGAAATCAGATGTATTTTAAATAAATTTCAACATACAAGTGTATTACGATAATCCTCGACAGCTGATAAATAACTTGCATATTGCTGCAGACTTTGTCTTAATGTTGTATTTATACGTTCACGATCAGCGAATTCGAACATATTTTGAGCCAATGAATCATTACAATCACGCAAGCGTGCTTCTTTGCGACATACCTTACCGAATTGTAAACATATACTACCTAAGTATTTTTCTGTTTGATTAATCCGGTCTAATACGAATTTTGTATTATTTGGGTCGCTATTCAAAATATGAGAATCGTTATGTCAAAAAAATAACTTCATTTCAGGTTTATTTACCGATCCTGATACATGCTGTTAGTTTGGGTTTTGAAAAACAATAAATGAGAGAGAAAAAAAAGTAAATGTATGCCATGTCTTAATGCGTAGTGATTAATATTGCTAGGCAACAATTGAATAGATGTCACTAAATACTAATGAGAGTAGTTCATAGAATATTTATCTTAGAATATAATATGACTTAAATTCAATTATATTTATGAAAAATTTTTGAATATTTCCAAGTGAAGATGAACCTTAGTAACTAAGAAACCTAAGGTCTTCATTATCATATCAAAAGAAAGATAAAATTACCTTTGAATTACCTGTCAAAGGGATCTACTTGATTTGACAGACGTCGTTATGTGAATAGGATAGTGATTAACAAACAAGTAGAAGAGCTGATAAATTTTTTAATGCATTTTTCTAATCATTTTATTTAATATAAATATTGTTTTAAACATTCGTACGAGAAAGAGTCTGCTTTTTACATGCAAGCAAAAATCCAACAATTCGAAACTACAGTTAGTTATAATGAAATTATATGATTTTTTTTGTTTCTTTGTATACAGAAAAAAAGCTTGAATTTACAAATTGTTTTACAAGTATCACATTCATGATGAATGTTCGCTAGCAGCAGTCCCGTGAAAAAAATAGTTCATATCGCCGCTCATTTCTAGCATCCGTAAAACTTCAGGTCTCACTTTCATATTAATAATTCAATACAGAAAAAAAATGATTCGACATTAATTCAAATTTTCCGAAAGTTTTATTTTTGTTTTATTTTAGCAATGTGCGTAACTTTGTTTACTGATCTTCCTGATCTTGTGATCCTTAATGTTCTTCGATTTCTTTCACATTTTGATGCAATTCAAGCATTTTATAATATTAATAATAATACCGATCGAATTTTAAGTCTTTTAATTGAAGGTCAATGTTTTTCATCGATGCACTATTTTCGTTTGTCTTTATTTAATTTTGTTTGCGATCATGTTTTATCACGTATTGGTAGCAAACTTACTCATTTGACTCTTTGTGATCATCAACTTGCATTAGCTTATCAAAAGCAAATTCTTTTATATTTATCTAATGTTTTATCACTTCATTTAATAAATATCATCGAAATAACAGAAAGCGATAATTACCTTTCATATTTTCTTCGAAAACAATTAAAAAGCCTTACTATTGAATTTCTTAGTGAACATCATTTCGAAGCTCAAGCTTATGTATGTGAACAATTTATATTTAGTAAAAATTCAGAAAGTTTAACTCATTGTCATTTAATAAATGATCATGGAATACAACTTAAACATAGAATTTTATTACCGAATGTCTCTATTGTAAATATGACAATACAATTAAGACAACTATCAGATTTACATGTACTTTTTGATTATTTATTGAATGTAAAAATTTTAAACGTTAAAATTTGTCGATGGACTGTTGAAGATATTAAATATGATTATGCAAAATTACCAAAAACACTATCTCATCTAATTGAATTTTCTCTTCAAAGTGATCATGCATTGAGTTTCAATCAAATGATAATAATTTTTCGCCATCTTATTCATTTAGAAAAACTTTCATTTCTTTATCGAAACTACGATGAACATGGTATTGATATAAATCAACTGGAAATCGCATTGACTTATCTTAAAAATTTAACAGAACTTAATTCAATTATTAACTTTATATATTTTAATCTGAATCCAAAATTAACATTTGAAAATAATATTCATTTTAAACAACGATGGAATATTCATACATATAAGAATTTATTATATAAAAATTATGTCGCGTATACGCAACCGTTTATCAATGTATCTTACTCAATTTCAAGTGATGTTCTACTAGAAGATAATTCAACAGATTTTTCATCAATAACTAATTTAACTTTAAAAACACACACAAAACAATTGTCTCTCTTACCTATTATTCGTTCATTAAATAGTAGGTTTTCATCAGTGACTCATCTTCATATAATAGATTCATTTGGTATCGAAGATAATCACAATGATGATATTAAATTGCCAAAAGTCTATTCATTTGATGCATCGGAGATAAAATTATCGAATTTATTTCAAATACTTTTACGATCGATGCCTAATTTGGCTCATCTACAAGTAAATTTAAATGTTTTAATAGCTTGTGACTGGAAGTTATTATTAGCTAACAATAAAATTAAACATCTTGAATTGAAAACAAACAATTTAGATCAAATCAATCCTATTTTATTTTATTTTTCGTCTTTGGAACAACTAATAGTCAACACTAAGAAACAATCAAATCAATATAAAAGAATATATATTCAAATTATTTTAGATTGGTTTCATAGATGTTCTCAATTGTATACAATTCATGTTAAAGCACATAAACTATCTGATTTTCTTTATATAGAACATACGGAAAGTGATAAAAATATGCATGTTAAATATTCGAATGAAATATTTACCCTATGGAGATAACTTTAATAAAAATAGAACAGATGTAGAGAATATATTTATGTAAAAAAGATTACTTTTACATTGATCTATCAAGAGAAAGTCATCAGTGTGATCAATACAAATCGTATTATATAAAATAGAATTTTTATTTCTCGTCATAGAGTTTCATTGACAGTTGCTTGATAGATTTGATGGTAGGTCTCGATTTTTGTGCTACTCCTCTACAAAATGAAAATCAATTTAATATATTCTCTATTCTACTCGATACAAAGCAAGTCGAATGTTTGACAATATTTCAATTTTAGTAGATTATTGCTTTAGATTTGTATATTTAGTGGATACTATTCTACAATAATTTTCTAATTACTGAACTATGAAATTCAAGTCTACTGAAAATATACTTTGACTTTCTAATTTATAAAAGATTATCTTGCTGAAATGCGATATATTGTCATTAAAGTTTTATATTTGTTAATTAAATGTTTCTTCTCTTTTTAACCCAAGTATTCGTGATCATTAGTAAATTTGCTTGATAATTGCCAAACTACTTATCAAATACTACCAATATTGACATAAAAGAAAAGATTTATTTGATCTTTAACATCAATCAATATTATCATGGGAGTTGAGATGGCTTAATTTCATACATATTTCAAGTAATAGTTATCATTCTTTAGCTATCGATTATGCAAAATTTATAAGAATAATAATTTTCCTTTTATCACAAGTTCAAACTGCTAGAAAACTGTAATGTATTAGTATTGAGCTATCATCTTCGTCCAAATTTATGCATGGAACAAGTGTAGAAATATTTTTCGTAAATTCTGTCACGGAGCCGAAGCTATTTTAAAAGTAATATCAGCATGGCTTCTTTTTTCTCAAGATTAAGAAATTCCATGAATATATCCACATTTGAATATCTACGAGCTCAACAGTTAGAATATTAATGTATTTGATTAATTGAATTCAATTATGCTAATTTAAGACAGTGATCACATAGATTTCTCGAAGAAAAATTATGGTAGCGATGCATTCCTTTCGTCTCTTCTAGGTCTATGACATATTCCCCTTCACAATGAACATGTATGACAAAGAAAACGGTTTTATATCAGATTACACAAACAACCCAAGTTGCAATTAGTTTTATCGAATATTAATTCTTCAAAATACAAGAACTAATATAAGATCATTAGAAAAATTGAACTGATAAATCAGATAAATCTTCAATTAAGTGTTTTGAAGCAATACACAGTTAAAGTATTGAACAATCAATTAAGAATTTTATTTCTTGTTTTTTTTTCTTCTTCTCGACTCCTATTGAACAAGATATTGTCATTGAGAATCACAATATAATTCATAAAAAGCAGTTTGATCTTGCTTTTTGTTTTACATTTATTTATAAAGAAATAAAAGCAAAAGAAAACTATAGCAGGCAGAATTTCATGCAATTCTTTTAAATATACCAGATATTAAAAATCTAATGGTAGAAGAATAAAAAACGAAAAAACTAATTTTTTATCACGATCAATATTAGTGGTCACAAAACACGCGTGCAAGTTTAGTCATCTAAGTGAAAAAATAATGTCTCTGTTTTCTTCGTTTGTATACGTGTCTTTTATTCACAACGATTGTGTTAGTAATAACCTAGAAAGAGAAAATTGAATAAAATAATCAACTTATGAGAATTGTCTAATGCTTACGATAAAGAGATGAGTAAAGGATCGGGCTGGTCGCACGTGATCGACGTACCGGGCTTACCGAACGACTTCGAATAGGGCTGGAATAGCCTCGACGAACTGGACTCGATGCTCGAGAACGACCCTATATTTATTATTCAAATCAAATAATTATTTTTTTCTTTACTAATTTGATATACATACCAATGAAGCGCCCCGTTTTGTACATGCTTCGCCCTGAAAAAAGATAACAAAATCAATGTCATACTTGATTAGGTTTTTCAAATTTTTTTTCTCTATATTTTTTCTGATAATCTGAACCGAGCAAAATTTACCTTAACAATAACTCGTGACCCTTGCATTAATGCTGGCCATATATGATGATTAACCAATGGTGCCGAATATTCCGAATCGTAGCTGCGTCGATATCTTAATTAAATATAGAACGATAGCTTTTTTTTTAATTAATAGCTTTAAACCTACTTAGTTTCATCAAATACTTCGGCATCGCTTGCAAATGCAATGTCCAATGGATAGACAAGACATGCCATATGCCAAGCAATACGACATGCTTCTCGTATATATGTACTAACCAAAGAATAAGTTACACCAAGCGGTAAACTTATTCGAGGATTACGATGTAAATTATCAGTCACTTCCTATGATAAAAGATGGTTCTTTTGTTTTTCAATAAAACAACTTAAACAGCTAGATTTTACCGATACAATATTTGTTAATTCAAAATAATCCAGATTTCGATTAATATAATCTTGAACAACATCTTCAAGTGAATCACTACCTCGTACTGTAATAGCCAATTGAGAACGAAGACGTAATTTCCATTCAACAAAACGTCGTTTTGATACTGAAAAAGATTCCTAAAATTATAAAATAAAAATATTATTTTTAACTAAAAAAGGGATCACTATTTATTTTTATTACTTGAATGATATTGAAACATATACGTTGATTCATTTCATAATCATCGGATACTGATCGAAGTATATCCATAGCATCAAGACGTTCTCTTGCATATAAATCATTAAAACGTTGAATTAGTGTATTTTCACGAAGTTTTTGTAATGATTCATCCGATGATGATGACAATGAAATTAATGAACGTGCTGGTGATAGAGACCGTCGTCGTACATAACTAAAAGAAAATTTCATAAGCAATCGATGTCTTTTTTCTTAGAACTATTTACCTATGAACAGGCGAAAGAGAGCGAGCTCGTGAACGTGTTTGAGCGAATTCAATATCATCACGTAGACGACGAATTTCTCGTTCATAATTATCAACAACAGCCGATCGTGGTTTATAACGTTCGAGTGAAAGTCGAAATTCGGCATCACTTAATCTATTCAAAAAAATAAAAGAATCTTTTTCATTGTTCTTTAAGGATATATATATATTTACCGTGATCGTAAATTAGCCAATTCAGTTTCGGTAAAAATCTTCTCATCTGTTGCTTTATAACGTTCATCAATAAGTTCAGCCCGCGTTTGTTCCAGTCTAAAGGAGAAATGATCCATTTTTTGTAAAAAAAATATAGAAAAATAATTAAATTTTATATACTCAGCCTCGAGCCGAGCATTGTCAACGTTGGCATGACGTAGGTCGAGTTCAAGTTCACTTAGATTGCCTTCATATTCATTAGCCAATGAGAGAAACTCAGCATCTGTACGAAGATGTGAATATGGATAGCGCCACCAAGCCAACGGATATAAATCCGTACCAGTATTACTTAGCAAACCATTGAGATAGGATGCTTCAACACTAAGAACTGGTAGTAAACGTGCTTTGATTGTCGATGCTCCACCATAGACACCGCCTATGAGATGAGGGATAATCATAGAGTAGTGGGAGGGAAAGATTAAAAAAAACTCAGATGAATGTGTTAACATGAAGACATGTTTGTTATTATTCCCCGCCGACAGAAGCTGATATCACCTGGTGCTTGTAGTTCAGAGCAAATCAAACAATGCACAAAGTATATCAGCCGTTTCGCGCAAGATTTCTATGTGTGTGTATGGATGTGTGATTGAGGATGTGTGTGTGTGTGTGTTTTTCAGTGAATGGTTATGGGTAAGAAACAGAAGATAAAATGGAATGAACGTTTCCATCTTACTCAATTGTCGCGCTCGGAGAAACCGCGCGAGTGAATGACTGAACGAGAGAAATAGCGAGCACACAATAGTGAAAAAAAAGGAGAGGGAGAGACATAGATAGAGAAAAAGTCTGACACCCGGAAGAAAGCATTTCCATTTGACGACGATGGGAAAAAAAATGAGACCAACTTCTTTCTCGCTCTCGCTCTTTCTCTCTCTCTCTCTTTGCCTCTCTTCTCCTATTTTTTCTCTTTTTTTGCACATCATGCACGATGACTGAACAATCATGATGAGATTTTTTTCCTTGTCAGGGCGCAACTCGATCGAGCTTTTGTGAGTTTCAATTAAAGAGACAAGAGTAGCGGCAACACAAGAAAAAGAAAAAGATAAGATGAAGGGAAGACAGAAAAAGATGTTCTCAACTTGACAAAATTGGTCGTCACATAAAAAGAAAAAAGAGAATATGCTCACAAGAACGGAAAATCGAATACTTTTTTCTTTAATATCTTTTTTACTATACTCTATTTATAGTTCGCTTTGTTATTGGATGCCTCTTTGAAGATGAAGTTTCTATTAGAAAATATAGAGAAAAAGTCTGGCATCATCAACTGTGGCTACTTTTTTTTGTTCTAATCAAAATCGGATGAGTAATTATTTCTACCTTGTTCAGTCGTTCTCTCTCATAGCAAATGTTCAGTCAAAGTGTCTGCTGGAGCGTGTTTGCCAGTGTGTATGGTGTTGTGTCAAAAGAAAAAGAAAGAAAGACTCTTGTCACTACCATAACCACTACTCTGACTATTACTTCTATTTATTTTTTGTCTCTTTCTCTTCTTTATCGTCAATGACGTTGGTTACTTCTTTATGTTATTGACAGCCCTTGTTTCAGAAAATGATGATGATGATGATGATGAAAAAGCGCGCACAACAGGAGGGAGATCGGTTGAATTAGCGCTCTTTCACTCGTTCGTTCGCTCGCTCGCTCGCTCGCTCAGGTTTTTGCTAATAATGTTGGTGCCGATAGAAAATGAAAAGAACTACACATGCGCACATTCACCAAATGACAGAATAAAACTAGTCGTCGTATAGTAAACTCGTCGTCACTCATTTTTTTCTTCTACTTTTTCTATTCTTCCTTTTTTTCTTGATAAAAAAATCTGTTGTTTGTATTGCAGACGGCAGCGGCGAACTGAATGGAAAAGAATGTAACTTTACTTATTTCTTTTCTACATTGTGCACGGCGACGCCTAGCGCTTAGCCCCGAGGCAGGAAATGTGCACGGGAACGACAATGAAAAGGAGGGAAGAAGAACGAGAGAGAGAGAGAGAGAATACGAGGGTTAGAGGGTGAGAGGGTGAGTGGGTGTTCCTGTTCTAGTAACGAATAGAAAGAATAGACTACGGGGAGATTGAACGCGGGCATGCATCGAACAAAATTGTCGCCTCTGCTTAATTATGGATGACGGAAAATGGAAAGAGATGGAAAAAAAGAAAAGAAATAATAGCATGCTGTACTAATCCCCAATGCTGTGTGAAATGATAATCAGAAAGATGCATACGCACAAACAATCATCACAAAATAGACAGTTAGACAGATAGAAAAACTGACAGATACGAAGATATGTGCATGCGACTCACTATGGACTTTCGCATCGGGCTTAGTGTAATAGCGTTACACGCTACTATTCATTTAAGATTGCATGCAACCAACGCCATCATTCATCTTTTTTTCCTCTGCTTTTCTTCTTCTTTTTTTACAATGCCTTCGTGCCAGATTGGTTTAAGTCTTTTTCGTTGACTTACTCCTATAACAGCCTAAAAGCTCATTAGTCTAATTGTCTATCATCGTCTAGAAGACGTTGGAAAGCAACTCGAGTGTCATCCGTTGTTTTTTATGTTGTCTGTACGTTGTCGAGTAGTCAGATCTATTTTGCTAGGCTAGATCGAAAAAGAAGAAGGCGGAGGACTAGTCTTGTGCGCACACATGCTAGTTGATTGCATGACTTCCGGCCTGTCCGTCATGATAATGGAGTATGCAAGAAGCCAAGTGAACTCAAGAGGAATCGATAAAGGCTCACGCAAGATATACAAGTATGAATTTTTGATGAGAAAAAAAGGTCAAACTCATCTATAGTGAGACATTTATAATATGAGATTATGAATTTGTCAATTCAAGAAAACTAACAAATAAAATTGATGTATAAAATAATTGTCTATGACAACAGAAAAATCATAAAGTCTTTCATTTTTCTATTATCCATACTATCTATGTTCGATGATGATTCTTTTTCTTCTTCTTTTTTTTTAATAATAAATGTGTTAACTGGCACAATAATCATTCGGATCAACTATGGCGATTACAAAACAAAAAAAAAAGAAATTAGCCTCTCTCATGCATGAGGTGTGACGAGCTTGTCCTTGAATAGAGTTGTATTATTCTGTTGTTGTTGTTATTAAAAAAAAAGATGAAAAAAAGAAATCTAGTTTTTATTCTTCTTCGATGTCTTCTAGTGCTTCCTACATACACACACATAGAGGGTTTCTTTCCATTATATATTACATATATGCATATAGAATTGTGTTTTTTTGTCTACTACAATGATGGTGATCATGATGATTATGGTTTTTTTTTGGTTTGCAGAAGTTTTTTTTTGTTTATTTTTCGGATTCAAAAACATGAATTGCTAGATGAAAACTTGAATATTATTTCTTACCTTCAGCTGAAACTAAATTGAGAAGTTTGAATAGTTCTCTTTGTACACGTGCATTTAATTCAATGACATCGATACATCGCGATACATTTGTATCACACGAATTCGACTAGAGAAAAACAAATGAAATACAAAGAAGATAGATTTATTTTTCTCTTTAATTTTCAAGAATTAACGCAAGACGACGTAGTCTTCTTTTTTGATGCGTGTGTCAATAGTTTATTGAAATATATTCAAATTTTTCGCTAGAAAAAAAACCTTATGTGACTCGATATCACCCAACGGTTATACTTTTACATCACTATACAACTATTTCTATTATTGTTATTCTTTTAACACTCACCAAATAGGTATCATTTAGACGAGAAAGTTTATCTTGAAGTAAATTGAACGTTGACATATCATTTAAACGCCGAAGAAAGACTTTTGCCGCCATAATTGAGTTGGTGTTTTTTAGACTTAATTGTTGTTGATGTGATTGTAACTAGTGTTCTTCTGACGGTTTACTTTTCAAAATGAATATGTTTCTTTGATGACCGATGATGAAGAATACAGCAAAAAATGACGATCGAAAAAGAGAAAAAATGTTGAAAGAATTTCGATTCAAACAAACCAAGCAGAAAAGAACATTTCAACCACCGGCGACCACATTAAATAGAGTACAAGAGGGAAAGAGAAGAGGGGTAAGAGAGAGAGAGAGAGAGAGCAAGAATTTTTTTCGTTTTCGACACAAAAGAAATCACACGTATGTGAGTTAAGGTACTGCTGGTGTCGGACGTCGAACATCAGTCAACAACAACATATGAATCGATCAATAAAAAAAAAAGAAGAAGACGAGAACGATGTTGTTGTGGCTTTGACGAGTTTGTTAGAGTGCGGTAAAAAAAAAGAAAAACGAGAATGAAAAAGTAGGGGTAGCAAAAAAGAATTAAAAAAAACTTCTCACTCTTTATTCCAGTTTTGATGCACACCGTAAAGATGAAGTTTTTCAATGTACTGCAATCAGAAGTTCTCGCGTAGGAAACAACATATACACGATTCCCGTTCTCATTTATTTATAATGTTGATATGAAAATATTGACCGTGTGCATAATTTCGCTTTTTTTTGACATCAACATCTTCTCAAGGATATTGTGGTATGCGATGCCAATGGTATAGCGAAATTCTTTGATGACGTATGTATACGTTAAAGTATGCATCAAGGTTATCTATTAACAAAATGTGGATTTGTGTGGATAGAAGAAAAAAAAACGCTCAATAATCAACGCAATGAAAAGAAAAACTTTAGTAAAGCTGATTAGTCTGACTCAAAACTAATTAGAGAATATCCATTCATTCACTTGTTTCATGCTCAAGCTTAAACACAATGTAATGATTGAGTCGAAGAAGATTTTTATTTTTACATATATATTCATTTTTTAGTCACACTGATTCATAAAAAAGAAAGGAGATTTGAGTTTAACAAGTGACAATTTTATGCTGAATAACAACTAAATACAGCTTCCGCTTTCATTCTATCAGTTACTGTGCAGCTGTAGATGCAACTGAAGTGTGCCATAAACATTTTCAGTTATTCAAGCTGTTTAAACAATCTGATGTTTTTACAAGAATCTACGGGATGCGAAGAACGTAAAGCATAGCACTCATAAAACTATTGGGAACAAAGACAACATGCAATTTATTAAATGCATTTTCTTTTGCTGTTACAGTATTTGATTACTAGTACTACGAAATTTAAGTTGTTTTTCTTAGACAAATAAATCGAACAAAGTTATTATTTATATGTTGAGATATTTTGATCAACAGCCAATAAAATTGATTCTGCTTATCTGTAATAATAAATCGTGTTACACATTTATTTTACGATTTTCTAAATTATTTGTTCAGTTAAGTATCGACTGTGATAGTCTGTTGAATACTGAATAATCTTTCTTATTTTTTATAAGTGTTATGACATCAAGAGAAAAGCCAATACATTCCATTATAGAATTTAAGTGAGAATTTCAATTTCAAGATTTATTTCATCTGGTCTTGATTTCATTAAATTAATTGCAAAAACAAATGTGCAGATGGAAATAAACTACTTTTTTTTCTGTTTCTTCTATCAAATTGACCGAACAATGCATCAATCGAAAGACGACCAATATTGAGTAAGGCGAAAGCGATGTTTATCTCCCAGGGCAATTTAAAGTTTCTAGAAGAATTGTATTTCAACGAATATCAAAAATTGATTTAATCTTTTTATAGAAGAGCAAAAAAGAAACAGACACAATATGAATTTCAACAACAAGCTGTCCAATTGCATTTGTTTTGACATTTTCTTTTGGTTGTTATCAAGAACAAGAAAGTAATACTTCTCCGATGAAATTGTATATTTGTAGAACAAATTTTGATTCATTCTCTATTTAGTAAATCAACTCGTTACGCACACACACAAATATATATATATATCGGTGTGTGTGTGTGTGTGTGTTCTTTTACTAATAATCTCTTGAAGATATACAAACAAAGGAAACACTGAGTAAAATTCCTAATTTATTTTCTATTTTGTTTTTATTCAACAATAGTTCTCGCTCGTTGTCGGCGAGTTTCGTTATGTTTAGCGATTTCAATCTGTAAATCTTCCAAATCACGTTGAATTTCACATAATAAGGATTCTTTTTCTTTTGCAAATTTTTCTTTTTCAGCAGCAAAACGTAATTTTAATTCATCTTTTTTGACTTGAACAGCGTCACGGGCTTGTTGCTGTAAACGCATTCGTTCTAATTCTCGATCATCATGATCAATTTGAGTTATGAATGGATTTTCTGGTGCATGTTCAATACGTAAAACTTTCTTCAACCATTCATATACGTCATAATCAGCATGCATTAATTTATTAAGCAAAAAATTGCGTATCGTTTGAAGTTTGCCGACAACGTTTCGACGGCTACTTCGCTACAAAAATCAAAAAAATATTTATCTATTAATTCCAAAATAGAGTTAAAAAACAATACCCGTGGATCAATATCACCATATTTGATATGCATTCGAATGCGAGCGGTCAGCTTAGCAACTAAAAACGAACGTAATTGAGAACAAAAGTTAAATTAAAAGAATCTGTTTTTTTTATTCACACTTATTGTAAACACATTCACTGCCCTAATAGTAAAAATGCAAAGTTATCATGTAGTATTTAGTTTGTAAAAATCTACATAGAAACTGTATGCAGTCATGTTCTTAATAGAAGTCTACATTGAAATGAATACATTTGTCTCGCTAGTAAATCAGATTTAACGTAAAAGATTTTTGAATTATCAGTTTTATTTTTGTTAATTTTATTTAGTTTACTAAAAGCTGACATGTTTTTCTGTGCTTCAAGGCCTATGCTTGTGAGTAGAAGTTGAAGTCAACCTTGACTCTTCAGTGTATCCACCTTAGTAAACAACTAAGAAGATTCAATCAAATCTTTAAAATACACTAGTTTGTATAATTTACACAAAACAATAACACTTATTATTCAAAAAAGAAACCTGTAATGTTCAGCATATCTTACTAGTAGACAAAGTGAAGGGCTCTTAAAATTCATTCTAATCCATGTCTTCAGTTGTAACTTGTTGCAGTAAAACTGTGTATACAATATCGTTTCAAACTCAGTGATTTCAGAATGTCTTCAAACCCTTTCATATTTCGAAATTCAAAGAATCTAGAAAAATCTAGTCGACACTATTATTGTAAGCTCTTGAATACGAATTATTTATGAGCGAACATTTAACTAATTTCCTCAGTGACTTAGTGTCATTCGGTTTTCCAGTGATACCCATTTCAAAATTCTAGTATAGTTGCTGTTGAATTTCTAATATCTCGATGGTGAATATTGCTGTTCTTGGTTTTATTTTTTATGAAAACAAAAAAAGACAAGAAACTCAAGAAAAAAGTATTATGCAAATGAACATCTCCTGATTCTATCGAGAACTTGATAAAGAAAAATTAATAAACTTTGTTAGAATATTTTGCTATTTCTTCTGTTTTGTTTGCTAACATCAAAATAGCTACAGGATTATTACACACAAAATGAAAACTTTTAATTTCTTTATAAAAATAAAAAAACTTACTGAGTACTTCATACGAAGATTGATCCAGAGGATGACGCTGAACAGCTTTTACTAAATAATCTGAATAATATTGTTGAATTTCAGCCTATGAATAATTTTTATGATCAAACAGAAACAATAGAAAGTTAAATTATTCACGCGCGTGGCATATTCGAGAGTAAATACACGTTTCACAAGATCATCAGCACTAGAAAATTTTATTTTACAATTAACTACTTCAAGAAAACAAAACAATAAAGACTACGAACGTTTTTAATTCTTCGGAATTTTCAAAACCAGGTCGTAATATTTTGGTTGTATCGAAATTAGGATAAGGATCAATATCACCTAAAAACATAAGCAAAAAGATTGTTTTGTCTAAATATATCTTCATCGAAATCTATTATATTCATACCTGTTTCCCATTTTGGTTTTGGTTTATACATGTGCGCAGGTAATGCACGCTTAGTTTTCCCTACGATACCCGGTGATACTTTGGAAATTGATCGTATCCATAAAATTCCATTAATTAAGTTTGCTCTATTTTTTCCGAATGATTGTAATATCGATGATGGTACTATTTGCTTTGTTATTACTGTTAACATCTAGATAAATGAAGCATAATTTTTTTTTCTCATATTTTTGGTAACTAAAAAAAGAAAAAACAAGAAGAATGTCTTTTTCTCTTACTCCTTGTAATGCGGAAAGAAACGAAAAAAAGAAAAAACCACACTGATCAATAACGAAAAGTTTGGTTTTCTATTTAATTAGTTAGTTAATTAAAAATTTTATCTTAGTTCTTTTTTTGTTCGTTTAATCAACATCAAGATCTAAATCAGATTGCTGTTGTTGTTGTATTCCCCGAGTACCATTTGATAAATTAGCTGTCAATGAATTCATGAGATTTTCAAATGGATTTGATGATGACGTCGAAGATTTTTGTTTTAGACCAAAAAATAATGCACCAATTCTATCAACATATTGAACTAAAGTTGAATCACGTTCAAGTGATAGTTTATATGCATTGACCAAAGATGAAAAGCAACGAGTCGTTTCTGACGATGGTGGTGCATCTAAAGAGAATATTTTTATTTTCATCAGATTAAAAAATAACAATCTCTTTCATTTAAAGTCAATAATAGTAATAAATCTAATACAACTTGGTTTTTCAAAGATAAACATGAGCTCGAATCAATTGTTATGGTTGATAATTAATCAAGATTAGTTGTATTCCTTATCAAGTAAAATACGAATTATATTTCTTATCAAAAGACTAAACTAAGATAGTTTAAAATTAGCGAAAAGATTAATAAATCGATTATAAATACGATCGCTTCACGAATTAATTGTTTCATCTCATGCTGTAAATCGACGTGAACTGAAATTATTGCTTTTTTTCAATTCTATATTACTATCTTTAACTTAGAAATAATCTTTTAAGCAACAATATTTCATGAAAAAAACATTTCATAAATAACTTGATTAGAAAGACGAAAATTAATTTTTCTAATGGTAAAATTCTTTGAACGACTACTCATTTTCAAACTTGTCTTGCATCTATAACAATCCTACGAATAGATCGACGAAAATTTTGAACCGTTCATTTCTAGAACCGCATTAAAGGCAATCGGCTATATTTTGAATTCAGTTTTGAGTATAGGTCAAAAAATGACTGCAGAAAATTTCAATTTCACACTTTATCAAGGGACATATCTAATGATTTGAGGACTTTTAAAAATTTTAATTGGCAATGAACTCTTTTTTTCTTCCTTAGAGGGATTGAACTTTCTCGTAAACTTCATTTTGTTGGAATATTCGTCATAATCCACTATTTGATGAAAATTCAACATCTCGAGTTAAGTAAACTTTTCTCAATGGAATTTTGAAGGATATTTTAGCAACGATTGAACTTATTCATGAGTGAAAATACACATCACTATACTGTTTTTCTGTATATATCTAAAATTAAAGCTAAGATTTATTTTAAATTGAAACAAAAGATACTTGAAAATAATTTCCAATACGCATAATCATATTATTTTTCTAGAAATGTAAGGACCAAAATCAATATTAATCAAGATATCCATTAAAGAACTACCTAACGAGATGTAATATAAAACCTTTTTCTCAAAAAAAAATGAATCTTGAATTTTATCATTTAGTTTTTTCTAAACAATTTCGATTATTACAAATCAAATGATGAGAAAAATGCATAGAAACGGTCTCTTTTAATGCATTGAAATTTTAACACAAAATATAAATGATTAATTGTTCATCAAACAATCTAAGTACTCAACAAAGAACTCGCCATCTTCAAAATAAATGCAATTCTAAGTTATATTTTGATCATTTTTTCTTAGTCTCATGTGCATCTTTGAAAAAAAATTATCTAAAAATTTTACCTGACCGATGAATTGGTTCTCCACTAGATAGATTATTATTCATTGATGTTTTAATAAGAATCTTTCTTAAACACACTAAAAGAAACCAAAGGAAATTTAACATTGGATAAACATTACTAAATGGTCCCGGTGGTGGTTGTCGAATTTTAGGATGTTGCTCAACATAAGTTACAAAAACAAGATAAGCTGTATGAAAATTTCGAAGTAATAAATATTGTAAAACAGATTGTGCAATAAATAAATCAATTTCTGATGGATAGCCCAATGTTTGATGTGCTTCGATAAGCATTATTGCAAATGAACGTCCATCATGCGAACGTAAGTAATGATAACGACTATCTTTATAATTTTTTTCTTGTTCCCAAAGTATATGTGCAAAAGATTGATGTAATCTTGGATGACCAAATTTATGATAAACTAAACGTTTTGTAGATGGTGTTGTTGAACTTGATTCAGTTAATGTTGAAAGTAATGTTGTTGACAGTGATGAATTTGATTCTGTACGAAGAGCAGGTAATTGTTCGTCTTCTTGTTGATCAGATGATACTTGTGATGACCAACGTAAAACATTACAAGCAAATTCTGTTCGTTCATCATGGTAAGGTTTTAATGATTGAAATAAAATACAAATTTCTTGAAGAAGATTATCAGTTAAATCATTTATACTTGAACGATTCAATGTTTCTACATAGCATTTACATAAATCGTAGCCACTATTTGATTGATTGTGTTCAAGAAAATAACAAGCTGATTCAAAAAGAAACTTTAAAATATTTTCATCACTTGTTGACGAATGAAGACGAACATATATTGTACGACAGATTTGATGGGCTTCATAAAAATCTTTATTTTGTTTACATTGTTCTAATTTATCATGAAGACGTGATGAAGAAGTACGAGACATGGCTGTTCTCTATCAATGATTATGTTCGACAGAACGACCTATTATAACTAAATTTATGTTATGCCCGATTGAGAAACGATTCATGATGAGTCATTTCATTTTCCAAACATTATTTTTTTCTATTATTTAATGGAAATGAGAAAAAATCTTGCCTCAATCAAAATTTTAATTCGAAATTCTTTATTCTATGAAGAGATTTTATGGAAGAAAAACTTTCACGCGACATCTATTTATTAGGTGATAGAATGATCAAATCAAGTTGGTGTGAACGACAAAGCTTTGTTTCATAAGGAGCATTTCATTGTCTCATGGGCAATGACCTTTTTAATTTTAATTTTAATGTAAAATTTAATATTGAGTTTGTTTTTAAATTAACTTATTAATTATGGGTAAACGAGGACGTCCACCAAAGAAAAAACCCATTGATACTACCACAAAAGTTGATGAATGTTATACAATATTAAGTAGCGATGAAGAAACTGGTAGTAAACCAGACACATTAAGTCTACCATCTCCAAGTCAACGACGAGGAATGGGAAATGACCGTAATGGAACAATTGTTATCACGCCACCAGATCGATCAATACTTTCGAAAAAAAATGTTGAAAAAAAGACACCATTAACAAGAAATAATAATAATAATAATAATAATAACAACAAAAAAAAACTTATTCTTAATGGAAAAAACAAAAAAAGCGATACATCTGGTGATAGCGATGCAACGGAAGTGTATGTATAATTTTGTTCTTGATTGAGATATTCCTACAGGAATATTTCGCTTCTGTAAAAGTTACTTTTGATGATTATTTAGAGAAGAGAGAGGATTATTCAATATTTATAACTAAGAAACATAAAACTATAATGAAAACAAAAAGATACTGACTATTCGACGATCATAAACGTTTTTGTTTGAACATGAAAAAGCCATAAAATAGTGACTGAAGAGGTTCTATAGTATCAAAATTACTAATTAATGGAATATATTTTTCATAATGCAGAATAAATGGAATTGACTAAGTGATTGAAATATTTCAACAGGCCTTTATTTTTCGCCGTGCATTGTGAAAGAAGCTAAGTATATTACATGCCGGTAAACATCTTCAACGTTAGAAACTTTAATAGAATTCCAAGCGAATATTAACATAGACACATATTTTCGCTTTTGTTTTTGTCTTCACTAGAACATACCGTTTCTTGTGAACATTAAAATTCGCGGTTACTTTGACGTTCACGAGCATAAGAACCTTCAGCGAAAAAATACTGTGGTAGTTATTTTTATATTTTATAACCTAAGGCAAGATCAATATCGATTTCTATTGGACTCTCAATTTTCACATTCATCTACCAATTGACCTCAGCTATTTTCATATTTAATTGTAAACCGCCTTGGATAGGTAAAAATCGGAGTAACTACAAGTATCAACTTTGATGAAAATTGTTTGTTCAAATTATTTAAAAGAGAAGAACGCCCAATTTCACTTAGATATTGACAGTTGATGCCGATATGAAAATGAATTTGGACTTGCTTTTTTACTATGAAAGATATGACATAGGAAGAACTAATTGCAGTGCACTGTCCGTTGTAGCTTTATTCAGGATTAGATTAGATGTTGTCGATGGTTTTTATTTCTAGTCAAGAACATTGTTTTCAATTATAAACAATCTAGATCATTCTATATTTAAATTTTTGTTTTTTTCGTAATAGGTATGCAGTTAGTAATGATGAGGTTGAAGATGATAAAGAAAAATCACAAAAAATATCACCGATAAAACGTAAACGTAAACCAACACTTATTAAAGTTAACCATGATCTATCCGACAATAGTGATGATAATTTAACTTATTCACGACGATCAAATAACACAAAAGCAAGAAAGCGTCAAATGACATCTTCATCATCATCATCATTATCAAGTGATGAAAATCAATCAAGAAAACGTCTTCGTCCACCCATACCGACATTCAAACGAGCACAAGCAAAAAAGAAGAAAAACAAATTTGATGAAACATCTGACGAAGATATCGTCACTGACGAAGACTATAATACTGATGTTGAAAAAATGGATGACAAAGCATTAATTAAAAGAACCGATCAAAGAATGTTAAATGATGAAGATTTAACACAAATGACAAAAAAAGCATTAGAAGATGAACGCCAACGTGTACAACGTATTCAAGAAAGACAATCACAAATGCCATCATCTTCACAAGTTTTTATTGATGATGATAATTTGAATTTCGATAGTACTATTAAAAGAAAAGATGATGAAAAAGAACAAAAATCAATAATTTTTGAATATGATTCCAATACAGGTAAACCACTTATTTCAGTACTTCCTGAATTAGTAGCGAAAATGAAACCACATCAATTGGATGGAACGATGTTTTTATGGGACAACGTTTATGAAACAATTGCGCAAATTAAAAGAGATAATACTGGTACCGGATGTATTTTGGCTCATCACATGGGTTTGTAAGTATTTTTGTTTTCTATGAATTTTAATTGAGCTGCATTGTTCTTACAAATGTAATCACTAGAATCAAAGAGTCATGAGTGTAAGTTTAATAGCTCAACAATATGGGTAGTTAGTAATCTACAGTTAGTAGCAATCGAAAGAAAGGAAAGTACGAAGATTGTTTTTGTTTGAAGCTGTACAAGATAAATTATTGATTTTATTATTCATGATCTTTACACAACACGCAAGAAATTTACACTTCAGTTCAAGAGAACATCAGTGAAATCAACAAGATTCTATATTATTTGCTTAAATTAGTACGTGATTGTATTTGTTCCAGATCGTGGGTATACAATCAATATCATCGCACTCATGTTTTGAATTCTTTTTTTAAATTGATTCTCTGTGTTGCTTATAGCAATATGAAAACATTTTAAAATAGTATTCTATTTCTATATCATTTCTGCTTGTTTTCGTAGACGATCATTTTTTAATGATATTATTTTAAATAGTATGTACGAAAAAAATATATTCTTCAATTATGGAGAATTACGAATTATTAATTGTTCATCTTGCTGAATTAGCGATGCTATATATTGTCCCATTCGATTGTAATCCGACTAATAGTTCTTGAGCAATGATAGCTTTCTATTGAAAAACGAAAATTGCTTCATTTTAACACTTAAATGCATCATTAAATACTACATAGTGGAGTTTGTTACAGTAAACACTATATTTCGATTTCCTATTTAACTGTAGTGATAGACTGTAAACGCTTGCTTCATTTCAAATTATGCGTTGATATCTACCATTATCTTCAGTTCTGATTCTTCCTAGATCATTTACATGATTGACCGTACATCCGAAAGAATTTTGTTCAACAATATAAAAATCTAGAATTTATTTGCCATTAGAATTTTAGAAGTTTAATCGTATAGAACAAATATCTCAGCTCATTTCTATAGCGGAAATCAAATAGCTGTGTGTTTCCAGATAACTGATAGATTGATTTCTTTTTATGTAACGATAAATTTGGTGATGCATTCTAATGAGATTCTTTTCAACTCTAGTAAAACTGTTGAAATGAAAGATGTAACAGTATTTCTCGTTATATGTTACTAGAAACAAAATTAATTATATTCATATGTGTCTTGTTTTTAGAGGAAAAACATTTCAATTAATATCATTTCTTCATACCGTATTCAAACATAGTGATATTACATGTACACGTACATGTCTTATTCTTTGCCCTGTTAATGTTATATCGAATTGGGCAGCAGAATTTTCATATTGGTTATCAGGTGTTCGCCCAACCATAAAACTTTACCAATTTTCATTATTTAAAACGAAATCAGCTCGTTGGGAACGCTTAGAAAAATGGAACGATAAAGGTGGTGTTATGCTAATGGGTTACGAAATCTATCGTCGTTTATCAAATGATCCTGATTATAATTTTTTCCTCTGTGATCCAGGACCAGATATAATTGTCTGTGATGAAGGTCATGTGCTTAAAAATGCTAAAGCTGGAATTTCAAAAGCATTAAATAAAATTCGTACTAAGCGACGTATCATTTTAACTGGTACACCATTACAAAATAATCTTAGAGAATATTATTATATGGTTCATTTTGTTAAACCACATTTATGTAAGTATGATTAAGTTAATTTCTATTGGAGAAATTATTAATTTTTTTGAAGAAAATTTTGAATATAAGTTTCAACTTATTCTGTTGCGATGGATCCTTGCAACGGAAGATGAAGTTGGAAAAGTGGATGAGAAAAACTAATGATCATGATCTTCGTTGTCGTAGGAATGGAGTACAACTAGTATTAAACTTTTCTTCGGAGTCTTTCAGTAATTGAAAAAAAGCTGTTGAACTACATAAATAACAGTTTTCAGAACATTCAAGAACTCTAATACGTTTTTAGATATTCTAAACAATATTGTTTGTCACTGGCACGCCTAGCAATGGATATTCAAGATGACGATGATAATAGATTGTAGTATATTAAACGTGAGCTTATCAATACGTCAATTTCAGCGATAATCAAGTGAAGGGCTTCTAAGATCAAAAAAATAAAATATAAATTTCTGTTTTGTGACTAAGTGCAGACAAAAAAGAGGATATATTCCATTCAAATCAATAATTAATAATAATAATAATATTGATCTAAAGGAAAATGTAAAACAAAATGAAAGATTCTTTCCAAAATATAAAAATTGAGAAGGCTAATTATTGCTCTACGAATTGATTAAGATCGAAAGGCTACTCAAGTGTAAGAACCGTATTTCGTTTCATGTATATTATATTAGTATAAAGAGGCAGAAAAGAATCCCGGGTGTAGATTTAACACTTTATATTCAAAGCGAATCTATTGAAACCTTTTTAATAAATAAAAAATTGAATTTAGTGGGTACTTATCGTGAATTTAAAAATCAATTTATTGATCCAATTCGGGCTGGTCAACATAAAGATTCCAATGTATATGCTGTACAATTGATGAAACGGCGTGCTTTTGCTTTACACGAACGTTTACAACATTGTACACATCGGTAAAATAATTTTTTGTTTGATTGTATTCATCTATCTATTTTAATGATATTTTTTTTCATTTTTTTTAGTCGTGATTTTAATGTACTTCGAAAATATCTACCCGAAAAATATGAATATGTAATAAAAGTCTATATGGGAGACTTACAAAAACAGCTTTATAATAAATATTTACGAATTCAAAATATTGATCCAGATGGTTTGTTCTATAGTTTTTTATGATATTTATTTCATAGTTTTTTTCTCTATGTAGCTGGTTTCAATACAGCCAAACTATTTGCTGATTATCAATATTTAATGAAAATTTGGACAGTAAGATTCTATTTTTTTTACCCTTTTTGGGTTAACACATTGCTATATTTAGCACCCATGGTTATTACGACCACATTTTATTGATCGTTGGAAGAAAAACCAGAAAAAAAATGATAATGAATTTGATAAAATCGATCCATTTTTCGACGATATATTTGCTGGATTATCAGACGATGATATGGCTATTGAAGAAGAACAATCAAAAGACCAAACACCACAACATAAGCGATCAGCGGCTAAAACGGTATTTAGATGATTTCTTGTTTATGATAAGTTGTGTTTTTAGATGTGAGCATTAACATTGATGTTGAAAAAGATATAGCAAAATAAGTGATACAAACTGTAAACCACTGACATTTGGTGTCGGTAAATGATCTGCTAGCAAAATATGTAGCTATCTTTTGGAAAATTTATTTTTACTTTCGTAGCTGATTTTCTTATTTTAGTATCAATGCTATCTGAATTTGTAGTATATGATTGTAGATCGATAATTCTTATTTTCATTAGAATATACGATTTTTGAATGTTGCATGTAAACATGCATAAATGAATAAGATCGAGTACTGCTTACATAAGTGAATTTATTTTCTAAACTAATGTTGTTTTGAATCATTCATTCAGAACTAATGATAGAACAGCAGTGAGAAGTTAAAAAGAGGTAGAGATGTCGATCATTTCATAGGTATCGGATAAAAAGCATAACAAATCTTCAAAGAGAATGCATTGTGTATAATAGAATATCTAGTATACTTTACGGCAAGATTGAAATATGTAAAAATAGCTTTTTCATAGCCCCCAGAAAAAAAGCAAATCATCGGACTAAATATTTTACAGAGCTAAATTTTGGTCCCATTTTATGATTCTTGCTAAGTTCTAACTGAAAAACTATCCAAATAAAAAATATATAAGCCAGAAAATTACAGAATTGAAATAGATTCTACACTGTAGAATCTATTCTCTATGACGATACATTAGTAGATCTTACAAGATTAGTTTTAGACTTTCTCGTCTGAATAATATTTGTATTCTTAAAGCAAAGTCAAAATCATTCTGCTGTATGTGACAAGTCTAAGAACCTAAATACATGTTGATATAAATATCAGTTTTTTAAATCACATACTAAATAATAGACTGTAGATATGATTTGACTTTATGTCGACTAGTAAAACTTATGAGTAAAAACCTATTCAACGAATATGAACAATGAATATAGATCATTCGATAAAACTGAATACAATTGAATTTTATAGGAAAAAAAATCGATTCTCAAATTGAAATATTTTCTGTTCTTTCAGTAAAAATGTTCTTATTAAAATGATGCTAAACAGTTAATTAATTCTATTGTAGAAAGATAGCGAATTACACCATCATCGACATAAAAATGATGAAGAGGATGGTAATTCAAGTTCATCGTCATCTTCATCGACTTCAGAGTTTTTGGCCTTATTTAATAATACGAATTGGAAGCAATATGGATCCACATCATCATCAACTACATCAACACCAGCAGCAGCAGCAGCAGCAGCAGCATTGAAACGTACTTCAACAATACTATCCACTTCGTCAACAAATGATCCATGTCAAAAAGCAATGGCTGATGAATGGTGGTTTTCGTTTTTTGATGATACAGCTGAATATGACATTAGTTTAAGTGGAAAACTATCATTTCTTAAAACATTACTTGATGAATGTGAACAAATTGGTGATAAAGTTTTACTATTTAGTCGTTCACTTTATTCGCTTTCTTATTTGGAACAATATCTTAAATATTGGGATTCAATTGCTAGTGGAAAAAAAATTCAAACAGATGATTTTGATGCTAAAGTAAAAGCTAATGGTCGATGGAAATTCGGTATTGATTATTTTCGTATTGATGGTTTGTATTTATGTCAATTCATTATTTTTATACAAGGGTCTACTTTATTTTAATTTTTACTTTTAAAGGTAGTACAGATATTGCTACACGAACGGGTTATATATCAAAATTTAATGATGATGCTAATATTCGTTCAAGACTTTTTATTGTTTCCACAATGGCTGGTGGTATTGGTATTAATTTAACGGGAAGTAATCGAGTAATTATATTCGATTGTAGTTGGAACCCTTGTAAGTGACAAGAAAAACTGCAATGGATATCAAAGTCATGTTTTTGTTTACATTTAGCTTCGGATTTACAAGCTTTATTTCGTTCGTATCGTTTGGGTCAAAAAAAGACGACTTATGTCTATCGATTGTTAAGTAAAGGTTCTATGGAAGAGAAAATTTATTTCCGTCAAGTTAATAAACAAGCAATGGCTCAACGGTAAGATATTGAAAATTTCGATTAGTAATCTTTTGAGCATTCAAAGAGTAAAACAAGTGAGAGCATGTTCTTATTTGATTTACATAGTTAATGACAAACAAAAATAAAATCATTGATCACTCTGCTTGATATTTGTACTAGATATCAATGCTCATGTATAGTTGACTAGCGAAAAAACATTTCCGATTTGAAGTATAAAAATTTCATAAGTAAAGAAAACATTTTGAATATTCTTCTTGTTTAAAATTACTAACAGAGAGTGTCGAAAGCTGATTGAACAAGAATTTTTATTCGATACTCTCATTTTCCTCGCAGTTCATCGGTTTTTCTCAATTACTATCAGGCAACGATGCTCATATCAAATGGATAGATTGCTCAATCATGCTACAGAAATCTAAGGCAGTCTTTGGTTCGTGTCACACATGAACAGAATCAACTATTTATGATTATGGTTCGACCGGTTCTATCTCACGTATAGTGCTTTCGAATAGATGGTTTGTGAAAAAAAATGATATCTTACTCAAGTTTTCATGCAAATATGAAAGATATCCTTTCAAAATCAAGAAATTATCATATCCATTCGTGTGTTGTTCGTATTCAAGTTGTACTACTATACGTCTAGATAAATATTCAGTACTCAAGCAATGTAGGCTAAGAAAAATGCTAATAAAGAACGAACTGACGAGAAAAATAACCCAAATGAAATCTACTATGCCGATGAACGAAAAACAAAACGTCTAGAAATATTGAACATGATGATTATCATGAATTATAAATCGCGGATGTTTTCTTTTTTTCAAGAATGAAATCTAATCTTTTTTTCTTGTTTTCAGTGTTGTTGATGCTCAACAACTCGCTCGACATTTTACTGAATCTGAATTACATGAACTTTATTCATTTAAACCTGATGAAGATGAACCACAAGAATATCTATTGAAAGAATTACCGGATGATATTGTTTTAAAAAATTGTATAGGAAAAAATCCAAAAATAGTTCAAAATATTCTTGAACATGATTCTCTACTGGAAAATCATATTGAAGAACAATTAACACGCGAAGAGAAATATTATGCAATTAAAGAACTTGAACGAGACGAACGACAAGCTGAATATCAATCAACGATTGCTAAAACTTTAGCTACTATTGGACAAAACAGTACTAATAAAACAAATGTAGCTCAGACTCGTTCAGAAACAATATCAAATGATAGAAAAAAAGAACCACAATTGATAGCAATACCACCAATAAATACGTATAATCCATATCAACCACCTCCACCTATGTGTGCACAAGCTCGTGCTGGTATATCAACTGCACAAGAAGCACGTGGTCTTGAGCGTTTAACAGAATTATTATTTCCAAAAGAAGCTCCACCACTTCCAGCCGGCAAAGCAGCTGATTTACCACCATTGAAAGAACTAACTGATATGCCGGTTTCCAAAGATGAAATAGCTGATCTCGATCTTGACGATGAAGATTTTGACCCACGAACAAAAAAAGAAAAGCAGAAAGCTTTTCTTCAAGAACAACGTGCACTCGTTAAATTATATAATGATAAAAAGAAATTGTTAAATCCACCAAAAGTGCCAAAAGTTTTAAAACGTCCAAAAAAACTTACAGCAGTGAGTACATCATTTGTTACAAATCCATATCAATTTATGCCAGTTACACTCAATCCATTTGATATACCACCTAACATACAAAAGCGGCCAGATTGATTTTTAAAGATAATTTCTTTTTCTTTTTTTCTTTGTCTGATTATGTAGATACATTAGTTTCTGTTTGTGTCAGATTTGTTTCAAAACAAGATAAAATAAAATAACAAATAAAATGTGAATTTGCCTAGTCATTGGCACTGATTACTCTTTTTTCTGTGTTGTAAAATGTAGTAATAACGCATATTTCTTTAAAGTGTTTTGTTGATTTTTTTTTGTTTTGTGTCATTTTGTTTTCTTTTCGCCGGTTTTTTAACGATATACCTTGTTGTTTTTGCTTCGTTTCTTTTTTTCTAGGTCTAGAAGAGCATTAGAGTTTGTTGTTTGTTAACATAGTCTTTGTCAATGTATAAAGAATACTTAAATTGACATTTTTGTTTTTGATAAGAAAAAATAAATAGCATATCTAATAAAATTTTACAAATGCATTTTCATATTGATACGGCTTTGATAAAGATGTTTTTATTTATTGCTTTTGTATTTCTACAAAATGCAGGATTTCTAGCTGGACAAACAACATGCAGATTTGCCGACTTATTTACTATCGATGATCTTGTGTCTAATCGGCAAGATGCTATACATCGATTTAAAATGCATATGTGTTTGTGGGAAGGAAAGTTTGGTTATGATGTTGGATATAATCATGAAATAGGCATAACATATGATGGCCATAAAATTGATTACACAACAGGAGACTTACATGAAAATTTACAATATTGGACGGCAGCATCAAAAGAAGCTCTTCATATTAATATGTTGTCATTGTACTTGATGGATAATGTCTATGCACGACAATTTTTTCGTAATGCATCACAAGATGATATTGTAGACATTTTAGAAAGAAAAATTGCATCCTATAATGAGTTCCATCGACGTTATCCTGGTTTTGGTGGCTTTTTACCTTGGTTTGCTGCTAATGGATCAGCAATGAATTTACTCAATGGATGGGAAACTAAAGTGCCTGGCCTTGACAATGGACAATTAATATGGAGCATAAAAATTTTAATTGAAACTCTTAAAAGTAAAAAATTAACAAGTTTAGTTGATAAGTATCAACAACGTATTGAGCTTATGACACAGACAAGTATTCCCGTATTTTATGAAGCAGAAAGAGGTGGTATTCGATGTGAATCTGGTATATTAGATATGTTTAATGAAAGTCAAATAACAGATCCAAGAAATTATGTAACAATGGGTCGTTGTTTATTAGATGACCCATATGAAGGTATGTATTCATTTTTTGCTTTTTGAAAGTTTTCTTCGTTTTATATAAATATCTATTAATTCTCTGATTTTTTTATTTATTTTCTTATAGGTGAGTTAATGGCCTATTTTATGGATTTATATGCTCCTTGGACATTATATGGTTATACGATGGAAGAACGTAATCGTATTTGGACATATAAACGTGATCGTCTTGTCCGTGATGAATACAATACAAGCACACAATCAACAACTGTTACACAAAAACAAGTAACTGTTCAACGTGGCTTTTGGTTTTCAAGTCATGAACAATGGAAATATTTCTATTTACCATATCGAGATATTGATCTTCAAAATCGTCTTTTTACAAATGGAGAAAAAGTACGTGTATATCATTCAGCTCAAAATCGTATACCAGGTTTGTATGCTAGTGTTGCATCGGATGCTAAACCTGGTACTTATCAAGTTGATTATTGGAGTGCATGTGGTATTCAACAGATTGCTTTTCAATCAATTGAACATGAATCAGTTGTCACACCATATGCAAGTTTTCCTGTTATAATGGCTAATGAATCGATAGGATTAGCTTGGTATTTAAATATGATTCAGGGTCCAGCCATGCAAAATATGTATGGAAGTACCGAAGCAACTAATATCAATGGTGAAGCTATATCACCAGTTATAACATGGGATTCAAAAATAACAACAGTTGTAGCTATGCTCAGTTCTCATTTAATTGATGTCACAAGGGCGATTCTTCAACGAGATCGAACTTATGATCGTTTTTATAACATAACTGAATATGAATGGTCAAAAGTATTCGGTTCGAAACCGTTGTTAGGTGAAGATCTTCCATGGTCATTACCTTCAACTAAAATTCCTCGTCCGATCGATGGTTTACCAGATTTCACTCAATGTCGTAATACGTTGACTACTACATCATCAATACCTATTTCAACTGTATCAGCCTCATTATCTGTCATAAATAAATCCTGTCACGTTGTTGTCATCATTTTTCTTTTGTCCTTTCTCATATTTTTATTGAAATAAAAACAAAAAACATAAATACGCACATATTACGAATAATACTGTAGTATTATTTGCAACTGCTATTATATGTATAGAATGCATGAAATATTCTATATAATGTTACAAAGATTCTTTATTTATGACATTGATATATTTAAATAAACTGAGTACACAAATTTGAATACTTCTAATATTAAATGTCTGGTTTAAGTCTTTGAGAAACAAAGCCGGGTTGACAGGTAAAAAAGCAAATAATGAAATCTTAATTCAAGTAGGGTATCAAAGTAATATGATACGATTTGTTTTTCTTTTCTTTCTTTTTAATATTTATATTATATCATCTTTCCCTTCACATTACAACAAATGGATTTGTGAAACTTCACAGCACACATGTTCACTGTCCAATAGGTCAAATATGATCGAAACTTCTGCTTAATAAAATTTGAAAAATGAAAAATTTATCAGGCCATACCTCATAGAGCCGAAGCTCTTTCATTCTCGTTTTTTATGAGTAGAAGATATTTTCGAGTTATTCAATTTGAAAGAAAATTATAAACATCATCACAAACTTGTTCCATTTTCATATTGTTCGATCAACTACTCATTCGATATCAAATATTGAACATGAAAAACAATACTTAAATTGGAGAAAAAGCAAAACTAAAAATCTGAATAAACAGCATGAATAATATTAACTATATAATTCTAATAACAGAATAGTTACAATTAGGTCTAATATTCATTCAATTGTGACCGATTATTGCATATTCATTAGAATTATTTTCTGATACTTGCAAATTCAAGCTGAAAAATAGCAAAAAGTTCCCTAAAAATGACATGAATGCGATAATTGTAACTGAAATGGAAAAGTTAGACTATGCGTTCAACTTATCATTATACACATTCACAGCTTAATTGAGTAATAATATGCTTTTATGATGAGAACTATGCAATTAGAGTGAGATGATAAGTATTAACTTTGTTGCTTATTAAAATTGTGCTCTATATTCAATTATAGAGCGTAATTTTCATTTTCAAAATTTGTTACTAGGTCAATAATTGATTTTATCACTATGAAGCAGGCTGATGATCATGTATTTTTATACTTTTCCATACTGAAAATTGGGTTGACAATATTGCGTAAATAGTGACTATTCAAAGTGTATAATTAATTTTTATATCAAATATTTTATCGATAGCCAAATAAATTTATATTATCTCTCTTTGTATTAGAGCGATCTGAATAACTGGGGATGGATGATTATCAAGTTCTATTCTTACGAACCATTAAGACAATGCAAATTCTACAATACATTAAATTTGATATTATTCAGAAACCAAAATGTGTATGATACTTCGAGTGGTTCAAGTCCATGTAGTTTGCATCCACCCAAGCAGACAAACTTTTGGAAAAACGTGTTTAGACACTTAATCGGGCACCGCGATTGTGAGTCATTAACTCTCCGTACGTAACGAAACGCAAGAAACGCGTTTTTTTACGCAGAATTCTCACTTTCCGAGTGTGAAAATGGGTAAAAACTCGAATTCTGAGCGTTTAAACGTACAATCATTCAATAACTTAAAAACTAATTCGTTTAAACGCTGCGGATTGGAGTTTTTACCCGTTCTCACGCTCTGAAAGTGAGAATTCTACGTAAAAAAAACGTTTCTTGCGTTTCGTTACTGAGCGTTAATGACTCACAATCGTGGTTCCCGATTGAATGTGTAAACCAAGGGGGGACAAACGGGCTTCTTGACTTCTCTGTACTTCTTCGTACTTTTCAGTACGTCTTGGTACGTTTTGTACTTCTTGGTACTTCCAAAATGTATTGAATTAATTTTTTCACTTTTACTTTACAGTAGTACTATTGCTATATAGTGTACTGCGCGATCGTGCCCCTGAGTAAGAAATGTCTTTTGCTCGTGATCGTGTTCATAGTCATGATTGAGAAAAAAAATTCGTGGTCGTTATCGTGAACGGCATTAAGATTCCGTGATCACGAATTTAACATATAGTTTCAAAATCTCAAATATTTATTAAAATTTACTATGTTTTCAAAGAATTTCTACTAGAATACAAATGAAAGCAATTGATTATGACTGTTAATTTCTATTAACATTGAATGTACCGAATGAAATACGTTGGGGAAATATTGCAACCGAATGACCAAAACGTTTTCGTGCCTCTTATAATCACATAGAAATATTCGTGATAGTGAATTTTATTTTAAAAAAATCGTGATCGTGATCAAAAATTTCAATCACACAGTACACTAGTGCTCTGATATCAACTTTTACTTGCTATTTTAAATAACATCTGAACACACCGATACAGAGACGACGGAATGGTTCCAGCCTAGGGTAGGCTCACTTTTTGGGAAAATTATGTCTGTCAATGTAAAAAAGCAGGATTCAAATTTGATTATTATCATAAAACGTTAATTTTTTTCTCTATGACCAATGAAAAGTTTTAACGTAGTTTGTACCAGCTACCCTCTAGTTTTCATCAAGTCTTAATCGAATATAGTCAGTGTGAATTTCGTAATCTATGAAATTTCCATTTTTTACGTTGTTGTTGATAAAAACGGTTTGAAAATCGATTAAAGCCTCATTAGTATAAGAAATTGCTTAATTCATTTCAATCTGGTTCCAGCCCTAATGTTATATTTATGAATATGAACCCGTTGAAAAGTATTTTGCATTTTACAATGATAATCGTTGTCGATTTTCTGGCTAGATTTTGATTGTTTATAAACGTGATAAGTATCTAATGCTTGATTGCACGCGAGATCACAGAAGCTATAACCAATTAACTGAAAAGTGTTATTGAAAAAAGCATTAGAAAAAATAGCCTAACAAGAAATAGACCTGTTCCGTCGCTAAAAAAAATTTCCTATCTTGATTTTTTAAAATAAAATCAGTGCAGGTGCTTCATCAAGTTGATAGTGAAATTTTTATTAGTTTTAACTATGGCATTTCTGTTCATAACCTTGATTCACTTTTAGTTATCATTTGAATTTTTAAATAGAATTAAACTAGAAGATGAAATTTCACGAAAACTAGTGGACTTCGTGCTTTATTGTGAAAGAAAGATAAAGTCTGATTTTGTTTATCTAGTATCACAACAGGAAACGAGTAACTTTTTCAAACATTTAGTAACGTAGTGAAAACCGAAAACAACCAATGATTTTACTGATCTATCGAACGGCTCTATTACAGCCACTAGCCGGCAATTTTTCGAGTAAACTGCGATTGACCTCTACAATTTACCTGGTTTTTGTGTCTGGGATAAAATTCAAAAACTATTTTAAATAGAATATTGGAAAAAGAAATTCAATTGTTCTATGCTAAGAAGAAACAATTCAACGTCAATCTAATTACATGTCAATGAAATTGAAAAAAATATATCATTGAACAAAAGTTAGATTTAGGTGAGATATGGACTGAAAATCTTAGAGTACGTCATTGGTCGAAAAGCTATGAAAATAAGCATTAGTAGAAAATTTTTATATTTTGTTGAGCCTATCAAGTCCTTGATGTGCCTATTTGAAGTTTGCTTAAATCTAATCTCCTCAAATCTATGTTAGATTCGCGTCTACCTCAGCCTTTTATCTGTCCTAGTTTGAGCCTACCCAGCTCTAATGGCTCCGCCTCCACTAGCTTGCCGGTTATTAACTGATAAAAACACCTGCTTGCGAAATGGTCGACTCTCTCGAGTAATTCAATCAGGCCGCAAAGATAATAGCCATCGTTTTTAATGTTTTATAGCTATGATTAGATTTTTTCTTTCAAATAAATTTGAAGAAATTTCTATGCATATTCATGTACCTATACACCTCTAATCGTGCTTTTCTGTACTTCTTGTACTTTTCCGTACTTCTCGATACTTTTCGGTACTTTTCGGTACTTCTTGGTATTTCTTCGTACTTTTCGGTACTTTTTCGTACTTTTGTACTTCGGAAGTACCGAAGTCCGCTTGTTCCTCCTTGGTGTAAACGCGTTTTCCTAAAAGTTTGTCTGCTTGGGCAGTAGTAAATCAGATTGATCATATTCAACTTCGTTAATAGTACTGTAATGTATCTTTCTTTTGTCCTATTTAAAGCCCACTAATATGTGACTTGTGTCACAATCTTTACTAATTATATATTCGACATATGAAGTATTATCTGTACATTAAAATATATTAATACTAGCTAGTAGAATAAAAAAAATGACAAAAAAGTCACTTTCGAAATCTCCCCCTCCCCCGCCTCTCGCTGAATATATGTTTCACGGCGGAAATTCCACATATATATCAATCCATACATAGAAGTTCAGTCTAATAATGAATAGTATCCTTTAATGAGTGTAACTACTTCTTTTCAGAACTGTGCCCATGTATGATATCTATTCCAACTGATAACTATAGAAGAAAAAAGTAGATAATCCAATTACGATTAGATATGTAGGTATAAAAAAAACTTGATTTATTTTATTATGCTTTATTCTTGATTGGGAATGATTGTTTTTTATTTCTAGTTTGTTTATTAATTAATGAAAAACCAATCAATTATAGACGAACTTTTTTTTGTATTTCGTTTGCTTCATGTTTAAGTGCTGCTTGTTTTTCTTCTAATGCTCGTTGTTTTTTACTGTATTCATCTTGCATTACTTTTATTTCTCGTCGTGTTTGTTGGAGATCATCTTCTTCTGTATTCAAATCTTTTAAATAACGTGTCATTAATTCAGATTTATCAATTTTTTCTAATGATTTTATATTTTGTCTAATACGTTCTTGATTTTCAAATATTGATTTAATATGTGCTTCGCGTGATTTAATTTTTGTGTCTAATTCACGTATAATCATTTGTGTTTCAACAATAGCAAGTGATTTATCAAATAAGGATGTCGGTATTAAATCACGTTTTGGAGTCCATGTTCGAATTTGACTATCTGTTATCGTACTATCAATCATATGTCGAAGAACTTGGTGAACATATTTTTGTGTAATAATGTTTTGAATTAAACTAACTGTTTTCTCGTCAACTAATTTCAATTGAATAAGTTCTGGAACTTGTTTTTCTAAAAATGATTCAAGTCCAGATGCTTCAAAAATTTTCTTACTATGTTGTGCTTGTTCATCGACAATAAATTCAATTTCTTGTTGTGGCTCAAGTTTTAATTCAAAACGACTAAAACCCATCACTGACTTAATACATTTCTTTGTTGTTGTTACAAGATAACCGCCTAGTGATGGATCAGCAACATGATCGATATAGAATTTTCCTACTGGACGATCCAATGAATTGTTTTTAATTAAATAACGTGTACGTTTTATATAGATTTGTTGAAGATCAATACCAGTTGGAGCAATTCTTGTATTGATTTTATCTATTTCAGAATAAATTATATCAACACTTTCTGTATGAACTTCTTGAAGTGAAAGTGGAGTTGTACGAAGAATAGATACAGTCGAATCAAAACCATAACTATAATATATTCGAATTAACAAATAAAGAAGAAACAATAACAAAACAAAATTATTTTCTTTCAATTTACTTAATCAATTGATCATCATTGGGCAACATCGGTGTAAACGCACATTGAGCAACAAAACGCCCACTATCTAAAACAGCAATACTTCCTGGTGCTAATACAACACCACTATTGTTTCGTAAATGAACAGCTTTGATTGCATTTAAATCGTTGATTTTTGGATCATAATAAAGTACTAGTTGTGCATCCATTTGCCATTTATTTATAGTCACTAAAACACTTTCATGCGATCGAATGGTAACTGGTGTATTAATTTTATAAACAACATGTTCACTAAGACCACTCATTTGACTTGAATCAATAGACTCATAGTTTTCATCATCGTCAATAACAACATTCGATCTACTAGTAGTTTTTCTAGCTTTCTTAGCACTGGAACCACTATCGTCTCCGGGACTACCACGTAATCGAAGTACGAGATGTAAAGTAGATTCTGTATAGATAAATCAAACATATAAAAATCTTGTTTATACATGTTTCAATAAATTACCTTTTTGAATATTATAATCAGCTAATGTTCTACCATCTTCCAATTGTTTTCCAGCAAATATCATACGCTGTTGATCAGGAGGAATGCCTTCTTTATCTTGAATTTTAGATTTTAGATTTTCGATTTTATCTGATGCTTCGACCTATTATTGATAACAAAAGGACAAGAAAAGAAAAATAGTAGATAATCAACAGTTGAATTTTTTTTTTCATTTTTATACATCTATTGTAATTGTTTTGCCCGTCAATGTTTTGATGAATACTTGCATGCCACCTGATGATCTTCTATCACTACTTTCTGTTCCTTCACGATTACTTGTAATTGAAGGTGTTGGTTTGTTATTGTTTAAAATTTCAAGTTCATTAGCAACAAGTATAAGTTCAATTTGAGGCCAATCTTCTTCTGTCGGATTATTAACTGAACCAAACAAAGTAAGACCAACCGTTGTAGTATTACTGTTTGATGCAGATGAATCGATTTCACAACGATATAAACAACGCCACTCTTTTGTTGTATAACAATAAGATACGTTGAGAATATTTGATTCATCAATAGTAGTTGTAGTAGTAGCTTTTGTAGAAGATGATAATGAATCATCACTATTGAATAATATTTGGATATAATTAGAGGCTGTATTTAATTGTGGTGTCTTATTTTGCAGTGTCGTTTTTAACACTTTCTCAAGTTGTTCTTGTAAATAGACATCAGTAAGTTTAATACCATTAATTGATGCAACTAGTCACAATAAACAAATTATTTAATCGTTGTTATACGCAGAAATTTATATAATTCATATTCGTTGTATTTTACTTACGATCGACATGGCGAATAAAGCCATCTTTATTTAAAATTTGAAGAATAAAGTCTGTTCTTTTTTCTGTTGAATTTGGACCCAGTAATGCTTCTATTTCATCTAGCATAATCAGTTTACCTGCTTGTTCTTTGTTTTCACCCTGACAAAAGAATGCCAGTTCAGCTCCAATACATGCTTTAAGAAACGTAGCAAATGAAGTTGATGATGAGAAATCATTGAAAGCAAAATAGTGTTCAGCTGTATTTTCGGCGACATATTTATCATGCTCTTCTGTATCAAATGTGACTGTACTCGCTGTTGTACATAACGTATCAATCACTAATTTCTTATGCTTTTTAGCAACCAAAATGAATGATGATGATTTTGAACTGGGAACTGTTCGTTCAAAATAACCTAAATCATTTTTATATAAAGTAATACGCTTCAATGGAATAGTTGCAGTTGACATTATCTTTAGCGATGAAACAAACTTTGCGATAGAGAAATAAAATAAAAGTAGAAAAAGATATTGACAAATGGCTTGATTTCTTCTCTTTTTATATTTCTAACTTAGAATTGTCAAGATATGGTGCAACATATTATACGTAAATAAGAAGCAAAGCAAAGCAAAGCAAAGCAAAACATAAAAACAAGCGATGAATCATTTCCTAGGTGAATAATAACATGAAGAATAAACCTGGTTAACAAGAAAAAACATGCCTTAGAAAGTAAATACTTGGATAAAAAGAATCGAAATAATTTTTTAGACCAGAATGTAACCGAACAGTTATATTTAATCATAATAACCAATTTTGAATCCAAGTTTTACCTAGTAAATGTTGGCAAACATTAACTGTGACTACAGCAGAAGACAATGTCACATGTTATTATTAGAGCCATGAAAAAAACAAAATTTCTTTTAGTTACAGAGTTCTATTGAAATAAGTAACAAATAATTTTTATTTATAAATAAACATATTGCTACAATTATAATCTATATCGTTTCAATAAATTATTGTATTTACCACATTTAAGAAACACGAATTATTTGTCCAAGACCAGTTGAACTTCCTTTATCGAGCTCTTTTCCAAGTGGTAATCGATAGTATATAGTGGATACCCCAGTGACTTCAATTTGAGCATTATCTGTTGCAGCTATGCGTATCGTACTCACTCCAGCCGAATTCACTTTCACTTGCTTAGTTAACAAATTCATAGCATTAACATCACCAACACCTTTTGTTACATAGGTAGCTTGTTCTCGTACTTGACCCCAAAAACGACTATTACCAGTACCAAATAAATAATATTCAAATTCATTCACATGCAATTGAATAGCAACATTAGCTGTACCACGATTCTCCAATACAAATTTCTCATCACCTGTATTTGATATGCAATTATCATTTGTCTTTGTGTTACCTGTACCTTTAATCGTATAACGTTTTAATGGCGACTGAAATTGAATGTAATTATTGATATTTCTATGGACAACTAATGCACTTTTGACACGAATTGAAAGAATATGGTTATCGACAATTTCAACAATAATATATTTTTGCGCATTGACAGTTGTTTCAATGTCAACAGTAGGAAGAGACTTTCCATTTAATTCACTTAAAAATGTATCGAAAGGACCGTCAACGATAATTTCATCAAAGAAAGCTGATGAGAGAGGACGATTTTGACGAACGATAGTCTCATTCCATCCACCTTGACTGAAGGAAATAGTAGTAACGATGATCAGGATGGAGAATAACATCTGAAGAAATTAATATTTTGTTTTAGATAATAAAAAGTAAATAATTAGTATTATCCTACAAAAAATTCAAAAAAATGAAACAGAAAAACTAATCCATTCATTTTTAAACTAATAGAAAACTTCTTGCAGAGAATCGACCTGTTCTTTTCTTGAGATGAACAATGAAATTTCAAAAACTAATACGAAGATAATGATCACTAAATTTAATCATGATTTCTTGTCATTTCTCACTTTATATCTGAGTTACTTATCTGTGTGATAAAAATGCAAATTTATAAGTTTGAACTCATCAATTTCAACTGATTATGATCATCTATTTCTAAACTGACGAGACTAATAATAATTAGCTATGCATGAAAGTAGTAACAATTATTTTTGACTCACAAATAAAATTTCAACAAATAGACATATACATGCATCATACTGTACAGATTGGGTTTGGTTTCGATGCGAACTATGGGCTCTATTTTGAATTGAACTCGATCATACATATTAGAAATCGGTCAAATTCAAACTTTTACTAATACGTAGCCATTTGCAGATGTTACCAGGTTATTAGGGTAGGGAAAGAAAAATTGAATTGATTTCTACTCTTGTCAAATATATAATTAATGTGTTTTAACAAAAGGATTTTCTATAAACTATAATGAAGTTTTTATTCTAACGTTTTATCGTTGGTTGTTGTTTTTAGATGTAAATGAACTTTGATTATATATTTTCGAACACTAGCATATATTCTATCATCCGAAATAAATAGTATTCAATGCGCATTAACCATAAGCAAAACTCTATATTGCTAAAGAAATATTGGGAAACTCTCTAAAAACAAAGTCTTCATTTTAATATGAACACTTTTTAAACATAGCAGAGAGTCTCAACGATATCAATGTCGATAGTATCAAAGTATCTGAAGTTAAGTAGTCTAATTATTATTCGTTATGTTTTCAGAATAAAAATAATAATAGTCAATTGCTTACTCACACTAAAAGCTACTATTATTCTACTGTTGTTATAGTACGTCAATCATGTAAGAGACAATTGTTACGTTTTCATTTTCTTGTGTGACACACCATTCGATTCAAACGTTTCAAGTTTATTTACATTCACTAGTTCACAATGAGTAAGTGTAACGTGCTTTATGCAAGCCTTCTGCGTCGATTCAATTCCTTGTAAAACATATCAATTCAATATATACACTCAAAACTTCTATCGCTCTGGTTCTAATATCCCATTATGGCATTATCGTTTTTTTTTGAAAAAACCTAATAATTCAGACATATTCCAAATCTATTTCAGTTTAACTATTTGGTAGTTTTCCCTCCTGCTCATATACTTGTGCTTCAGATATTTTCCCAGCTTTTATACGCAGAAATGACATTTTCAATGATAATACTCTCGGCTCTTCATAATCCACTTTTATGGTTTTAAGAAAACTTCGTTGTTTAGCATTGAATGTGGAAGATTTACTACTTGATTTTCATTTGAGACGATCGATTTCTTTATCTTAAGCTATTTTTCAAGCCACATCTATAGTAATAGTATCTCATGTAGATAATAGAGTTTTCTTGTTTTTTTCAATTTGTCAACTATTACCGTGTTCAAAATCCTCCGTACTTTACTGAATCAATCATATATTTCTTACTATCTATTTTCGTCAATTTTTATTTAATCTTATTCTTTTATTATCAACTCTTGACTCATCATAGCCATACATTCAGCGTTTAATGGATTCTTGCTGACTAGAGGTATATTGTAACTGTCATTGAAGTGGTATTCGATTGGTTACTTATTGCATACTTAACTATCATTCTTTATTAATGACAAAATGGCTAGTTGTCTTTCTATCCCTCAGTTCGGTCGAGCTCAAAAATGGTTTGATTGATAACAGACGCTGATTAAATTTATCTCATACATAAAAGAAGAACGATTATCGTAGCAAATGAATTGAATTCCTACCTCATATGATTATTTGAGTCTCTGAATACAAATAAAGAAATGACAGAGATGAATTGTGTAATCACGTATACTTATAAATACAAGTGTACGTGGGTATGTAACAATGAAAAAAATGAACTACTACTACTATCTATTTGAAAAATATGCCAAGGCTTAACCTTGTAACCGAATGTTAATTAATTGATTTCAATATGCATAGAATTTTCAGTAAAACGACACAAAGGTTAACATAAATCATCATATCGCTCGAATTCAAAAAATTCAAAAAATTCAAAATCTTTTGATTAAGACTTTTTGAAAACTGAAATACAATTCAATCTTTTTTTTTGTTTATAACTATAATGTCTTCATTTCATCATATACAATCAAGACGTTTCGTAATAATCCCAATGAAGAAAAAGCTATTTTGTATGCGTTCAGCAATCGTGCTTTTTCTTGATTATTAGATGACCGATGATTGGCCGATTATGCGCTTTTCTTTTTCTACTATTAATTAACCGCAAAAGAAATCACGGCTACCCAAATGTACTGTATGTATAACTCATAACAATAAAGAATAAAGAGGAATCTTCTTTTCCATTCTGAAAAGTAAGTTGTCTGGGTCAGTGATCAATCATCAATATATATATATATATACATATTTTTTTTTTCTCAAGCACTCGTACTATTCTATCATGTTCATTAGTATGAACATCTGCTTAATACGGTGACCTTTTCTTCTTTTTGTCTGTGCGTGTGTATACATCAATATTCCATTACTTGCCGATCAGATCAACGTAAATATTGAACTTCATCATTGAGACGATCAGACTGTTCTAATACAACAAAGACGAAAAGAAGATGTTTTCAGTTTTTTCAATTGTATTTGTATTCTTGATCGTGAATAACTCATACAGTAGCCCAATTTATAATATTGATAATGCTACTGATGTTGATGATTCCGAGTCTCAATTTCATCTTGCGTGTAATGAAAATAGTCTATCAACTGACAATAATACTTTGTTCGAGGTAAATTCACAAATCTTTTGGTAAATATTATTTAGCTTTTTTTAAAATTTAGCTTCTAAATAACAATCGATATTGGTTTGTATTAGCTCGGAGTAAGGTGATCTATGGTGATCAAACATGGAACAATGTTCTTATGCAAACTTCAACCACAACAAATGATACAATCTATTTAGAATTTATTGGAGAGAATAGGTATGCATTTATTTTGATTATTTTCTTTTTCTCACGAAATATTTATTTTATTTGTTTTTCTTAATTCTAGCAATGGTTCTTGTGTTAATTCCGAAAAAGTTCAGATTGGATCAAGTACACAATCAAATCGAGTGTCTGCTCATTGGTCAAATGATACAGGTAATCTATTTCGGTATCTTTTCACTAACTATTTTTATCGTATTTTATATTCTGTTATAAGGATTTCTTGAAATGGTTTTTATTGATCAAACTATGATACATTTAATTCTGTGCTATTCAATCGAGTCTCATGAAACAAATGTTTGTGCTCAAAAGCAAAGTGAACATTTTTTTATTCAAAATAATGAACAAGAACAAGAACAAGAAAATGATACAATGTTACAATTAAAATCTCATTGTTTTTCGATCAATTTAGACGATTTCGTTGTTAACGATCACCCAAGTAAGTAAAAAAAAATTCTTTTCAAGTTTTCATATAAATTAGCTGTTTTGTAGAAAAATGTTTACCCATTGTTTCTGAACGAGAATCGGCTAGTCATGATTCTGTAGAATCATCAAACGAGACTAGCAGTGAAAAAAATGTTCAAACAAGTATATAATAATTTTCTGTAAATTCTTTTAATTTAATTTATTCTTCTAATTAAAGATGATTCACAAGTTATAGAACAAGAAAATATTACAGAGAGATCAATTTCTAAATCTGATTTTACTATACGTACAAATCGAACAAATCGATTGGAAGTTCTAGAAGAATATTACAATAATATGACTACAAATTCGACGAATGAAGATCAAATCGAAGAAATAACACCAATCAAAATAAAAAATATTATTGTACTTACAAAAGATATGTCATCTAGTGAATCATCAGATCAAACAAATTTGACTAGTATCGAGCAAAATGGTAAGGAAAAGAAGCGGTTTATCTCTAATAGACATTCAAGAATGATTTTAATTATGCTATTCATTAAAATTTTAGAGGATAAACTGAATAGCTATATTGTAAATATTTTTGATAGAAATAAATAATGTTCTATGACATACAATCTAACAGAAGTGGTGAAATCTGTCGACACAAACTTAGATGGCACCCCTTCTAACACTAATCCTATATTCATAAGACATCTTGTTATAGTAAAAGAAGTATTTTTCTACTGTATTTCTAAGTAAATAGGTTAAAAGATGTTATAGAAATTCAGTCTGGAATATCTAGATAGAGCGAAGTGGTCTTCTTGTGATTATCATGACTAGCTATGTCGTATTTCACACTGTTAGTTTACTAGAGTTCCACGAAAAGCTTTCGTTTTTGACTAATCATATTTCGGTTATGATTACTTTATATTGAACTTAGAAGAAAAAAACCAGTAATTTGTTATATTCATGATATGAATATAATTTCAGAAATTGTTACAAATGAAACAACTAATGAATCAGTTCCATCAGTTATTCTTCACAAAGTACTTATGGCTGAAACAACAACAGAAGTTTTACCAGATAATTCAACAATGACCCAAAGTTTATTGACTCGGCCAATGGACAAGAACGAGTCTACTACTGAAATCAATATCGATACTATCACTTCGGTTAATCTTTCGACAACATATGTGCATCCAACTAATGAAGATGAACATTTAAATAAATCAATAAAATCAGTTCATATCGAAGAATCTATTATTTTGGTCAATGTAGACTATGAAAAAAGTACGGCTATTATTGAAACTACAATCGAAGTAACTACTACTGAAGCAACAATAACAACAACATCTGCTGTTCCAGCTGATTGTCTGGTTCTAAGTGATTGTCCATTTGACCATTGTGCATTTGCTCGAAAGTTTGATAGCCATGGATGCCCAACATGTAATTGCTTGAAGTCAAATAAACCAAACATAATCTGTTCAACATTAACTTGCCAAGAATGTTTATATGGACATTATACTGATTCTTATGGAGTAAATATCTTTAGAGAAAATGATTTTTTTTTATACATTTATATGTTCTTGATTTCTTCTTTCAGTGTCCGACTTGCCAATGTCAAAGTCGTCCATATCCACCATTAGGTGAACGTTGTCCACAATTAAATTGTGAACCGTGCTATTTTGGTACAGTTAAAGATGAATTTAATTGTGATACATGTATATGTATTCGACCTAATAATCAAGAATGTCCAGCACTTAATTGCACATTTGGATCATGTAAGTATGGTTCGATTAAAGATGAAGATGATTGTCCAACTTGTGATTGTGTATTACCAAAAATAAATGCAACTGAATCTAATTGTTCTACTACTATTTCATGTTCACCATGTCATCTGGGTGAGTAGAAGAAATCAATTGATGTACAATAAGAAATAACTTCTTCGTTTTTTATTTAAAATACTAGGCTATGTAACTGATGCTGATGGGTGTCAAACATGCCGATGTAAATTTCGTGGTAGTGCTCCTTGTGCCTCAATTTCATCTGAATGTCAATGTGATTATGGATCGTATTTAAATTCGGATGGATGCGAAACATGTTCTTGTCTACCTGATCCAAAAAGTGCTTCACGGTCAGTCTAAAATTCAATGACGCCAAGTTGAAGATAGAATTTTTTTTCTGTTTATTAGGCAAGCGTGTTGGGAATTATTGAATGAAGCAAATTTTTATAATACATCTGGACCGAAATGTGCATCAGATGGATCATTTTATGCACGTCAATGTGATAAATCACAATCGAAATGTTGGTGTGTTACACCGAATGGTGTTCATGTTAGTGGATTTGAATCACAACCTGAAGAAAACGTTAACTGCGGTACGTAAATGAAATTTCAATCTGAGAAATAATAATAGGAAATAAAAATTTTCTTCTGATAATGACAGGTTGCGCAGTAGAATTATATCAAGTATCAAGCCTTCGTATGATTGGTCATCATTTATTGTGTTTACTAAATGGAAATTATGCTCCTATTCAATGCGACGGTCGTTATTGTTCATGTGTTGATGAAAATGGTAAATTGATTGGACCAACTATACCTTTTCAAAATCGTGATCAACTTCGATGTGTCGGTGTTTTTCAGCAACTTCATCCAGGTATTTAGAAAAATTCTTCACTCAATTTAGGAAAAACGTTATTTTTTTAAAATAAACTAGAAAGATTTTTATTACACCGAGCTATTATCGAACAGTCTGATCGAACTCGATATCCGTATGGAATATCTTCATCATTGTGTTTAACGCATCTCGAACAAGTTCGCAATACAAAGATAATTGATGATCATATTCTCATTCCGGTGAGTATATTTAATTTTTTAAATTTAATATGTCAGTAGCATAATTTAATCAAAACAGTCTGCTTCGAGATATTTAGTGTAAACTGAAAGTTGAAAAGTAGATTTTACTAGAAAGCAATTGACAGAAAAAAAAACAGTCAGCAATAGTTATTCTTATCAACGTTCTACTCATGATCTAGACTTCTTTGGTCTGGATTAAATCTTCCTTTCTTTTTCGTTGTTCATGTTTTCAAACTATCTCTTTACATAATTCTTATTCAAATCGAAAAATTCTAACGGCATCCTTGTATAGTCAAGCTCTCAAGGATATTTGACTCATAAACGTTTTTCTTTGTATCATGTATTCCAGCAACAACAAAAAACTTCCTTAGTCTTGTACTATCCTACTCAAGAAGATAAGATAACGTAAACTTCAATATCTATGCAATTGCCTTCTTCACTATTTTAAGATTTTTATGAACAAATCTCCATTGTTTCTCAATACAAAAACAGATAATATTTTATGTCTGAATTTAAAATGTTGAGTTTTTTTCTCCCTACATATATAGGTATGCGATTCTACTGGTTTATATGCACCTGTACAATGCGATCAAAGTGAACGATATTGTTGGTGTGTTGATAAGAAAACAGGTGTGGAAATGGATGGAACACGCCGACTTAATGCTCGACCTAATTGTAGTAATATCTAATCGACTGGAAAGCTAATTCATAGATTCTTCTTCATCTTAACATATTTCTACTTCGTTTGTGTGCATATGAACATTTGTTCATCCTTCTGCAGTGTTTTTTACAAACAGATATTTCAAGGTTTTCTTTTCTAAATTGTTTGTTGCATGTTAAATGTTCAGTAAAATAATAATAAAAACTATGATAGATTTGCTCTTATTTAAATAATTGTTTCACATATGTACTAGCGTCATCACATAGGAGGTCTTGATATAAATGTGTTGGATCATCGAAAAATACTTGTACTGCATGAGCATCAAGTATCCATGATCCAAGGACATTCATTGCTAGTTTTTCATTGACCATATTTTCAGCGTATCGTCTTTTTCCTTCTAGTTTTTCATCACCAATAAGCGTCTCAAAATATTGTTGAATAACAAAACCTTTACGTGGTGCTTTTGCTCCAAGCACAAGTACTTGAACTCTAGTCCGTTCTGTTTCATTGAATAATTTTGTATCTATTGGATAAATAATACTATGAAGTTGATCGATTTTAATACGAGCAGCGTATCCTATATTTATAGAACCAAGTTTCGTCGCTTTAAGACAATATTCTTTTAATTTAGTCATATTTAATGGTTTTGATCAAATCAATGAACGAATAAATTGAGTTGACAAATTGATAATGTCTAATTGTACTTGAAATAGTTCATTACTTGACGAAAAATCAGAAATATTTAATGGTCTTTGATTTACATGAATTTCTTCTAGATATGACTTTAAATTCTTCAATTCTTTGAAGGAAAGATTTCGATTATTTAATTTTATAGTAAAAAGTTTTAAATAGATAGTAAGGGCAATATGTGAAATGCTTTTAATATTATGATACAAATTGAACGTTAAAATGTATTGATGTCTGATGGTCTCGATGATGCAATATTAACGCGTCTTCCTTCGTAATAATCAATGAATCAATCGTGGTTAAAATATAACTACGAACTTGTTTATACGAATCCAGGAATTTTTTATTGAAGTTATTTAGGACAAGATTCGAGTCTACGTGACATACCATGATAAAAAAGAATAGTAAATAGTGGTCCAGTTGACAAAGCCATACTATCGAATACAATACAGTCTAATAAGTATTTACTAATATATAAATACGAGAAGAAAACAAAATAGATAAGTAAGATGACTGATAGTAATTGGTGAAACAGTTGTCGATGTGTTGTAATAAATGAGAAATATTTGTTTTCATTTTTATCAAAGAGCACAGTAACTTTTATAGCGGTAGATTTTAGAGTACATAATGATTATGACAAGTAAAATAAAACGTGATAGCTAATAAATATGTCGACATCGCATCATATAATTAAATGTGATTAACAACAGAAAAGAGATTTATCTGAAGATGGTTAAATTGTAACTACATATATTTGAGCATTATCTGTTCTGTTTACTAAATTTGAATATAACGAAGAATGATAGAAGTTATTGTCTAGATTGTTCATGGTGAGATGTTCAGTGATTTCTTTTTTAACTTTTTATCAATTAACAGCTCTGCACTATCACTAAAAAAGAAAGTTGTTCTGACTTTTTAGAAAATATATATTGAGTCTGATGTCCACACTTCGCTGTTTGGACTCAGTCTGTCTTGATTTCTCTTGGAATCACCAGCCGTAAGAGACAGCTACCAGAGACACTCGAAGACCATAGAACATTTGTTTCTTGTTAGAGTAAAAGCGAATAGTATATTTTTTTCTACTGTTGTTCTAACGGACTAAGTGATGAAGAAATGTGTATGAATTAGTTGGCTGCCAGTAAAAGCAGCATCATGCTTCACATGTTGATTTGACACTGTTAAACAATAATAGTTGCATTCATAGTCAATAACCTTCAAAAATTCTGTTGATATCGATGAATATTTCTATAGGTATACTGTAGAAGTATGTTCAGGTTCAAGATAAATGAGTTATGTAATTAGCACATTTGTGTTTCTCAATCTTAATGAATAAGCTCTTTTCATTTCTGAAAATCTGCCTAGTTCTATTTATTGATTTTCATCAATATTTAGATATATATTAAATCATAAAAACTCAAGAATATCATTTCAAGCGTTTAGTTTTATTTGAAACAAATTAATGATATTTTATCGTACTCCTGTCACTCTTTTATGAAATCGTTTTGTTGTTTGATTTTATATAGCAGTTGACACACACATAGCTAGTTCTAATCAAATCGCGTAAAGGGATATTTTCCGTAGTCAATAGAAAACAGCCTCTATGATTTTGTGACTTTGAAACAATCATGAGCAAAATAAAATCAAAACCAAAATCAATTTTGGTTTTGGTTTTTAATCTTTATTCAATGTGTTAAATCAACGTTTTTACAAGTATTAACACTCATTTATGGTCATTTGGAACGTTAGAAGATAAAATTTAAAAGAAGAAAACTTGAATAGTACCATTTCCATTTATAATTTTTGAAAAATGAATATCCTAACGCTGATGTGATACTAGATTTGTCCAGCGCCGATCTTAAAATAGTAGAGCACTCATAATAAAATCAATTGCTTCATGATGGGTCGAATTTTAATATATGACAGGCTTGCGCATGAAAATAGACCATATAATTAGCACAATATCATTAGAAATAATTGTTTTATTTCATCTCGTATTGACTAGAATCGGAAGATCGTTTTTCATTACCATCAATTCCCACATTCATCTTAAAAGCGACGCAATCAATATTTCAAAAGGTTTCTCATGCCATTTGTTTTTTTTTTAGTTAAAAAGTGTTTTCATCATCAATATTTATTTTTAATTTCACAAAAAACACACCTCTTTAGCGAAAAGTTGAGATTCTAAAGAGTTTTCTTATCTCAACTTTATGAACTGTATGTTCGATTTCGATCATAGTAATATTTTTTCATCTTGCTTTTTTTTTATAGCAAATACATGCACGCAAATTTATAATAGTATGTTCGGTTAGTATATTTTCATTGATTATTTTTCTTTTATTTGAAAAATAAAATTAATTTCAAGACAGACGATAGTTTAAGAAGAAATAGAACTACTAACAATGAATCGTACCAATTGACATGTCTTTATTAGACAGAAAACATACATTTCGTTCTTTGCTTAATTCCTTTTAAGCGAGTTCTATACAAGAGCAACGAATTCACACAAATAATTTTATTGTTTCTTTTTTTTTTATTTCAATTTATTACCAATAAACAAAATAAATAATGTCTAGTATTGGTACCGCCCATACATTTGAAGGTGATACAATGAAAAAAGTAAATGACAATTCCATAACAAACATACGATCGCACACTTACATCGACAGCCAAGTTCACTCAAACTTTAAACAAGATAACAACAAAGACAACACCTGCGGTACACCGCATAAATCTGACGAGAGTAGCTGTAGTTATTTTTAAAAATGATTTGAGAGATTTTTTTCTTTTGATCAATTACAACAATATATATATGTATACTTTTTTCACACCATTAGACTTGAAAATATTAATAAAATCTGTTCTTTTTGAAAAACATATGATAGGAAATATTGATGCAAAAAATGCATTTATTTAAATATGTGATATGAAAAATTTAGTTTTTTTCGATATTGTGTTTCGATGTGATATATTTGTGAGTTCATCTTTCATTACTATCATATTTGTGGAAGACAACAGAAACTAGATTCTAAGTTTCGATTTGCAATCTATTTTTCAGTTGACATTATTGATTTATATGTGTAGTACAGTGGTTTAGTAGCGATGAGGTTTGAAGACCTTTGACCTATTTAACGATAATGAATAATTATTGCTTTCCAGTGAAATTATAATTTATCAAATGAATTGATCGATTAGCACGTAAGCTAATCTTTCTCAGATCTCTCATCTTTTGATTTTACAATATGTTTGACGAAAATTCCATGTTTACTGCATAAACTGTACAATACATAATTAATGAACATTATTGTAACGTACTAAGATGTAGGAAAAAAGATAGTCAAAATTAAACATATTCTTTTTGGTACATGTTGAAAGTACTATTGTGATCGGTAATGATTTTGAACCAAGCGATCTAGATCATAACCGTATTTTAATAGCATTTAGTAATACTACTAGTTTTGAAATGTAAAAATTTTTCAATTCATTATCAATTATTTTTGTGTATTTGATATAAATCTAATTGTCTTCTCTAATTATATTGCCAAGGCCTATGATACTATATCTCTCATAAAACAAACTACAATCATTGTTTTGATCTTCTTGTTATTAGTAAGACAGAATGATACTATCGAATGTAAGATAAATGTTACTTGGTAATAGGCTAATAATTATGATAAATGTATTATGTAATCATCATGCTGATTATGATGCAAAACAGAAGACCAATGCTAATAGCAATGAAATAACTGGTAATAAATATTGCAAGAACATAAAAATGTGCATGATTTGCAGTTGTAATGTTTACTTAGGCATTCGATTGTAAGATGAATTCCTTTCGAAGAAAGCGAGAACAAATGGTCGCTGCATTTCGTTAATATACGACAAAATTAAATAAGAAAAAAAACTCATTTGATTAGTTACTTTTTCATCACTAGACTTTATTCAGTCAGAGGAATATTTTTGTTATAGAAATTTACAGAAAAAAACACGTTACCGGCGCTTTGAGAACTCGTTTTTTACGTTTCTCGATTTCAAAAGGTAGAATTTAATTTAATAATTTAATTCTTTTTAGTTTATAAACTCGATGAGATAAATATTTAGGCGTTTGCCAAAAGGAATAATCGTCAATTTTGATAAGTTTGACAATGCCTTTGAGATGGGAAATAGCAACAGCTGTCATTCTAACTACTGCCACTATCATGGCCATTTGCTTGGTGTGTTTCTCATTGCTTCAATGCTCCTGCTTGAAGAATGATGACTACTGACATGAGAATCAAAACACACACACTCGTCGATATATAAATACATATCGAAACAATGTAATTCAGCTCGGATGATAAATAGATAGAAATTCATAACAATAAAACGATTTACATTCATCAAATTGTAATCTGATTTTTTGTACAAAACGATTTAGGATTATTTTTCACGTAGAAGAATATTTTTGTAATAAATGAAATAAAATCAATCAATAGTTCGAATATTTAGATGCTTGTATGATCTCTGTCAGATTGTGAAATATTATAGAATGATGATTCGTTTATTTTGTATAATCGAGTTTTCTAGTAAAAATAGAATATAACATTATTTTGAAACTATCATGATGACATGATCTAAAATTAACAAATAATAGATATATTTGCTTAAAAGGCATATATTTTTCTTCTCGTTAGTCAATTCTAATTTCATATTTTTCTTCCAAAAGTTGCCTAAAATATTTTTATTTTTTTCTTATGCAATAGATTTTATGCAATCATCTTTATTATGTTTACGTTCAGTTATTATTTATTTGATGCAATGGCTCTTTCTTGTCATGTGTATATTTTGTTTATACTCTAACATATTGTCACAATCATATGGACAGCTGTGGTCAAATGATTACCCACAGAGACATAGATAATATTATATCGATCACGCAACATCATTGAGACAGTAGCAAAAGCTGATATGTGTCAAAAAATAGTTTTATTTTGAATTCTTTTCTTTGCGATGATAAAAAGTTCCAATTATTTTAAAATACATCAAATATAAATTAATGTCTTAGCATTCAAAAGAGTACTACTGTTTATGATTTGTCTTTTAATTTAAACAAAAAAGCAACAGTTTTAAGATTTCCTATGATGATAACAATAGTGGATATAATTATTAGATCGTATAAGTGTCAATTTTTTTTGTTATGTAATCTAAATACAATGGTATCTATAAATAAAATGCATCGAAAGAAAATAAACGAACAGTTGTCCTTGTTCGGCCTACTTTACACTTTCCTATTTCTACTTCTGTGCATATAACTTCAATTGTTCTCTTCTTGCTGTATGTGTGTGTGTATCATTTGCTTCGTTTGCTTCATACGTCATATTGATGTACTGGTATAAAAGTAACTATGTATGTTCATCTATACAATATTACTATGTATATATCTGTACATGTGTAGACAAGTTGATCAAAACGATTAGTCTATAGTAACGATTATATTGACAAACGTACACACAGTAAGAGTGATGTTAGCTGTTGTATCAACCCTATAATTGTAAAGATGACTATTGCGTAATAAAGATCCAGGCACGTAAAAATTAAAGAAGCAGATGATGTTCATAACTACTGGCAAAAGAATAGAAAAAGATAAAATAATGCTGTTGCATATTGTAAAAGGCAAAAATATTTCTTTTCTTCATTTACTTTCTTCAGATGTTTCATTTCTATTAATCGTCAAGGTTCTGTTGTAAACTAAGTTATCGGAGATGTACTATTTACTATGATGAAGAATCATCACTCACACAATTAGTAAAAGTAGATTTTTATTCATCCGTAGAATTGAAAATAAGCATGAAAGATCAAATAATTCTAGTCTTAAGTTCACCGCAGTTATCCCGTATTCATTACAATCATGAAAGAATGCACTAAAACATGGATCCTTTTTTCTTCTCTTTATGTTGCTGTACACTTGTTTTCGAGTTCAATAAATTCTGTTGCAGCTACATTCTCTTTCCTCACACATTTACATTTTAACTAACTTCTGCGGTAGTTCTTTACAAGTGCATGCTTATGTGTCACAATGTAAATGATGAAGAATATGTCAAGTTCTACTAGAAAAAAAACGAGTTATGAGAACATGAATGTCTTTCAGTCGAATAAAGGAACGAGAGAGAAAAAGGGGTGTACAGAAATATGAAAATACATGTTCATGCGAATGGAGTGTTCAGTAAATCTTGACATCATTCGTTGTTATCATCAACATTCTATTGTGTATTTTATAGTATATTGACGGTTTAGTTAATATTTCAACGTATATTTTATTCATTCATTCTGTTATTAGTTGATTGCTACTCTTTATGCATATTTTATTGTCAGAACTTGAGTCATAAATATTTTAGTGGAAGAAGATATTTACTCCAATTTATGCGGCTCCTTTATAAAAGAGAATTTTTTTTCTTTATATATTCTTTTTTTTCCCATTCAGTATTGTATTCATGTTGAATGTTGCAATATAATCTTTTTTTTCCTGCTTTGTTGTTCCTCTCTTTCTTCATGTACAAAAGTATATGGCTAGTATGTCACGTCATCATTATTGCAATATATATATTTATGTATATGCGTATGTATGAGTGTATACTGAAAAAAAGACTAGATCAGCAGTAGTCTTGATAAAGAAGTAGTATTCTTCAACTGGTAGGCATCTAGTAGTTTTATTTTTTGCATAGTTTCTGTTTTCTATCTAAAGAAACCTTGACGTCCGTGAAAAAGTGACATACTAGTGCAAGCTTGATAGACAAATGTTGATTCTGGAGTAACATCCTAGAAATGATAAAACGTCCTTATTTGTTTTTTTTTCTGTAATAAGAGACCAAATATTATCGTACATTAATATAAAGACTGAATATCTATGATTAACTTCAATCTACCAGAGAAGTAGACAGAAGAAATTTCGCATGCACTTTTTTTTATTATGTATAAGAATATTGGTAGATAGAACAATAAATAGAATGACAAGAGAAACATCTTATGAGTAACAAACAACTAAAGAAAGGAAAAGAAAAAATAGAAGATTGCTTTGCAATTATCTCGATATTTGGCGAAGGTCATTGGAAACAGAACACGACGCAAGACAGACAAAAGCACCATTAGTATTCTCTCGTTTTCTTTGCATGCCAGAGTTTTATGTAGAGAAGCTAGCCGAAGAAAAAAACGAGGAAGAGAACGCATGAAGAACACGACTGATTTTGGACCTATTTGGGATACCAATCACATGAATGAAGAAAACATAGAAAATGACTTCTAATTTCACGCTTGAATCACTATTATTATTATTCATGTTCTCCTATTCATTACCATATATATTTTTCTTGTAGTATGTCCGACAATGAAGTCAACTACAATTATCGTTCTATAACTGATAGTTATTCAATAGATTATTCACATTTATCCTCAAATTCATTCTAATCGACTATATGAATAAGAAAAATTACCTTATGTAAACAATGACAAAAGAATAAGATAAAAATATAATATTAAAATGCTTGGTAAACCAGTTGATACTATTGTTATTACATCCGATACATTTTATCGGATACCTAGTGATAGGTAAGAGAACACATATTATGTAACATGAAATTTTATGCTGATTTTTATTTTAAAAATAAAAGATGCTTTGGGATCTTTTTCGCATTTGTTCTCCATGGCCTTGGTTGTTTTTTACCATGGAATTTATTATTTCACAGTTATGAAGTAAGTCATTCAGCATTTTCTTAATTGAGTTAACGTTCTATTATTAACACTTCTTTATTCATAATCGATCAACTTTGCTTTTTTTGTAATATTATTTACATAAAAACTATTTAACTGAATTATAAAATAATTTCATTAATATTATATTATGTTTTTTTTTCTATTATATTATTTAGTATTTTGTTTGTTGCAAATTTCTTGGTGATGATTCGGATATTTATCGCCAATATTTCTTGAGCTTTTGTGCTCTAGCTGCTCTACTTGCGGCTTTAGTCTCTACTGGTATTGGCCTTTTCATCGGCTTCCAGTAAATATATATATATACATATATATGCATATGCATAATTATTATTAAAATAATTATAATAAATTATATTTCTATTCATTTTAGTGGAGATACAAAGCGACGGATTATTCCATCAATTGTTGTGCTTATTATTATGTTCATTTTACAGGTGCTATTTGCTATATTTGATGCTCGCGATTGTAAGAAAATCGAATAGTTTTGCCATTGATAAAAAAAAACTACATTTGTTTTGTTTCTTTTGCAGCTTCAGGTGTTTTTCTCTGTATAACGATTCTTAATATTGTAATTATTGGAGGTAAAAGAAAATATATAGTAGCATGTATTATTTTGTTAAAGTGAATTTATTGTATAGCTTTTATTGGCCTTTATCTATCAAGCATCTCAGGCATTGTTTCATACTTTCCTGACCGATATGTCAATGCACTCGTTATAGGCACAGTAGGTGTGAACTATAATATGATTACAAATTAACGATTGAAAAATCTTTCTTTTCTCTGTTGGATATTTAGTCACTTGGCATTTTGATTGCTATTTGTAGTAGAATCGCTTTTAAATACTGTAAGTATAAAATATGAAATGGAAATTTTAAAATATTTATAAAATTACTAGAAAAATATTCAATACAGAAAAATTAGACGATGAAGGTTCAAAACATAATAGAAAGAACGTAGAAGAAGTCGTTTTTCACTTTCTGTGTAAATTAAAAATAGTATCTTGTTGAAATTATTCATATTATATATAATGTGACCGCGAAACATGAACCGGAGAAAGCAATGTACATCCAACAGTAATTGAAAAGTATTCATTATCACCCAATAAAATTACCAAGGTTTTTGTCTTATCACTGTTTCTTTGAGAAAATTTCGTATATATACCTTTCTTCCAATCGAAGTCTTCAATTTTGAAAAATATTCATATAGTTTCTAAGTATTCAAGACAGGGAATTATCGAAATTCTACAAGTTCGTTCATATTGTAGATTTGTAGAACACAAATACTTTAAATAATCTTTTGAAAAATCGAAATTAGAAACTTTCTAAAGAAGTGCTGAGAAAATTTTGTAAAGAAAAAAGAAACCGTTGCAATAATGAATCAACGTTTAAAATTAAATTTATATCAACGGAAATCCAGTCTAATCTCCTGTTAAAATCAAAACATAATCAACATCCTTTTCCCTGCTTGACTTTGAGCCAAAGAGGAAATTAAACTCAATTGAATAGTACCGAAATTCATTCCTAATACTTGAACAGTTTCCGAATAATCATACAGAAAAATAAAAAACAATATAGCTAACCGTCTATAGTTAATAGTTAGCGAAGAGACATAAATGTCCTTCCTGTGTTTTATGCAATCATCATTTTTATTTTATTTTATGCATTTTCTCCTAGATTCGAATGATCCAAGAGTGACTGCAATCTATTTTCTTGTCTCTGCTATTGTTACGCTTCTATTTTGCTTTGACATCTATTTTGCATTTCCCTATTCGGTTAGTACAAAAATATGAAGTTTGTTTTCGTTTTATTTATTTAAATTATCTATTTTGTCATAGCGATTATTTCGATTTTATCATTCATCAATCAAAATCGACTTATTAAATACAACAAAAGGACGTTTACTTCATGTTCCATATGGAAAGGCGTTGAAACAAGTACATAAAAAACAGAAGAAGAAAAGAAGTTCATATTTAAACAATTCCTACTATTGATTCTACTTTAGATTTGGCTTCCATGTTTATCTATTTGGTTACATTATTTTTCTACGGTTACTCTTTTTCCTAGTATTCTCAGTCAAGTACAAAGTGTTACACCAAACTTTCTTAATTTAAGTAAAATAATCTATCAATAAAAATCGATATATTCATGATTAAAAGAATTTTTCTTATAAATAGATCTTGCGTTTGCCGATGGAGTTGTTCTATTCAATTTTGCTTTATTTAATCTGCTTGGAAATTTTCTTGCAGGTTGCATTAAAAAAGTAAATTTTAAATTAATTATTTGTTTATATTTGATCTATATATTTATTTAATGTAGCCATATTCACGATGGATATCGGTTTTTGTCTTTTTACGTGCTATACTAGCACTGATTATATGTCTGTTCGTTAATTTTGAACCATATTCACGACATAATTTACCAGTATTGATTCATAATGATTATATTTTTATGACACTTGTCATCGTCTTTGGATTTACACATGGATATTTTAATTCACTTTTACAAATGTTAACAACAAAGTAAGTTAGAACTTCGTTTTATTTTTATGTGAAATTTCGATTGTTCGTGCATTTATGTTGTATAGATCGGTTGAACCTCATCTATCAACTACATCGGCTGTTATCTTACAATTATTTATATTTGCCGGTTGTTTTTTTGGTATTATTGGTTCATTTGTATATCATTTTATAGCAACATTATCTTAATGGATGTAAAGTATCAGACTTGATTTGTATGAAAATTAAACTTAATAAAATATTTGACAAAATTTAAAAAAATGAAACTAATTACATATATAACAATAATAGAAATTAATCATACTAATAATTGTCATTGTGAAACATATACGAACTTATTCATGAAACAATATAGCTACATGTTGACTAACAATATAAAAGCCCATTATGATAAATCTAGAAACAAATAATCGTGTTCCATAAAATATAAAATGTTCTTTGTAAAGCTAGACTCAGAAAGAATCGTGACATCTCAGCATTATCCTCATATCGTTTATGATAGAAGTAGCAGATATGTGATTGTTTCAAATCTTTTTTTTCTTGAAATTAAGCCAAATTAGTTATACAAATGCTCAAATTAAATTAATTTCACATGTGATATGTAAGACTGATAATTTAAAAACAAAATAGGACTGAGAACGAAATCAAATGAAGTGTCAATTTCATTATAAGTAATATCGTTAATGAAGAGATATATTTTCCTGACAATGTTCAATATTTGATTTAATCTGCTTCATACCTATCTACTAAAAGCGTAATTGATAAATTAATACAAAAGATAGAAACAAAACTATCCTAGATCAAACCTATCATATTCACAGAGCATTGGATGTAATGGTGATGGTCTTGTTGCTGATGAATGGCAACATGTAACGTTTGTTTCATTAAACCATTTTATACCTTGTGTTGTTTGAACAAATGGTCGATGAGGACCAAGTGAACGTAAACGTTTAAATATATTTTTCGAAACTAAACTCTCTTTTTGACCGTGAAAAACAAGATAGACTCCATCACAATAAGGTAAACATGCAGGTGTCTTCTCAGGTTTCTCATACTTCTCAATATATAGTGGACCATATGGATCATATTTGCATAATGTATGATTTGCCTTAGCCTTCCACAACATAATATTCATCGCTGTTTCGTCACAATTAGCATCCATGAAAGCTCCACGTTGCATAAGTGCAAGAACATGACGAATAAACGGGTATGCCCGATACGTCCATACAAAAGTACCATGCATATATGGTATTGTTCTATATTTTACATTATATTGCTCCATGTAGAATCGATAGTTTTGAGGATCATTTGGATGTTTAGGTGCTAGTGGAAGATCATATGGCCACATATGAAGCATATCAAAAAGTATGTCAATATTATAATTAACCACAGAATCAGCTTCAAGTTGTATACCATAGTTTACTTCACTGGAAACAATTGCTAAAAGTTTACATGTAAATATTGTTGGACCGCATTGCTTTTGTGATATTCGTTCTACTGTAACATGTGGATGTCGTGTAAAATTGATTATTAAATCAAAATCAATAGAAAAAACAATTACTGGACGTATAGAAAATAAATGAATAGAATCAAGAAGTATATCGAGTAATTCTATATAATTTTGCCGTGAGTTTGTAAATGTAACAAAAGCTTCTTTTGGGTAATTTGTTCGATTGAATAAACTTTGACTTTGTTGTGAAAAAATATGTGGTACATAATTTTTTAACGGTATATTCGTTTGATGATAGATTATTAGAGAGAATAGAAATATTAATATTAGCCGAACGAATAGAGATCGTTTATCGATGAACGATCGATTCATTGATGTGTATGTTGAAAATTTATAAAGAATAACGAAATACTACTTTTTTTAATGAATTAAATCGATCTTTTCTACAGCAAGTATTGATCATCAAAACAAAATTCACAGCGCAATATTGTTGAGAATATATGTAGCAGCGTTCGCTGATTTTTTTAACTAAATCGCTTTGTCTTCATCTCTCAAAATAAAGAACGAATAAACAGTTCATTTCTTTCTTTAGTTTTCTTTTTCGTGGCTGTTAGTTTACCTTTACAAATAAAAGATTATGCATTTTTTCTCTTTTCTTCTTACTGCTTACATATTTAGTTTGATGTCGAATTCTTTTTAATTCAAATATTTCATAAATAAACGTAAAGTATACACATTTCACACTCTCCGTCGTACATTAGGTATTAAGATTTAAATCGTGGGTGACAAAAAAAATGCAATAGATTACTTATATGTTTTCGTAGCAACGAGAAATTGTACTATAGTGTACTTTTAATACCATTTTAACAACTGTATTGACTGCTTTAGTACAAGCAATATCTTTAACAAAACGAATTAAGCCCAAAAATAATAAGATTTATGTTCTCAGATTGGCATATTTCACTTTTCCAAACTATCATATTCAAAGTAAATATACTAATCAGAATGAAAAATAAGTAAAATAGTATTCAAAACGAAATGATTTTTAATTTATGAGAAAATATATAATATTAATATTAATATTTAGTTCTTGATATATTCTAGTAGGAAACTTTATCCATTTAGTTAACAAACTATTTACTACAGACTATCATTATTGTATAGCAGCAATGAATCAAATCGTAACACACAACGGACGATGTGAGTTCGACACTCTTAGTCATGCACGAGGTTACACTGAAATTTTTTATGAAAATAATCATTATTCTAAAAAATCTTCAGTTTAATTACAATACTAAAGTAGAAATCTATCTACTGGCTCATCATTTTATTTTTATAGTTTTTGATTATTGTCTATACTTCATCAAATTAGCTTTGATACCGATTGAACATAACAAAATATCTATTATTCAAAAACAAACAAAAAAGCATTTATCAATACAACTTCTTCTTCTAGTATCCTATTAAAACATTAGTCTCTCTCTATATATATAGACATGTTTACAGTGAAACTTTAAAAGTAACTTTAATTTTATGTTATTTTGGTGCAAGACGCTTGATCTAGTGGTTCATAATAATAATAATATATTACATACGTATGGCGAATTTCATAAATAATTAACAAGATAAAAGAATGCTTAAATACTGTAGAAAGCAAGGAATACTGTTTGCCGTAAAGATTTTTCATAATCAAAATTTTATATACTTTTTAATATTATCTTCAATAGAAGTTACTAAAAGCATGAACATTATGAAAAAAGTATCATTTCTTTATTTCAAAAGAATAATATTATCCTATTAGTAAGCACTAAATTGAATAAATAGAATAGTTTAAATCTTAGATCAAATATCAAATTGAAATTATTTTAGTAGATTGTGTTCACATAGTAGTGGATGAATAGGTGATGGTTTACTATCTGGATAGCAACACGTTGCAGTTGCGTCATTGATATGCTTCATGCCTCCCATACCAAACGTTTGTACAACTGGTTTACCGGCATTCGCTTTAAGTGTAGTTAAAAGTTCTGATGAAACCTGGTGCTCTTTACAACCGTGCAGAGTAATGAATGCTGTGTAGCAATATTGTGAACAGTTTGTTATCTTAGGCCACCTTATATAAGCGTCACCATAAGTATGGTAAGGATCTAAATAAAAATACATCAATTGTTTTAGCATTGTTTTCTTTTTAAAAACATCTCGATTCGATTGCTAACTTTTACATATAATAGTTGAAAATATTTATTATATTAATTAATCTCTATTATACACTTTAATAAAGATATATTAAATATAAAATAAGAATACGATTTTGACTTGAACATTTTAATTTATTGAGAAAAACAAATTCCAGTGAAACAAAATTTATTAATGTTAGCTAGTGTTTATGAATTGACATACTGATAGGTATGTATTTCAAATAAATGCATTAGCCTTGAAACAAACAATGTCCTATAATTTATTTTTAAAACAACGAAATAGTAATGGAAGATATTTTCATCCGAAATATGGTAGAGCTTTGTGAAACTAGGTTGGTGAATATTGTTAAATCTTTAAGATGTTTTTTTTTAAGCCATCTTTCAGAAAATAAGCAAAATATCAGGATCTAATCTTTAAGCAATACTATAGTTATTCACGATACTGAAAAATATCTTACCATATTTGCATAGTGTATGATTAGCTCCCGCTTTCCATAACATAACATTAACAGCTGTTTCATCAAAATTGGCACCTTGAAAATCACCTTGTTGTAAAAGAGACTGAAGTCTTTTTAAAAATGGCATAGCACGATAGTTCCAAATGATGTGAGCATGAATGTAGGGTGTTGTACGGTTCGAAACGTTATGTCTTTTCATATATAAATCATAGTTTTGTGGATCATCGGGATGACGTGGACTCAATGGTAATGGATATGGCCATACATGAAGAACATCGAAGAGCACGTCGACATTATAATTCACAACGTCATCAGTTTCCATGAGAACACCATATTCAACGTTACTACTCACAATAGCATGTATTTTACAAAAATAGACAGACTAAAAATATTCATAAAACATATGTATGATGTGCATTGTTACTCTTCTCAAGTTTCGGTAAAGAATTTTTACCTATCTCTATTCTAGAAGAAAACAACGAAAGTGGACTTTAGAGAAAAGTTGAAAACTAGCTCGTAGATACTAATCTTACACATCTCGAAGAGAAAATGTTGTGTGCCAACAGACAAAGTTTGATCGAGGTCATAGTTTACCACCATGGGTTTTCATTTAAAATGTGTACTTTCAGATAAATAAAACACCACTATTCGTATCAAAATATACTATCATGAGTTGTGTCTTATTAGTTCTGGTGTTCTATCTATGGTAAAAACTTCATTTGAAACGTTTGCATCATCGATAAAAACCAAACAAACATTGGAAATAGAGGAAGGAAAACATTCTCTGATTAACTTGATAAAAGAACAATCTAGCTTACCGGTCCACAATCACTTTGTGCTATACGTCGTTTGATAACACGAGGATATTTGGTTTCATCAATATTTAGATCAACATCGATTCCAAACGCTATAATAGGTCGTGTCGAAAAAGCATGAACAGAATCTAATAAAACATTGAGCAAAGCTAAATAACTTGGCTGATTATTACTAAAAGTTACAAATGCTTCTTTAGGTTGTTTAGATACATTTGTATTGTGCGTATCATTGAATGTACTCGTGAAATTCATGTTCATCTGGATAACTGATTTCTTGTTATCTACTTGTTGGGCAGTCGTATTCGTATTCGTAGTAGTTTGTGTACTTGTAACAGTTGTTGCCATTATTATAGTTTGATTTTTTGCTATTAATGGGATGACTTCTAAATGGCTTCCATCAAATTGAATCAATGGTATTAAAACCTTTCCAGCATATGCAACAGTAGAACTGAACTCATTTTTATAAAAAAATAGATAAGCCAAAGAAAATAAACCAAGAATAAAACAAGTGTGGAATAACTTTTTTTTTGAACATACTATCGAATTGTAAAATGAATCGATTTTCGACATTAGATGATAATAAACAAGATAGCAATAACTACGTAGAACGAATGCACGAGTATTCAATCATTAAAATCTGAAATTATTTGAATATTCATTAAAAAAGAATACTCTATCACATATCCGTATTGAGTTTATTTATTTCTATTAATTCCAATATGTAAAAGACAAAAACTAACAACTCTCCAATGAAGTATGCATTCATTTCACGAAAGAATATCGATTATTAACTACGTCTGAAAAAAATCGTATTTATTGTTCCATTCAAAAAAAAAAGAATATTTACAATTTTTGATGGTTACGTTCTCAGAATCTTAATGTGACTTCTCGAACTTATATTGGAAGTTAATTATTGTGTGAATCGATGTATTCAAAAGTTTCATTTGTAAAAAATGAGCAATTTTCGAGGTAGTTTACGTATGTGTACCGTTTCCAATAGATTTTCAAAAGTAAATCGTTTTATCTAGATAATCGACAAGTTAAATAGTAGTACTTAGCTTTTTTGTTTGAAATGTTTGTAATGATGATCAATGTATCAGTATTACTTTATAAATATTTTTAAAAAATCAAAGGTTCGAAAAAAATAAAGTAAAAGTTATCTGTTTTTCTTTCTTTCTGGTAATCAAAGTTTAACTTCCACTTGTATACCAAGTAGATTACTTTCAAAAAGCACGTTTTCTAATTCAATCATACTATACTGTTACACATTTTCTAACGTAATTTCTATTATAATGCGATAATCTCCTGTGAAAAATGAATTCGAATTACGACTATGCATATTACTGTCCCTAAATAAATATGTACTGTTTCTTTAGTGTTATTCTCCTGGTAAAACCATCCAATTTAAGTATAAAGTTTTAGGATGAAATCGAATATTTTCATATTATAACGCACACTTACTCTTTATTACTCATCAAGATGCTGATATGTTAGCTTATTTGTGTTTTTTCAGCTATCGACGGTTCAATTATGTTAAACCTAAGTATACATATTTATGATTACGTTACTACATTCTTCGTCTTATCTTACTCTGTTTACTATGTAAAACGTGAAGGTATATGCATAAGCTGAAAAGAATTACAGGCAAAGCAGTTGTCACACTCTATGGCATGCTTCTTCTACAATCATACTCTAACTTACATATAGGACAGATTGGCAGATAAAAATACATTAAATAGGTTCTATTGAATATTTGCCATCGAACATTGACATCTAATATAATCAATCATTCACTAAGAAATAATCGATTTTCAATATTGTTCCAGTATTTTGTTTTTTTTTCTAAATTTATTTGTATCTTATTCAGAAATCATATTAATAGATGTATGAACTACGATGTAATCGTAGATTACTCATGTAAATAAATACTATGGCATCGTATATGCTTTGACATTGTTTCAATCAGTTTTCATGGTGGACGCTTTTTTAAGGAATATGCCTTCCAAGTATAGAAATAAAATTAAGCAAGAAAATATCGATAATACGTATCTACTTTAGCAGTCGAATACAAGAATGATTCTATTATTTTTCAAAAAAAAAATATTAGAAGAATACAAGAACTTTGTGAGAATATGCTAACGTATAATATTGTTAAATATTTTTGCTTACTTTGTTATAATTGCTACGTTATTTTTCTTGTTACTTGTTCATAGTAGAAACATATTAACAGGGTTAAATTTTTTTCAATTTAAATCTATATAATTTTCTTAAAAGAATATAAAAAACTAATATACGAGCAAGAAAATGACATTTGCTCAATTGGTAGCAAATAATAGACATAAAAACGTGAGAAACTCTCATAACACTTTTGTTTTAGAAAAATAGAATCGAGCTAGGCTTTGATATAAATGAAGTATTTACTAACTAATAAATAAGTGTTCGTAATCCAAAAGACTTTTTCGCACATATACATTCAGCCGAAGTGTGTTACCAATAGAAAGATAAATATGAATTTTTTAGATTTACAATTTAAAAATACAGAGCATGGTTAATAAGTATGTATATTGCCAAAAAATTCGACTATTAAACTTATTTAACATAGTCTTATTGGCTCCAATTGAAATCGATAAAATTAACCGATTTTTCAGATAAAACTCAGAAAAAAAAACGATATTTATGCTTATTATCATATATATATATATAACCATGAAAGAAAGCCAACTAATGTACGAATGTGCTTGTTAAAGAAAGCATCAGTTTAGCAGAAATGTGGAAAAAATACTAATACTTTTGTATTAGGATTTTGAAAACACTTTAATGTTCTTGGATTAAAATTTTAAAAAATTACCCTCTGCTTTCGTATTAGCATTGAATTAACATTGTTATACTTATGAATTTCCGAAATAGAATCAAACTATCCAACTATGAACTAAAGTTGTCAAAAACAAAACAGTTTTGTTTCGTTTTTGGGAATTATAAGTGTTAACTTTAGATTATAATGCTAACTCAATATTTATACCAAAGCATTCAATTGATTTTATTAATTCTAAAAGAAAAGTGGTCAATAGCTTTCTATATCCTAATGAAAAAGCATTAGAATTAGCATTACCTTCTGAGAATGCTAATGCTAAGCTGTCACCCCTAGATTTATTTATCACAAAATAGAACCCATCAGTGCTTAAGAAAATGTTTTTTAATTATTTTTCTTACTCAAAAGACTAAAGATAAATCAAAACGCTAGAATTACTTGACTATAAATAGGTTGCTCATTTTTGAAGCAATATTTAATGGTTTCCTTTTGTTCAGCCTGAAAAGAATAGACAAGTATTATTTTACTAGAAAGAAATATTGAATTTTACACATAAATTCATCATATGCAGTAGGCCTTTTTAATAAATTGAACAATGTTACTAGAATGAAGAGAACAAAAAGAAAGAGAAAATTACACATCATTTCTGACAAGTAGCTTCCCATTTTAACTTCATCGAGATGCTTTTATTTTGTAAAGAAAAGAAAAAAAAAGAAAAGTCAACTTCAATACATTTTCTTATAGATTCTGACGACCTTCACCGAATCGTATGGATGTATATATATATATGTACTTGAATAGTAATTCTGCTGTATGGCAAACTCGTACTACTATATACATATATATTGAGTTGTACAGTCTTTCGCGTTTGACACAATGTGTCGCATAGAAACGAAAATAGTTTTGTAAAATGACTATTTGTTAAACGTTGATGTTAATATTTCACTATTTACTTTGCTATGTACAGGTCGAACTACACAGGCAAGTGTAAATAAGAATAACAACACTATATAAATACGTAAGAGACGGATGTAGAAAAAAAGGAGAATCATCTCTATCAATCGATGTAACCTAGAGACAAAAAAGAACGAAGAGAAAAGCGTGACGAAGAGTATGTATTCGTGCATGAATATGGATTATAACATGATAATAAGAGATAAATTTATTATGGTATCTATTGAAAGCGTTTAATACACATCATTACTTTAGAATATGATATACAAAATAACACATTCTCTCAGAAAACGTTTTTTTTGTATTTAAGAGAACCTCCTGTGTGACTGCAGTCTACATGCAATAGAAAATCTACAATCAGAGAAATTCTTAAATATTATTTTGTCATTCTATTTTTGCCTAAATGTGAACTTGTTTTATTTTAAAAATGCATTAAACATCAAAGAAACTTAAAGATATGTCATAAAATGAAATGCATGTTTTTTTACAAGATTTTTGATTGCTCTTCACGCTCATACAAGAAAGAATTGAATATAATTTTTTCCACAGGGCAAAAGCAAAACAATTCATATAATTTTAAAATTATTTCTGCAGCTATTTAGAATAACGCCTCAATGATTCGATCAGGAAAAATTTACTATTTTATTGTTTTATTTTTTTAGGTTCTTTTGACAAATATTTGCATTTCATGTTGAAGCTTGGTAAAAATTAATTTCCTCACTATATTTGTTACTTACTCTAGAAGATTTCTTTGTAGAATATTTTTTGCGTATGTATATGATTTGTGTAAAAAGCAGCGTGAAAAATGGAAGAGAAAAAAAGTAACACGTAAGCAAAATTTCTTCCATTTCTGAAAGAATGAAAATTAAAAAGTTGTTGAATACAATCAGAGACTAACACTTGAACATATTCTAAACTATTCGTTCACTGTGAGCGATGAAGAAGAAAACAATGAATGCTTCTATCTCAAAATACATGGGTTCTGATGTGAGAACTACATTGACAAGTACACACTTGTGTTGCTATGAACTTCAGAAAATGGTGTCAGAAGAAAGGGTTTTTTATGCAAAGACAGCAAATTTCGTAGAAAGTATAGCGTTGTCTCTGGCGACTATTTTAAGTCACTATTTCCTCTGTCACTAATAAGATGTTCTATGAAGAAAGGAAAATATTCAACTAGCAACAATACATTAATGAGAAATTATAATCTAAGTCAATTTAATCTAGGTCATAGCATAAATCAGAAAAAGTAAAAAGAAATACAAACATAATTGAATCGTTCTTGCCAGTTGAATTGTGAGACAACAAAAGCCATCCATTTTATGCTTTTTATTTTGATCCATGTATCACAAGAAAATTGATAGTACTTGAAATTTTTCTAATCAAAAAAGAAATATATATATATATATATATACGCATATAAAGTCGTTTAGAGAGCAGCACATTTTCTGACATTTGATTTATATTCCATTGGTGACATCATATAAATAATGAGCATGAAAAATCCTAGAAACGATAAGTTGCATGCAAAGAGTTTCTTGAAAAACAATATTTCAGCAAGCGGAAATTCTTTTATTTTTACTTTAAATAATTACGTTTTTTATCTGGTGACATGTTGATGCGTATTCATAAACTTCTTTTTGACGCTTAACGTATTTACAGTTCAGCTATGTCATATTATAGACATTATAGCTTGAGTCGATAAGAAAGAAAAATTTTTAAATTAAAATTTTCTCAACAAAGAATAAGCATGAAAAATACGTAGGAAATAGTCAACAAGTAGTATATTCCCTTTCTTTACAAGAGTTAATATTAATATAATCTTTTTTTTATTGTCTGCTTCATTTTATTAACAACTTAAAATATTATTTCTCAACATATATAGTATATATGAACTTACTATTTAAGCACAAGTTTTACTATCACTCAACACTATTTTGACTATCGAATATGTAAAAATTGATGCTATTGTATGACACTAAAAAATTCATATTTTGGGCAAGTATTAATCATGATCCTATCTATTCAACTTCATTCCATTCTGCTTACGTTTGTTTACTTCAAACCTGTTCATTTTGTTTTGTTAATTAAAATTTATCATGAAAATTCAATGTACTACTCACTTTCTGTTGTCGCTAAATTGATATGATATGCTGCGTATCACTGTGTCTGTGCCATTGTAGAAATCGAACATTGAAGGTGTGTAAAAATTTAAAGTGCAAGAACGTCATATAAAATTTCTTGAACAAGATCTTCTATAATAGAATATGTTTGGGTGCTCTTTGTGTAATCAGGAATTCATAGTGAAGAAAACCTAGGTCTATTATTTGACTCATGGATGTGTATTGAAAAAGAAAATCGTTTTATTAGTAGATGATTTACGAAATGATGCTGATCGAAAATACATTACTAGAGAAGAACAAAATTTCTCTTTTATATTCAAAAAAGAGAATTCTTTTTCATGTACGACAACGCAAGTATATTATCGAAGAAAAGATTGAGAAGAAAAAGAAAAGAAGGAAAAATCGGTGCTGTTAGTGTTTACCAACGAAATTGGATAAAGGAAAAGTAACATGGATCACGAATGGTAATAGATGTCTTTTCACGTTCATTCGAAAAAAATATCTTCAGTTTCTAAATGAAAATTGAATCAACTATGTATGTGACATTTCTGTTGAAACATACATAAAAATGTCTATCTTCTTTCGATTGTATGACTAAAAATATTGCTTCCGTTAATTAAACTATATTTATAAAACAGAGCAATTCTTCCTTCATAAATTCAAAAGCATTTGATTAATAATTATGCATACAGATAATCTTACGCATCTGTGATTCATTGTTATAATCGTATAAACTTTGTGTAGTATATCATTTGTTTACAGTTTCAGGACTAATTTATCTTTAGAAATAGAATTTAAAGATCAAGTTATAAAAATGCGTACTTCTAGCTTGTTTCCATTGGTATCTAATCGAGTAAAACAGTGTGATATTTTATTCTTTTCATTTAAATTTCAGCGTCTGAAAATGATTAATATGTTAGGTCGTTGACAAGTTCAGAAATGTATCTCATAAATATGACTCGAAGAAAGTACCCCTTTTTTTTCAGTTGCTTATATTAAAGTTTGCATGAGACATGCACCTTGATAAATACAATACTATTCCATTTACTGTATTAAGTATTCTTTTGCTAGACAACTGTCAGTTACCATGTATTTCAAAGTGCAACCATGCTTTCATTATTTTTTATTCACGAGGAATAATCAAGAAGAGAAACGAAGTAGTGAACTTATTATGGCTTCTGCATCTTTTCTTTTCTTCTCTTTTCTGCTCTATGATTTTACGTTACAGCAATCGAAATAAGTGCTTTTCTTTAAGGCAAAAAGAAAAGAAAAATAGAATATCAAAACATAGTTGAACTAATTTGACGTAAAAGGATAGGAACTAATTGTTGTATGGTATATAGTATTCTTCTATCTGTTTAAAGTAATCGTTGTTCTGGCGTCCTTTTATTGATTTCTTCCTTGATTATTAGCTCTTAGTTGAAATTTTTGTTTCTTTTTTTGTAAATTTAAATGTAAGCATTTTTTGCCACAGAAATGTTATAACTCTTCTCTAGCTTTCGAATACAATTAGCTTTATTCGAATCTATGCATAAATTGATACAAGTTGTAAAAAACTGCAACTGATGACATGATATTGAGATGCTACTTATCTCTATCTATCTATCTCTCTCTCTATATATATTTATATTGATTATGCGATCGAAAATTGGGAGTGGAATCTAAGTTTTGACTAGATAGTTCGTGAATAAATTTAGAACTCCATTTTTTTCGGATAAAAATCAGATTGAATTAAAAATAAATGAGTTCAATCAGCAACCCAGGAAAGTGATGAGCTATACGAGATTCATATACTCTAGAATCGAAAGTCTGATGTGAATATCCAACAATATGACTGTACAAATGATCAAATGTCGTAGTAGTTATCTAACTCTATCAGCCTTTGAACCCAACTGCAAATGTTAGATCGAGTCAAAAAAGTGTAAGAGCTGAAAAATAGCAGACATAAATTTTCTTTGTACAAAATATTGTGTATGTAAAGCACTTGAATATTCAAATTATTGCAATAACATTAAAATCTGATCATAGGTGATAGTGTGGTTGGCTGACAAAAAAGAAACTCTTCTATTAATTTTGCACTAGAAATAGAATTTAGTTTAAATACATATAACCACAACTATTTTTGAAGAAATAAAATTATAATGCTCAAAATTTATATACTTCCGTTTAGAACAATATCATTCCAACTCTCAATCTAGTATCTATATATATATATATACTTTTTTTTAAATGAAACTTGATAGATTGAGATAAAACAAAAAAAGTATCCTGCACGACTGTTTTAAAAGACATATGATAATTTATATTTGAAAACGATCGACTGCTAGTGACAACGATGGAAGTGAAGAACATAAAATCATTGTAATGGACTTCGCCTAGCAACTCATCATGGGAATGGTGAGAATACATGAGAATTTTTGAATAAGCAAACATTTGAACGAGATGCCTAACGCACGACAAGAAGCCAGTCTTACACAAATTCGTCGATTACTTTCTCGCTGGGACCAAGGTGAATTATTCTAATTATACAATTTTCTAATACTGTCCTTTATTAATTACAGGTTCCACTAAAGTTCGTCGTCAAATTTTACTTGATTTTATTGAATTACATACAACAATTACTGAACCTGAACTGGAAAGTGAATTTGCACAATCTGCTAGTCTATTTTTTACGCGCATTAGTAAGTGATTATTTCATAGTTAAAATCTACAAGTATGACATTATTTGAAAAACATAGCTTCATGGCTACGAATAAGTTACCTATTTGGAACATGTCTTAATGAACAATTGCGAGCGCTGCGTGTTTTTTTACAATCATCAACTGGAAATAAATATCTTGGTGAATTTCTTGACGTTGGTGGTTTATTTACATTGCTGGAAATATTAAATGTCAATCAAATTAAAGATGAAGATAAACAACAAGCTGTAAGTAATTTTAAAATAATTTCTTCTTGTTGTTTTTTCTTTGAATACCCTATTTCGAATATATATATATATATAGTTGCAATTACTAAAACTAATAGCTGACAATGGTCGTATCTATAAAGAATTAATTTGTCAATCATACGGTATTCGAGCTATTGCTGAATGCATGGCTAAGACAACAACCAACGAAAATACACAGAAATCAGCACAATTCTTACTCGATTCATTAGCACATGGAAATCCAACATATACACAGCAAGTATACAAAGGTCTTATTGCTATTTTATTGTCAGCGTCGCCTAAAGCTCAAGAATTATCTGCGGCTCTTCTATGTAAACTTCAACCACAATTAGAACAAGTTCATAGAAGTTTACTTGAACCAGTTATTAATCTTCTTCAATCATTTCATGCCGAAGTTCAATATCAAGCTATTGAATTGATACAAATTCTTATGTCAAACAAATGGAATGATGATAATATAGTATCAGCATTAGCTGATCAATTAATGGCTTGCTTAAACGACCCACCCAATCCAGATAGAACTGATGATGATGATGAAACTAATGATTTAATTGATTCACTTAAAGGTGGTCCAATGCCAATTTATGTTCAACAAGCAGCTACTTGTAAATGTATTCGTTTACTTGTTGATCAACATTATCGTTTTTTACGTTTAAATGTTGTTCATTTGTTACTTTGTGTCATGGGTAATGAGGCTTATCCAGAAAGTCAACGCCAAGCATCATTAACTCTTCATACGTTTGTTGAACGATATCCGATTGTTTATGAAAAAGTTTTCGATGCTCTTGGCGAACAATTGTTCGATGCATTCCATCAGAATCCTGATGGATTTTATGCTCGAATGACTCCTATTCAAGCTGATGTTTGTCGATCGAATCTTATTCATATGTCTTTTGATGAAAACAGTTCTGATTGAAATAAAAGAGAGATGATTTATTTATTTATTTATTTATATAAAAATACATAATTTTAACGAAAAAATATAATTGATTGATTTAATTAGAACAGGGTCGACTATTCGATTCGTTTAAAGTCAATACTTGTTGTATTCCTTGATTAATGTTTGATGATGTTAATATACAGTTAGCTGGAAAACATGAAATAGTTCCATTCGATAAATTAGTTATTTCAATCCATTCCAAAGAAAGTTTTCTATTATTCGATGGAAATTCATAAAAAAAATCGATTTTTTCAAGTGAATTCAATTGCGTTAATGTTCGAATCTCAAATGTATCGATTGAATTATTTCTTTGAAATGCTTGTTTATTGTCAATTGTTTTGTCTAATTGAATTTGTTCAGTTTGATGAGATTTACCAAAAAGTTTTAGAAAAACATTCACAGAACTATTCAAAGTTAAATTTGTTGTATTTGTTTTTATTCGTACAGTATAATATTCGTAATTCAGATTTTTTTTAGTATTTCGTTTACCATCACATGGTACATTTTGATAATTTGTCATTGAAAATTTAATTCTATCATCAGATACTTTATCTAACCATTGATGTACAGAAAAACATCTAGTTTCATTTGTTTGACGATTTTTCATTTCAACAAAATCGCAGAACCATCTATAAAGGAAATGATATCAGCGACATTGTTGCAGAATTATAAAAATATGAAACCCGCTGTAACTGTTCGTATTAGTCGGAGAGAAACTATTTTATTCTATTTATTGTCAAGCATCTGCCTTAACCATTATTTTCTTTAACCGTTCAAACTTCAATCAAGAATTAGTTTAGATATGAGAGTGAGAAGTCATGGATTTAAAATCTATTATCTTAGATTAATCGTATCTATAAAAAGATCTGTGAGAATATTATCTAACATTTCTATCTTATATATTTAAATACATTCTTTCGAGATATCGTGTTTTACACATATAAACAAGAAAAGAAAACGGTAAATATATTCCTTTTAATTACCCATCATTTTGCCCATCATGATACAAATCAATTCTATCAATTTCATTAATTTTTACAATTGGTATTGTTAGATCAAATTCATCGGTATGATGTCTTTGAAATGGTATTTTATGAGTTTTAGAGTTTTGAAGTCGGATAGAATTTCCGATTTGTTTATTATTTTCATTATAGATGTTTAAATAAATATTGGCATCACGTCCAATTTTATTTTGCAATGATATATCAGCTGTTTTTAAACGTACTTGAAAATCAGATGAACTCATCTTTTCCTAATAATGATCGAACGAAAGCAGATTTATAAAAGAAATTTTCATATTTACTTCGCTGTCTCTTGATTGTTCATTATGTTCATTGTTCACTGTTGAAGATCGAATAAGTATGGAGTCCGATAATTGATCACAAGGAATAGTAGATTGTTGGTACAGAGTAGCATGTGTTTTATGATCATTTTCACCTTTATCTAACCAACGTTGAATAGGAAAACAGTACGTTTCCTAATATTTAAGATAATTAATATTGAGTTATAAGAGAAAAAAAACTAATTCACTTGGTTATTATCATCTGTAATTGAAATCCATTCGCCGTACCAACCTTGATATTTATCAGCATCAAGTGAAAGTTTAACAGCTTTTAATGCAAATAATGATTCTGGTAATGTAATTTTAAATTCATCTATAGCGTCAGGCGCAAAATGATGTCCTTCCATATCTTTTTTCTTTAATCGAATATCTTTAGATTTTTTATCATAGATATCGATTAATTGAATATGAATAGGCGTTGTCGAACCAGCTGAAGCGTGATTACCTACATTCAAATAAAGTATTAACTATTTTCTTAAATATAATATGATTCAAAAGGGATGAAATGCACTTTGACATTTGCATCATAGACAATCTAAAAATATCTTCTCTTTATAGTGTATGGAGTACTACTTCTGTATTGTATTTCTCAAAAATTACGTATAATCATGATGAAGAAATGTGTTTCAAACTAGAAATTTGTTTTTCTGTCATTAACAATATTAGCTATATTACGTTCTATATGTTCATCTATGTATATATGTCACAGACTATGTCGTGACTACCTTTTAAAATCATATGATTCGATATAGAATACCTGTTTTCGTTCGAATAGTATAATTTCGTGATGATTTATCTGGTTTAAGTTTCTTTGATACTGATGCATAGCTATGATGGGGTTCAATTGTTTCGACTTGCTTTTTACAAGATTGATTGATCAACGGATTTTCAAGTAGAATGTGAATTTGTTTCGAACCATAGTTTTTATCTCGGCTTGTATTGACACGGAAACAGTATGATGTATTGGTTTGATTGTCAATTACTTGAATATATTCTATTTGCCATCCAATAAATTTATCACTTTCATGCCAAAGTTCGACTCGCGATACACCTTCAAGTAATCCATTAGGTTGGATATCGAAATGATCTAAGATGAAAATATAAATTTCATATGTATTCTACTTCAAAACAAATTCTTTTTCTGTATCGTACCTGTTTGATTTTTTGCGAATTCACTTGTATGTTTAGTGGAATTTTGCAATTGAATTTCTTCAGATAGCTTGCCTTTAGCGTCATGTATACGAATAAATACGGGACTACAAATAATAATTTGCTAAATATGTAACCATAACGATTACACTAAACTTACATATGGGCTCCAATAGGACTGAGAGTCGAAAAACCAGTATGACCAGTTTTAATTATTACTGAAAATTTAGTTTTGTATTTACTAGATATATTAGAAATATTCACATTAGAAGATGAATTCTGCTCTTGTAATTCATTGTCATTATTATTTTCGATTGATTCTTCACAGAATTGTTCATTTGTTGCTCTTTTCAATTTTAATGGATTTTCTTCAATTCCACTGTTCTTATCATTTAAATATTGATCGATAGGAAAACATAGGACATTGCCTGTCTTATTATCAGTCACTTGGACATATTCAAGAAACCATTCGTGACTTGAGTTTTTCTCATTTGTCCATAATTCAAGTTGATCAATATCATTCAATTGTTTGCTTGTTGCAATATCAAATTCATCAATTTGACCCGATTTAAATTTATGTTGATGATCAGTTGAATCATGCAATTGAAGATTCTCGGAAACATCACCATTTTTATCAATAAATCGTACAAATACTTTTGCTTTGGTTTCTACATTCGAATATTATCGTATTAACATTCGATACAACTATTTTTTTCTTACTTGTTGGTGAACGGTTAAGAAAACCTTTCTTTCTCGTTTTAGTTCTAATATGATAAGTATTTTGAAACGATGTAACTAATGTTCGATCTGAATTTCGTGATGGTGATGTTAAAGATGATATAGTACTAGTAGCTGTTTTTCGAACAATCGCCATGGATCGATAACCTGATTTGGGCATTGCATTTAATATTGAATCACATGGTACATAAGAAACATCACTGAAATATATGTTAGTCTGTTTATCATTTTCAGCTTTGTCAAGCCATCGTTGAATAGGAAAACAATATGTTTGATGGTTATCTTCATCGATAATTTCGATCCATTCAGCATACCTATGAAATAGATAGAAAAGGAAACTTTACTTTATAGTACAAAAAGTCAATTATGATGATAGAAAAACTATAAATATTGACTTGAAATATGTCTACTATGTTTGTTACTTACCATCCTTGATATTTGTCCGCATTATGTTTTACACGAATGCCAATTAGTTTATTAGAGAGTGATTGTAATGATGCCACTTGAAATTCATCAATAGCACCCGGTTCAAAATTATGCTTATCATGATCTTTGCGTTTAAGACGTATATCTTCAGATTTCTGATCACGATCATCAAATAATTGAATATGTATAGGTGTTGTTGAGCCAGCTTCTACTGAGTTACCTAGAAGAATTTTATGATTTAATATTAGAAATCTCCAAAAATTATATCAAATTCGAAACAATCCTCTCAATATATATAAGTACCTGTTTTTGTTCTAATTGTGAAGTTTCTTTCAGTTTTATCATTCTTTTGTGAATGGGTGATATTTGTTTTGATGGGATTGTTGACTTGCTCGCTTTTATTAAATTCAACTGAACATGAAACATTTTCTAATGGATTTTCAAGTGAGACACGAGTTGTATTTGTGCCCGAGTTTTTATCAAGTATAGTGTTGACAAGAAAACAGTAGATATGTCCTGTTTTGTTGTCGATTATTTCAACATAATCCAATTGCAATTGATTGTTTTTGTCATTTTCAAGCCACAATTCGAGCTTTTTAATACCATCAAGGCTTTCACGAGTACCTACATCGAATTGGTCTATAATAAGGAACGATCTGATCACTAGAATTCAAGGCGTTGTTCAAGTTTTTTTTACCAGTTTGATTTTTTTGAAATTTATTTTGATGCGTTCGAGACTGTTTCAGTTGAAGTGGTTCTGATACTTTAGCATTATTGTCATGAATTCGAATGAATACGTCTGTATTTGTATCTGCACCATTCATACCAAAATAAGCAGTAGGACCTATATGTGTAATCAAAATTCTCCTATAGATTGACCTCTTGAAAAATAGTAAATGCTATTAATCAGCTGAATTTACAAAGAATATCGAAAAAAAAAATTCGGAATGTTCCTATAAATTTCGAAATACATTATAACATCATACAAAGAAGAGTATCATGCCGATAATAGATACAATACTGAAGATGAGAGCGGCCCAAAAATATATGACATGGGGGACAAGATTAAGATTAAACTTCAAAATCATATCTTTCTTTTACTTGATCTTCACACTATCAAATACTATGAATGTATTAATATACATCAATCTAAAAACATCTGGAAAAAATAACTTACAGCAATCCTTCATGTTTAAAGAATTACTTCATATGAGTTAAGGTACCTGTTTTTGTTTTGACGCAGTATGTTTGTGTAAATGGTGTTGTTGGATTTTCTGTTACTTTTGCTTCTTGAATTGTTGACTCAGTTGCATCAAAATTATGTTCACGACATGGTCGATTATCCACTGCTTGCTTATCTAATATAAGATGTTTTTCTTCTACTCCACCATTCTTTTTGTTTAAGTAATCACCAATAAAAAAGCATGCTTCTTCACCAGTTTTATTATCAACTACAGCGACATAGTCAGTAAACCATCCATGCCCGGTGCCAGTATTATCGTGCCATAATTCAAGTTTATCTATGCCATCAAGTGACTGACTGGATCCTGATATCATGACAATATTTGATTTAGTATTTAAACACTATATTCTTTTATTAACATACCAACATCAAATTTGTCTGTTTGTCCTCGTTCAAATTTATTCTTATGGCTAATAGATTTTTCAAGTTCGATTGCCTCAGATATTTGCCCATTTGTATCATGAATTTTTATAAATACTTTTGCATGTGTACCTTTTTGTAATTATAATCATGAGATGTATGCTATCAATATGATATTTATGGATTCCTACCTGTTGGAGACAATCCGAGAAAACCTTTTGTTCCCGTTTTTGTTTCAACATGATAGGATCGCTTGAATTCTACCAATGGATTCTTTCGTTTATTTTTATTGTCATCATCTGCTCGATCATAAGTAACGGGTAACCTTGACAAATTTTCCTGATCCTTCCGATTCGATATTCTTGAACACGGTTGATTTATAGTAAATTCTGTGAGTACAACATGTGTTTCTTTATCCTTCAAATTTGACTCAAGCCATGTATTCTTTAAAACTTAACAGAGTAGAAAACAAGTCAATAGGAATTCTTAAACTTACGACTGGAAAACAGTAAAGACGATTAGTATCAATATCTTCAATTTGCAACCATTCAACATTCCATTCCTCTTTTCTTTCACTCGTATGCCACAAATGCACTTTTTGTAAATCCAATAAATTATTTAATGTACCGGTGTGAAATTCATCTAGCGCATGTTTTTGAAATGGAATTCTATTGGTTACTGTTTGTTCAAGTAAAATATCTTCTGACTGAGAATTCTGATTATCATACAAACGAATAAAGACACGATGATTAGTTTCAGATAATATTGAGTTTCCTGTTTTAGTTGTAACTATATATTTTTTAATAAATTCAGTTTTATTTGGCGAATGATAATATCGTTGAGACGCATATTTTATTTTATCGACATAATCGTGTCGATCTTGAATCGCAACTTCGTCAGCTAAAGCATGTAGTTCTCGTGCAATTCTATCGCATGGATAATGTGAATGAATTGTAAGCACAATTTTAATTGCACCATCAGATGCTTTTCGTGATAAAAGTCGATTAACTGCAAAACATTTAATACTACCAGTTTTTTTATTTTTTATTTCAATCCTATTTCAACAGCTAATTATAATAACCATAGCCTTTTAAAAAAAGAAGCTGAATTCTTACCATTCGCAAAGCCAATCAAAATTCGATGTATTATCATGCCATAATTCAATCTTATCAATAGTATCATCCATAGAATGAATGGATCCAATTTCAAATTTATCAATTTTTCCTGTTCGAAATGGATTTGTTTGATGTTTTGTATTGTTTAATAACATGTCTTCTGTGTGTTTATTTTTATCATTATATATTTTCAAATAAATATTTGCATAAACATCACTATTATTCATGGGTTGTTTCATACTTGTTTTAGTTCTAATAATATATTCCATTTTATATTGACCATGTGAATTATGTTCATGATATTCATTTTCTTCACATGATTCATTTACTGTAAACTTTTCTAGCATAGTATGTGTTCTATTATCACCTTCATTTAAATCAAGCCATCGATTGACAGGAAAACTATCATAAAACAACAAAAATAATTTACAAGACGATATAGAGTCAATACGAATGTTCAAACCATTTTCGTTCTAATGTTTTCATATTCATGATTTCGATCCATGTCAAATATAGACCATCATGCTTTTTTCCGCTGTGAAATATTTCAATTCTATCCGGAGAGTTAATATATTGTGGTACATAAATTTCAAAGACATCTATATGGCCAGATTCAAAGGCATTATTGTGAGTCAAAGAATTATTTAATAGTATATCGTCTGTGATGCTTTCACCTTCGTGCATACGTATATAAACTTTAGCATCTGTTCCACTCAAAGTCAAAGAAAGAAGACCTTTATGACCTACTATAAAATTGATAGAAAAATATCGTATACAATTTCGATACAAAATTAGATTCTTTGTAACTAGCCTTTTGTTCGTACTTTAAATAAAATTTGATTTAAGTTACCGTTTGAACTAGTAAGACTGGTTATATCACTATGAAATACTGCCAATGATGATGTCTTTTGTTCTGTTGCTTTTAATGATTGACTTCCTATTTTTGCTTTATTCGATAATACTGATGCATCATCTTCTTTGTTTTCATAAGTCGTTGTATTTTCTGTTGATAAATTTTGGTGTTCCAAATGAATATCCAGACATCGGCAATTATCATAATCAGTCAAAATCAGTTTCGTATTATTTTCAAGATATTCTAAGCAACTCGAGTCATCAGTATATATTAGAATAGTCGATGATGAACTCACCGTTGATTTGAAAGCAATATATTTGTCCATTGCTTTGATCAGTTATTTCTAATGTATCACAATGTAATCGTGTTCCTTTCTTTCCATCATGCCACATTTCAACTTTTTTCAATGAATCAAGTTTAATGTTTGTACCAACTTGAAATTGATCTGTTTGATTTGATCGAAATGGTCGCTGATGCAATCTGGACATTGTCAAAGGAATCGATTCAGATGTTTGTTGATGAATATCATACAATTTGACAAAGACATTAGCTTTCACTAAGGATTTAATTCCAAGAAATCCTTGATGTGCTGTTTTAGTTCGAATATCATATAATTTAGCATATTTCAATTTCTCTTCTGTAGTAGTCAATTGTTTAGTAGTTGCATTTGCAAGTTTATTGCCATTATTAATATCGAATTCTGATGTATTCATTGTAGAATAAATAGATTGTAAATAATCATTGGGTTGATTGTTAATCATCTGTTTTTCTCTTTTATTATTTTCTACATTAGAATATTTCTTATTAGCTTCCTTTTGATAATTATCATCACATGTGCCATCTTGATGTACTTCTGTCAATTCTAATGCGTCACCAGAACTCGATGGTAAATAATCGTTGACAGGAAAACAAAATTTACGTTTTGTACTCAGATCAGTCAGTTCAATCCATTTCAAAAATATTCTTTCGTTCTCATCATCTTTAGACGATGAGTTACTAGTGTTTTTCGTATGTAGTTTAAGTTTTCGTATCGTTTCACCTAGTTCTTGTCGAGTTCGAACATGAAATATATCGATATTCTTGTTTTCGACGGATTTAGTTTGTGATTCAGATTTTCTTAAAATAATTTCTTCACTGACATGATGCATATCATCTAATATACGTAACATAATCACATTCTCATCGCTGTTGATATCGCTGGACGACGTGTTTGTACGAACAAGAAATTGACGAGTTGATAGGACTGTCGAAGTTTTGCTGGAGGACTTAGAAGACAAGACAATAGTCGAACTCATCGAACTAATATTTCATGTAAATAAATGAAATAGAATCGAAATACTGCACGCGTGATGAATAATAATAGGAAAAAACTATTATAATTTATTTACCGCGGTGGTTGTCATGTTTCCATAAAAAAAAGCCGAACAATTGATGAAACAGTGATTATGAAAATCTATTGATATTTCTGTAATTAGTTGAAGTAGTTCGATATAATATTCTATTTATGAGTCTTACAATGTAAAAAAAAGAAGCAAAGAAATGAAGAACAAAATTAAAGTATCGAACAAGATTCTAGTAAAAATAAATAATGAAAATTTAATCAGTTTGTTGATCTAGAATATTGATTCTTAAGTTTAACTCTAAATTATCCAAACAATCATCCGTTGACGAATACTTCAAGAGGTTCTACTAAAATGACATAATTAATAAATAGCAACAGCTATTTTCTAGTGATTATCGAAACAAGTGTCTATAAAGATTGTTTTTAGGTTGATTCATCACTGGAACAAAAGACATCACCTGTTAGTATAGATTAGGTAGCCTCATCTATTATCACTGATAATTTCATTCGATAAGGATATTGAAACAATTCGTAAAAAAATTGGTAGTTAAAATCAATAATTTTATAAATGTGAAATAATTTGTATTGTCACACAATTTGGTAGTGTCCCGGATATATGTTATGGTAAGTCTGTAATAATATTTCAAGGAAATTATTGCTTTGTATCAGTGTTTTTCACAAATAAGCATCTATGAAATAATTAATAGAATGCAAATAATCGAAATGATTGACTTTTCAGATGAATAGTTTTGACGCCCGTCATTCACAATGTGGTAGTACCGGTGTAAAAAAAAATAAGCCTAAAAATCAACATTTACATGATTTTCATCGATTGGTAGTTTCAATAATCGACGAAAATCTAGTAATTGTGCTTTTTTTGAGTAATTTTAAGAGTATAATCGCTTGTTTATGATTATTTATTAATCAGTTAGAATCAATTTTCATGAATAATCGATTTTCATCGGTAACTGTTGACTTTTTCAAGATTAAAATTAAGTGATATCGATTATAATCTACCAGAATCTATTAGATTTTGAAATCAATTCTAATCATTAAAATTAGTATGATCTAAAATCAAGTGATATCGACTATAATCTAATAGAATCTGCTATGCTTTGGAATCGATCATAATTATTAGACTAAGGATCCTCAGAAACTAGCTAATACTGATTATATAATCTACTGCAACCGATAACGTTCTTTATTCTCTGAAGATGCATATCTACTGTATCGTTGTGTACATGAGTAAGGAAGTTAATATATGTTATGGGAGCAGTAGAATACAAGTGAAAAGAAATGAATAATAAATTATTCAGTGAAATAGAGACGTGTGTTAATGGATAAATCCAGTGGTGATTATTACGGAAAACGTCTTTTAGACTAGTGGCTACCCATGTAATAAAAACCGCATGAAAATCGGCGGTTAACCGCGGTTTTACCGATCCGGTTACCGGCTCCCATTACCGCAGAACGGATAAATACCGCGGTTTACCGCAAAAAAAGATCCGAAATTTACCGCGGTAAACCGCCGGTTTTGATTAATACCGCGGTTANGTTCGTCTATAATCTTTGACAGAAAAAGTCTTCCAAATCATCAATTAAACTATTTTAATCATCCTTTTTTTTTACTTTTACATGTGATAAACATGAGCAAAAAACCGCCGGTTTACCGTGGTTTTACCGGTCCGGTTACCGGCTCCCATTACCGCAGAACGGATAAATACCGCGGTTTACCGCAAAAAATGATCCGGTATTCGGAACATGGGTATGTTTCATGGATTTTTTATAAAAAAAAAGAGCAAAAAGATTTAATTATTTTTCCATACAAAGATACACGTCTCTAGATAATGAAAAATCACAATCAATCAGTAACAAAACCTATTAGCGAAGGTTTTTCCCCAATCAAATTGACGCCTCTAATTTAATGTAGAAAGACGTTTTATCTAAATTTAAGAAAATGTAATTAGAAAGCATTTTCATTTATACCTTTAAACAAACATTCAATCCCGACATAAAAGAAAAAATAACCGAAATGGAAGTTCCTTTTCCTTTCTTGAAGTCATCGTTAATTAAAGTAGTACGAATAATTCATCAGAAAAGAATGGAGGAATCAAGGGATAAATCATTACACACATTCTCTCAATGCTCGATTCGAGTATATGATTCCTTTTTACATTCTAACGTAGCTAAGCCATAAGTGTTTTGTTAAATGACTTGCGAAGAAATGAATATCAGTACCACAATGAGCACTCATGCTTTAGCTAGTAAGTAAATCTCCAAAGAAAAATACCAATGAGTATCTCGTCAGATTAATTACAAAGTATACGTACACACGAAATCCCTTCAATATTCGTCCATGAATCTGAATACTCGTCTGGCAGGTCGTACTCGCTGGATGAGTATTACATTACACTGACAAAAAAGTGTTGAACCAATCCTTTGAACTTTCGTATAAATACGCAGAAATCAGAAAGTAGCCCGATCTTAATTATTTTCTCCATTGACATATTTATGATTCACTTTGCAATCGAGCTTGGATATCACATTACCGTTTCTACACTATCTATTTTTCTATACGCAGCCAATTCTTTGGGCAATAGAGAACACTTCACTTATAGAGCAATCAAAGTTTCCTCGCTAAACTTGTTAAACCATTAACATATTGTCGAAAGAAACAAAGTATCTGCTTAATTAAATTTTTTCTATATTTATATTTTAAATATTATTGTATGACTGGGTTTTATTATAGCTTTTACAGTGCATATTAGTTGAAAATATTTGTCATCGCAAATTGCTGACTTCCGTTCGTATTATATGATGAATGTTTCATGCCCAGATCTATATCCTTCGTGTATTTATTTTGTGTCCGTCTTTTACGATCATGCTGCTCTTAGTTTAAAACAATACGACATTTCTTCAATTCTATTGTAACATAGGTAATACAGACAAACATACGGGTTAGTAGTAGCCATAGGAACATATGTTTCGATAAATGAGTATACGTCTATAGACTTATAATTAATTGAGCAATAAAAATATTGGAATGAGCGATAAAATAGTTGAAATGAGCAATAATCAAATTGAGCAATAAATATATTAAACGAGCAATAAATATATTGAACGAGCAATAAATATATTGAACGAGCAATAAATATATTGAACGAGCAATAATTATACTGAATGAGAAATAATCAGACAGAATGAGCAGTAATTAATTTGAATAAAGCATAAAATTTATATAAATAGGGCAATAATAATTCGTTTATTTGCAACAATAAGTGTTTTTTTCACCTTCATGAAAATACTATAAGTAATTTATACAAAATGATTCAATTGCAACACGTAGCACACTATAGTTCTGATTCTGAAAATGACATTCCCAGGTGAATCAATCCGATACCGAATCCCATCGGATTTTATGGGATCCTACCATCCGACGAATTCTCGTTGGATTCCTGGTTGAGGAATCAATGAGGGATCCGACAGTCGTATTTCCAATGATATCCGATTGTCGGAACCAATGAAATCCGAAGCATTTCGGTTCCGATTGACGGTTACTGTCGGATTTTATTAGTTTCCGATATTAGGATTCGATATCGATTCCGGAACCAGGAATCCGACGATAATCCGATAGTTTCCTTGAGCCTTCCGAAGAGCTCCGTCGGATTCCAATAGGAACTGATCGGATCCTAGGCTAGGATTCATTCTCCTGGGTTGATATGCAAACTCAACCTTCTAGCAACACTGAAGCAGTTGAAAGAATTTAAAGTTGTCGTATTTTCTATAGCCAATAAATGGTTTAAAGAACAAAATCCTACTCTTACCAATTCAAAACTCTTCGAACATCAACTATCAATAACATTATCATGTTAAATTGATGCATACAATTGGGTTAAGCTGAACACAGACGTTATATCTATTTTGAATGATGACACAACGATATATTATTTGTCTGCTGGTGAAAAAGTTACAATAACAGATAATGAAATAAAACGATTAGAAACTTGTAGATTTAACTCGTTTCACGCGTACAAGTCGATCTACTTTAATATATGGTGCGTATGTTTCTCTAACAATGCTGACAAATGGAAAGAAGCAATCTGCACCTGTTCATCATTCATGAAAAATTATATATGCAAGCACATTATCGGTATGTTCATTAGGTTAAAATATTGCAAACCTCCACCTGAGGGGAAAAAATATAGAAATCGGTACAAAAAGAAAAAGAGGTAAACCATCAAAAGCAAAAAGCTTTATTGGTACAATAATCACTTATATATGTTTCGTTTTTCTTTTTTTCTTGTCAAGTGTAAATAAAAATAATGTAGTTTTTCTCTTTTTTGTTGTTCAAATATGAAATTAATATCCCTGTATAATAAGCTTTTTATTACTCATTTAATATTATAAAATTGTTCAAATTAAGTTTTCGTATTGCTCGATAGTTACTGTTAAATCATATTTATCTTATTGTTCATTCCAATATTTTTATCACTCACATAAATACAAGCGAAGTCTATATATATAACAGAAACACGTACATAAAGGCCCATAAACATATATGTATAGGGATTTAGACATATCTATTTAGAAGTTAGATATTGAGGACACAACAAAACAGCTTGATAATAATATGCAGTATATTATAAGGGGTTCGAGATAGATATTAGAGGTTTCGCGATAAGTACACTGAACAAAAAGGTACGATACCAAACTTTAAGGGTTCCGTGGTACTTAGTTATGCTTGAAAAAGTTTCGTTCGCACATACGAAACTTTAAAAGAGTTTACTATCATGTAGAGTTTCGTAAAGAAACCTTGCCAAGATTTAGTGTTTAGGAAAGTTTCGTGAAAAAACTTTTCCAGTATTGAAAATTGGAAACGTTTCGTAAAATACTCCTCTAATTTCATTTCATAGCATGAGCATGAAAGTAGATATACCTGGCCAAATTTCGCTT